CTCCTTCCACCATTCCTACTCGATTGGTTCTGTTCCCCCTCGTTGGAACCTTCCGAATTACTATCACCCGGTCCCCCGGAAGGTGGTGGAGGAGGAGGAGGCGGAGGTGGTGCCCCTCCCCCGCTCCTTTCTCCCTGTTCTCTTTGACCCTGTCCCCCTTGACTCAGAGGTCGTTCTCGATCTCTCGATTGACTAGAAAAATGTGGGGGAGGTACTCTAGGAGGGGGTTAATACCGCCTTTGCCTCCTCCCTCGTTTTCCAATGCGTACGCTCCTCCTTCTGGTCTCCCATACTCCCCTAGTTCAGCTCTTTGCACTCGGGCTCCCCACTCGTGAATACGTCGTCGGTCCACACTTGGAGTATCCGGGATCTGTCCTGCTTGTTCTACCTGGGGGTTTCCATCCTTAGCTCCTGTAGGAGTGTTTCGGTTAAAGGATATTGGTTCCGTAGCTTGCCAGCTCCTTGGCTGGGGAACTACAGGAGAAGGACCCCCCCTCGTATATTCTCTCATTACCCTAGGTGCTCGCCCGGATAATCCCGCCGTGTTTCCTGTTTTGGAAAGGGGTCCTCCAGTCGGTACTTCCCCCGCTGTGAATCCTTCCTTTACCTCACGGAGTTGTTCCTGGAGCGTCTCAATGACCCGAGCCTGTTGTTGGATCATTGCTACCGATTCCTGAGAGTGTGCCGACTCGAAAGCCATGCCAGGTCGGTTCGTCTGAGCTCCCGTTACAAAGGGAGTTCCAAAAGGAGCTCCCTGCGGGAGTACCGCCTCTTCGTGAACTGTCAACGTTCTTCGTTGGTTCGGACCCCTTTGACTTTCCGTTCCCACTGCCTGAGATTGCATCGATACCGACCCTTGATACGGAATGACTGATGGATTGCTCAGTCTTGGAGGAACGTGTACAGGGTTGGGAGCCAACCGAGCTGTCAGATCTTGTCCGGAGATCCGGGATGAATGTTGTGCGCCATCCATCCTCACCTCACCAAACTGGTATCGCTGCGTCGAGACTGGGGTTAAAGGTTTCGTTTGCAGGTTAACTCTGGGGGGAGGAGTCGAATTTTGAGCCAAGGCATGTACAGTGGGGGAGGTCCCAGAGCGTAACTGGGGGCTCCTCGTGGCCGTGTTACCGGGGTTAAGGAGTTCAGGAACCTCGATATTCCTGGGCGATGAATGTTTCTGTGCCAGGAAACGACCATCAGATCCATGGAGCTGCCCTTTCTGGTCAAATTGCTCCGGAGGGAACTCCCCTACGCTTTCGAGTTCGCATTGAACCATATACGAGGTTCCCCGATTATCCGCGACCAGTCTGCGACGGAATTCCAAAGCTCTTTCTAGATTCGATCCAGAAAGTTCCTCCGACAGCATCAGAGTGTCTGATTCCGCTAGTAGCGTCCGGTGTCGGGTCTCCTGCGAACACAACATCGCTTCAGACTCCTCACTCCTGACCAGAAGCTGGTGCATATGCCTCATGGGCGTGTACGTGTATACCGTCTGCCCGTTACGGACCCGGACGGGACTATCCTGATCAGGCATTGACTCCACTGGGGCCAGGAGGTGAGCCGTGGTGTACCTCCTGCGTCTACAATTTTTTGCAGCGATTGCGTTAGCATCCTCGTTACTTTCCTCATCGATTTTAGCTGCTGCTTCCGCTAGGTTTGCGTTCCGAAGTATTTGGATCGCCTGGTAGTTCGGTATGTTCACCCTCGAAGGGGGAGGTTCAAACCGTACGGCTCCTGATCTGTAGTTAGAGGCTCGGTACAATATACGTAGCCCTGCTTCGCCACAGAATTCCTTCTCCCTTCCATGGGTATGAGGGAGGAGGGGAAGTATTCCCCTCGAGTTTCGGAACGATCGCCCGTAACGTGCCTCTGCCTCTAACAGTTCCAACATCCTCTCTGGGTCCAATAGGACGTTGTACAGCCAGAGAAAATCTGATCGGTTCGCGGGGGTCATCAGCCACTGCTGGGCCTTCTCTGGGAGGTCTATCTCCAGTTGAGTTCCCACTGTTAGGAACTGTACTCGTAGGTCTGAGAATTCGAGACCGTCTCCCAATATTTCGATCCCCATTGACTCCAATACCTCCCTTAGGACCATAGCTACATCCTCCGGGATACACTCCTGAATTCGAATGACGTCTTCCAGACGCAATGTCATTTCGGACAAGGGTTGTACTGGGAAGTTGGTCCTGCTATGGTGTATTGCGTGTGTACGCTCCCAGTTGGGCGTATTCATAGCTGGGCTCTTCAGGAGACTGGAGAGTGAACTTCCTCGTCTCGGGGGAGGAAGGTTAAGGGACTGTACTGGAGGTGTTGGTAACCTCCGGGATGACGTCCGAGATTGTTCGGATACGGCAGGGGATACCCTCCTCTCTGGAAGTTTCTCCTGTTGTCGTACTGTGAGAGGGTCAGTACTCCCCCCTTGTATCCTTTCGATAGCGGCTACTTGACCGCTGACTCTTCCACCCGCGTTCGAAGCTGACTCCATGTCTAGCTGCGGTATCGGTCCAGGGGGAGGTCCTCTCGTTCCCCAGGTAGGGGAGTATGCGAAACCTCCCATGGGACTACTGGCAGGTTGGGCGTAACCCATGGAGGTAAACCTCCGTTGTGGTGGTCCCATCCCAGGTTCCACTGGAGGGGGCCCCTGAACTTCCGGTTGACGTCCCTCTGGGGTCCGGATGTTGCTGGCGGTTTCATCCCCGAACGACTGTTCTGGGATGGACATCAGGCGTTGACCAGCTGCCACCGTGATGACAGTGGAGCTAGCAGCCTGGTTCGATTTTTGAGCTTGTGTCGTGTTTCCACGAGATAAGGCGCTCTTTTGTTTCTTTGATTCGGTCTTGGAACTAGAAGGTCGTTCCGTTGACGTCGCCGACATTTCGTCGCGACGAGTCCGTTCGGTGACGGGAGAGCTTGGTATAATGTAAGACCTGGGTCAAAATAGGTCTTAGGGTAGGTTTTGGTATGTGGAGGTTTATGTTGTAGCGTGCTAGGAGCAGGCTGGAGCTCGAAGGGAGCTACGAGAACCGCGACCGAGGACGGGAATGACCTAGTAGTGGTTGGAACGACGAGATGGTGACCCTTGAGGGGTTCCTAGGAGGTCCAGGGAGGTCCCTAATGCGTAGGGAGGTTCGGGACGAGTGCGGGACCGTAAGGTATTGCGTAGTAGGAGTTGTACTCGCTAGAACGTCAATATAGAGTCAAGTAGGTAGTTTATGCAACGGGGTCTCGAGGGTGTAAGCTCCCGAGAAGGGATATGCCAGGGAGGGTAGGTCCCTGGGGACTAGGTTGGAGGATGGTCGTCCTCGAGTGTGGGAGGTGGTAACGGAGAAGCAATACGTAGTTCGACGTGAGGGGTAGCTTCGACGTTACCTAGATCGAGGTCCCGAAGCTTACGAAGTAGCTAGGGAGCTCTGGGAGGTTTGGGGAAGAGTAGCTCACCAAGCGGGTAGGCGTTGGGGAGCTTTAGTAATGTTCGAGGGAGCTCGGGGACTCACTCGGAAGGCTTAGACTTGAAGTAAAAGCGTATATTCGATCGTACAGACGATCAGAGAGACAATAGACAGAAGTAGAGAGAAACAGAGGTAGAGAAACAGAGAGTAAAGAGAAATCCGTATGGTTAGCAGGTACAAAGGGACAGGGACTGGACCTATGCAAAAGGGTGTGTGTTCAAAATATACCAAGCTGGGCTTCTGAACGCTCCTGGATTGATTAAATACGTATGGGGAAGTTAACAAGGAGACATGATATGAAGTGAGCACTTAATGGGGATTCTAAGTACATGAGGATGGAATGATGGACGCATGTACGGGGTTCCAGGACCCTGTCGTGGAATGATTGGGTTGAATGGAGGGGAGCTAAGGGTTGCGGAGGTGGTTCTAGCGGTAAGGAGGTCTGTGGGACGTTTGAAGTGTTCTCAGGGATTCAAGGAAGGGGTCTGAGGAGATCGGGAGCTATGCTAGAGAGCTTATGGGCTAAGGAACTTGGGGTGAGGCATGACACTGGTGGACTTAGGATTTTTGGAAAAGTTAGGGCCTTAGCGGCAAAACCCTGGGCCTTTTATAGGACAAAAAAACTGCGCACGGACCAGCGAAAATTTTCCTTCGAATTGTACTTGGTGTACGGTGAACCGAAAATTTTCACTGATGACTAACGCCAATTCCCGGTACTAACGGCTTTTGAAAATTTTCCTGCTGACTGATGGGCCAAATTTCCGATGCTGACGGCCTTTGAAATTTTTCTTTGGTGACTAACCAACTACCGGTATTAATGGCTTTCGAGGGCTCAAGCCTAAGAGGGGGATACTGTCAAGTCCATGCCGCGGGCCTCCATTCCGCCGCTCGGTACTCCGAAGATCCACTCGTTATTGTAATCTCACTCTTATTGTTCTTTCTCGCTACACATACCCTTTCGTCCTAGTCCCTTCTTATTGTCTTTTACTCTACCCTGCAGGTACTACCCGTATAGCTCCTAGTAGTTAGTCTGGCGCTCCGCACCGATGCGCCGTTCCGTAGATATAAATACTGCCTGTACGCTACTGTAGTTCCTGAGTTTAATTATCAACTTAGATCTCCCTTCTCAACTTAACTCTTCTCTAAGTCTTCAGGCTCAACGCCTCGAAGTACGTTCTCCTCGACCTTAGGACTTTGACGTTCTCTGGTCCGCTCCTCGTCATCGGCGATACCGCCGCTCCGACCTGGCTGCTACTTAGCTCTCCTCCCTCTCTACTCTCGCTCTCCGGGGACTAACGGCGTAACGGCGGTGTTGTTAATAACTTCACTACTGTCCCACTCGTCTTCCGCACTTAGACACCCTGTGGCTTTGGCACGGTTACACGGTGTACATGATCTTAACAGTATTCTCGTTCTAGTTAAGGACTATGTTGGGCCTATGCCGATCCAATTCACTCCACTGCTTCCGTTCAAGGCACGGCCCCAGACCAATGCTTTCATTCATTCTGCCATTGCGCCAGTTATATCTAACGCTATACGGTACAATACAATCTATCTTGTGCTTACGCCAGGAAATTTCCTCTGTTCCAAAGTTCTTTGAGGGAGATCATCAGATAAAATTTGAGGTTCTGAAAATTCATACACACCTGGCAAGATCGGCAGGGAAAACTAATTTCTTAGGTGCACAAGGGCGGACCATCTCATTGACAAATCCCATCCCACCTTTTGCCCATCCAGGCTCCTGCTTCTTGAGCCATTCTGCATCGTAGAAGTTAGCAGGGAGCCCAACAACGTATCTGCTCTTCGAACTCTTGTCATTATTATCCACACGGAGATGGGGTGCAGCGCCTCGCGTGAAACTGAACTGGGGTCCTTCAAGAGAGGTCCGACCCTCGAGATGACAATAGTCCAAAAACCTGACCCAATTCTTGAGCTGCTGACTTCGCCAACATGGCTCCTTGATGTTGTAGCACATAGTCGCTTCATCCATGTCAGGTTCCTCTTCATCAGAAGACATCCCTGCAACCCCTAGTTCATCGAAGTCATCAAGATAGGGTTCGAGTGCTGGAACTGCAAGTATCACGTTCCTTCGTCGTTGGAACAACTATGCAGAAGAAATCTCGTATCAGCGTTGATTGTAAGTCGTTGAGTAAAAGCTCACAGTGTTTTTCCTTTGCCATCTCTTTGCAAATATGGCATGTGGTATCTTCTTATCCTCTGCCATTTTCTGTTTCTCCAACCAGATTCCACGAAGTGTTTTCAATTGTATGAAGAAAGCCTCACGCAAGATATCGCGAGCTTTGATGTTGGGTATGGTGATTAGCCTCTTCTTCACGAGGATATCTACGAAAACATATGATGCGCCTTTGTTCCACGCTGATTTAGGAACACCTGCAATCCAATATCGGAAATTGTCAACAGTGCACGGGCGTGCGAGTGGATCCATCTTGAATTTTTCAGCAAATTGCTTGGCTTCTTCATCGGAAACCTCATTTTTGTAGAGGTCTTTCCCCTCCATCACTTCGTTGAACCATTGACGAATGGTCTCCTGCCAAAGAACTCATCATGTTCGTTGAAGACAGGCCATAACTGTACACACGCACCTTGTTTTTAAGCTCTTGCTGTGGCCGATGCTTTACGGCTCTGTTAAGATCATGTATACCGTGTAACCGTGCCAAGGCCACAGGGTGTCTAAGTGCGGAAGACGAGTGGGACAGTAGTGAAGTTATTAACAACACCGCCGTTACGCCGTTAGTCCCCGGAGAGCGAGAGTAGAGAGAGAGAAGCTAAGTAGCAGCCAGGTCGGAGCGGCAGTATCGCCGGTGACGAGGAGCGAACCAGAGGACGTCTAAGTCCTAAGGTTATAATAGGGAGTACTCCAAGGCGTTGAGCCTGAAGACTTAGAGAAGAGTTAAGTTGAGAAGGGAGATCTAAGTTGATAATTAAACTGAGGAACTACAGTAGCGTACAGGCAGTATTTATATCTACGGAACGGCGCATCGGTGCGGAGCGCCAGACTAACTACTAGGAGCTATACGAGTAGTACCTGCAGGGTAGAGTAAAAGACAATAAGGAGGGACTATAACGAAAGGGTATGTGTAGCGAGAAAGAACAATAAGAGTGAGATTACAATAAGGAGCAGATCTTCGGAATCCCGAGCGGCGGAATGGAGGCCCGCGGCATGGACTTGACAAATACATGGGTTCAGAATTTTGATATATGTACTAAATGAGCTGAGTGACATTGGCTAGGTTCGTTACCGTAGGGTATGTTTGACGCCCTGTAGTGCTTCATTCCTCTAGTCGTCATTCCCATTCCCAATCCCAATCGCAACTCATCACCTTTTTTATAGAGTCATTTACTAGCACGACCTTACGGAGACGGAAGAAGATAGATAACTTTGGTGTATCATCTTATCCAGGTGAGTACACCCTGTAATGTTTGGTACTCACGATTCACGAATATCTAGTGTACCTACGAGCGCAATCACAATGGATGCCAAACCCACTGAAATCATACAGGCACAAACAGGCGCAGATGGTACTGATAGTCTTTAATCCTTGATTTGCGGAAAATCTGACTACGTACGCAGTCTGTTCTAACACTGTAGTATTTCGATCAATCGATAACAGGAAGTTCATCATGCTCAAAGAGCAACTCAATGTTGCTGCTGGTGGATTTCCCCCTGCTATTCTTTCCAGCAAAGCGGACGTGCAGCTTTCCAAACCTTCTGATGTCCTGAAGGTTCTATTTCAATACGTCGCAGCAGACACCGACCATCATGGACCTACCCTGGAACACATCAATTTCTTCTTACTATTGAGCGTGGCCGAAGCAGCAGAAAAGTATGAAGTATACCAGGCAATTGCTGCCATGCAACCAGAATTCGGGTAACCTTGGCCAACTTGTATTCTATTTCATTGGATTCATTTTGCTTGAATTAGGAAATTCTTCCACAGTCACTCCAGACAAATTCTGCACTTTGCTTTAGGGAGTTGGAACATATCTCTGATGGAGGATCTCTCTGCTTACACGGCAAACATACCTATGGAGGAGATAGCTTTTTTAATGAGGCCATGTCCTTGCATGTTCAAAAGATGGGTACGTCCGATGACATTCGATAGACATGAATATTAATGATATCGTAACAGTGCTTATGGAGACATTGCCACCTTGGAACGTTATTCAAAACTCCGGCGGACAGTTCAAGAGAGGGAAAGGTCGATGATAATCAAAGACGCTGGCAAGCTTACCGAGCCCTGGAGTACTTTCATTTTGTTTCGGACATGGATACACTGAACGGCTCATTCTTGGGCTTGACGAGACGTTTTGGGCATTTCGTGTAGAAAATCCTGTTCAGTCTGGCTTGATATATATCTTTGCGAAAGAAAAGCGATAAATAGTGATAGATTTTAATCAAATTATGCCCTATATCTTTCCAGAAATCGATTGCTCAGTTGACAATGAACGGCCATCTGAGGCGTCAAGCGTTTCTGACGCGTCTCTGAATCGTTTCTTCAGAGTGGAAGGATCGCTTTGCTGATCTTTTCCTTCCTCGCTTGCCAGAGGAAACGAGCTCTCACTACCAGGAAAGGCTTGCATATGGCAAGGAAATATTCTTACATCCGATAATTGAAGGTCTGGAAAAGATTGTGGAGGACAAGGGCATACGAGCGACTGGCTTCAGACTCTCTTCCATCTCATTCGGTGCAATCGAGAGCCTTCTCGCGGAAGAATACATTTGGAGGATGATCATCCATGGCGTGACGGGGGCACTCGTGGAGTCGCCTTGCTATTTTGACCTCGACAACCCCACCAGCGACGAGGATGTAATTGATCGCCTCCAAAGGTATTATGAAGAATTCAAATTTATCCGTGAGTCTCGCTCTATGGCTTCAAATACAGTTGCTTAAGTGTCATTCTTCATTAGCTCCTTCTGAGAGAGAGGAAGGTCTACCAGAGGTCTTGAAGGAAGAGGGAATTGATACTGACTCTTGGATTGCAAAGGCTACCCCGTATAATTCTCTTAAACCAGCCGCCATATCCTTCAAAATGTCTTGCCCTCCCATTGTCTCTCCAGAGATGATCACATACTGCAGGAATGCAATCCGCAGTGAGCGCAAGTGATTCGAGCAAGGAGTTTATCCTGATCTTTGGTTCAACCTTTCTGTATATGAAAAAGGTGGTACTATAGTCACAGGGCAGCTTCTCGACGAGGAGACTGTTTCGATTCCCGACTCGATTTTTTGATTTTTCGGTACAATCCTTACCTGTACCTGATGATGTAACCGAGAAAGAATTCAAAGAGAATGTAATCTTGCAAATTTATATTCCAGAAATGCTATGTAGTAATACTGAGGAGGAGTGCTGCACAACATAAGATCAATGACATTGTATGTTTAATTACGTCTGTGCTTGTGGATTGTTGAGAAGTTTGGAAGTGTGTGGACTAATCCAAGGAAGTTTCACAGCTGGACTGGGGAACACTTGAGCTTCATTGTCAAACGTGTCTTTGAATTCCAACTTTTCCAATAGCTAAATAGATGTGATCAAGAGAACTTGCGCGCAATTGTTGATTTATGACCTACCTCAACCATGTGCTTGAAGGCGACACTATCTCCATGTAGATTTACTTTATTCTAAGATGGAAAAAGTGAGGGGTGTGCTTGACAAAGGACGAGCATATCAGCGTACCATGATGCCCTGTCGCCTGGTTTCTAGCTTATACTGCGAATACGCCTCCACCGGATTATCCACGACTACAGGATGTGGTGTTTTTAGCGATGCGTCAACGCCGGTGAAAGGATTGTTATGAACACTGCGATCAAGGATAGACGACAGTGGAGTTTCGGGCTGGACAAGTGTCATCCATTGAGAATTGTAACCATGTGAACAGTGCTCTACCATATGCGAGTTCGAATTGTTGACCATCGCGTGTACAGGGATAACGAAAATTCAGTAGTTGGGAGCTAGGTTAGGCTTCAGTTCAACGAGTATTTAACCAAGCGTTCGTCAACATACGCGCGTAAACCTCAGGCTTTCTATGAAGTCCAATGTCCAGCTCAAGATTTCGAATAGGGCGAGGTAATATGCGAGTTGTACTCGATAATGACCTCAAGATACAGGAAATTGATCAAGTACTAAGTCAGTCTCGGAGTCTCCAAGCGCTCGGCAGTGACAGTGTCACGTTTTCAATATTTCAATCCTTATCTTGAATTATCTGTTCTGTCTGATCTAATTGGGTCTTTCAAATCATTACACGTGACAGCATTCTGTCTTGTCTATCTCACTCGTCCTGCCAAAGTCAAAATCTGCTCAAACGCAATTCCACGGAGTCAAACTCCGTTGAATGCGAAATACTCTCTCTCTATCTATACAGGCCAACTCCATTGTCAATACTCGTATGATCGCGAACCTCGACTCAGAGCTTTCCATCTTGGATACGACATTTTGTTCGCCACCTCTAGCGGAAGAATCTTCGAACGCTGATCCAGCAACATCCCTTATCGGATCAGCCGTCAAGGACCATTCGACAGACCCTGTTATTCACTTCATGTCATCGGGAGAGGCCGTCTCAGACGTTTCTCTTAATCAGTCTACTGAAATGGAAGAACGGCCTGTTTTGGAGTCGCAGAATCAAGTCAGTCAACGCGCAGAAGTTCCTCGAGACGAGGCCGTTGACGATAGTGACACTCCCACTAATGAAGCGGTTCCAGCAGCTGTACCCGAAGCACTATTCGCAGATTCCTGCAGCCACGGACACTGCTGACCACTGCTGACTCACAGGATGAATTTTCTGCTAATACCCTTGGTTTGAAAAAGCCGTCACTTGGTCACGAAATCCAATTGCCAGCACTGACGGCACCTTCGGAATCAGTGCAGATCAACGTCGAGAAATCGGTGGAAGTCATGCCTGATTCCCCCAATGTTGGGATTGCCACTAGAGATAACTCCGACCTCCGCGTTCACGTCAATGAAGTCGAAAGACCAGAATCGCGATGGACTCCATCTTATAGTGTCAGCAATCAAGTTCCTGACGTGAATAGGGAAGAAGACATCCAAAATCGAGCAGCTTCTCATATCTATAGCGCCTTTCTCACCTCCTGTCCCCACTCAAGGCATTGAGCTGCCTTCTTCCCCAAAATCATTCAATCCTGCTGAGCTCCGGAACGAATTAGGCTGCCGTCTACCGCGATGTCGAGGGAAAGTCAGTAAATTTGTCATGACGCGCGTTATTTGGGCTCACGCACGATCTTTCATCAAGGGAGTATACTCCATGTTGACTGTGTGGGAGTCGTTGTTCTCGCTGTCTGTGTTTGGATTGGAGTCAGAGAACGTTGCGTTGCGGAATGATTCTGTATGGGGAGCAGATTCCGTAGTGGCGGAAGTAGCTGGTTGCTACTGATGTTGGGAATCATTGCTGCCAGACCGTGAATAACCTACTTTCTGTACAACGTCCTATACAACGTCCTATCAGCTATTCGTTCATCTTGCGATTGTCGATTTGAACAAACCCACATCATATCGGAGTCCACGGGCCAGAATCCAAAGTACGCTCCTTGGACCAAGTGATGAGTTGGAAAACAGTATCATTAGCACCTTTCCTCCAGACAAATTCCTTAACGACATCAGAATGCCCTTGGAAACTATCTACCGGAACTCGTGAGGTACCAGGGCCTAATCCTTGGTTCTCGAGAGAACATCTCCAAGGCAGTTTCGCCGCGTTGTGCGAGACTAAGGACACCACGACCGAACGGAAGACCGTGTGCACGCCAAACAGGGTACCCGGTCTTAATCCTGGTTCTCAAAGTCATCGTTTTTGAGTTCCAGACTTTGATGGTTTTGTCTAACGAGCACGTTACGATTTCCGTTGGTTTGGTCTGCGACCAATCGATGCCATAAATACTGCGATGAGTGTGCATCAATTGTTGCAACAGGCAGACTGCCTTTCCTTCGGTCCCAGATGAGAACCTTGTCCGCATGCGAGGAAGCAAGGATGTGAGAGTTTTGGCGGTTCCAATTGATCAGGGTCCCAGGTGAGCTGAACGCACCCAAACCAAAAATTGATTTACAGAGTTTCACGCATGTCCCAGGCCCATATTCAGGAATCTATCCCAGTACTCACAACTGTGTCCCTCTCAGTCATGTGCCAGTTGATATCGGTAATGGCTCGGTAGTGAGAATGAAGGATATGTTATTTGGATGTCTTTCCGGACATGTACAGATTCCATATCAATCTAGCAGAATGATCAGCGACAGTGACAAGACCGTGCCTACAGGTCAATAACTATAGAGGTTCTGAGGTCGGATATGGGCCGGAAATGGCCCGGGATAACTCCGAGGTCCGGAGCCGAGTACTGGCCTGTAGTACACACTGGGAGTGGGACGTCGGTGAAGCTATTAGCAACACCCTTCACACACTGTTGGTGTCCCCGGGAATTATGGCAAGAGTGCAAGATTGGGATGAGCAGCCTAAATGGGGTTCCTGATGATCCGGGAGTCCGGAAGCAAAGGGTAAAGAAGATATTAAAGACTGGGATAAGATGGTACACTTGATTTCAAGCTTGACTACAACGTACAAGTATTCTAGCTTATATACATCCCAAATACAGTAGTCATAAGACCTCGATGAAAGCTCGGAATAATAAATAAGTCACAAGGTAATTATTCCGAAGTCCGGCCGCTCCGGGCCGGGCCGGGAAGCGTATGGGTGAATTGCATGCATATGACAGACAGTTCCACTGCACGTCAGCCACATCCCAAGTTCCGCCCTGAGGAAGGAAACACGGAACTTCGAATGGTGCTTCCAGGTCGATGACGAACAATCCGCGTCGAACTGCCAAGACTACATCTCTAGACCAAGGGCTTATGCTCATCTAGATTGAACAGATTAATGCCTACATCAAAAGAGAAAGTCTTCACGTACATTCCCCACAGCATCCATCTGTACAAGGAAGCCCCACTATCTCTGCAGCCCAATAACTTCAGGCCTAGATTATCCCATCAAAGAGTCTCCTGCATCCCCCGCAGAATGGTCCGTCGACAAGCTGGTACCAGGAACGGAGGAATTCCCTGCAAAGCTGGACATTGAGATTGTGCCTTCGAAATCAAGACAGCGATACTGTCCGCCGGTCTTGATCAGCCACCAGAAGTCCCTTCCGAGGCGCATTTAGAAATAACCTTCAAACACCTATTAGCATGATCATATCCGACGTATAAGTGCCAGTTGACGTTCCCGTTGCAGACTGTTCCAGTAACTGTAGATATCAAAGATGGGGAGGGGACATACAAAAACAAAGACGCTACAGAACCTGCAGATGTCGTGAACGCTGCAAAGGTAAGCCCAGGGATTAATGTTGGAGTGTTGCTGAGACGTACGATCTGCAGCATGAAGAACCAAAGAAATCATTTAGACCATCGTCGCCTTGGGTTCCATCGGATTCCGTGTCTGTACAACTCCAGACCTGTACCCGCTACTGAACTTCCCGAAAATCTAACTCCTGTGATTGAGCTATCAGAAGAATCTGCTGAGTCTGCATCTTTGATTCACCCAGACTCCCCGAGATATTCTGTCATATCCTTTCCTTTTCAGGCTGGGAGAGGTCGCTTTGACTTGCCATTAATCAATGTATACTCAATCTCATGTTTTCTGCTCCCCATGAACGTAACGTTACGCTCATTCTTACTTATATCACTTGTGCCCATCGATGAGTCTTCAAACGTTTAAACAGACGCAAGTCAATGTTCTTCACAAGATCGTTGGTGATATTGTTTTAAATCTGCCTTTATTTGATCCCATCGGCATGGCACTGCGATGCTGCAGGTTGCAATTCTTGCACTTCTTCAATTTCACCCTTCATCCTCTCTGGCTGCTCACAAAGTTAATTCTGTCCTGTGTTTTGATAGAGCACCTCATATTACTGCACACGCCGTCATCATTGTACACGCTCTATCGCTTGTCTATAGGACATCATCGAGGCAACTTCCAGATTCAAACCGTTCGTTGGCGGCGCTTTTTCTTCACGGCCGTCTCTTGGGCCTGTTTTAGCCGACTCCTCCGCGCCTCACTTTGCTGCTCATCTCAACGCGTCTACCTACCGCCCTTTCCCTCCGCAGACCTTAGCATCGACACCTCTCTTTCTTTGCCTCCTCGGTATCCATGCGTCGATCTTTTGAAAACTTACAACGGCGCTTTGGCTTGCGAGAGATGCAGGGGATTTCAGATGCGGATGGCGAGGGATATCTATACGCCTACGTTGATAGTGATGGGTGGAAAATAGGAATGTCAAACAATTTCGTTCGTCGTCAGAAGGAGTGGGACAAGGATTGCCCTAGTCCATGGAGAATATGGCTTCCACCTATTCAGGTCGCAAATAGACGGAGGGCGGGTGAGTGTCTTGACTTTTGCCTGTATACATCTCATTGGTCTGTAGAAACACTAGCACATCTTCTGCTTGAGATGGCATGTGTTGACCCCCCGCGAATCTATTGTCAAAACTGTACGTATCTGCGCTTTAGTCTCTTAGTTTGTAATACTATATGTCTGAAATATAGGCCAATGAGCGCACATCGAGAAATTCGTTTTCTATGGACCCTGGCACGTCGTCTGGACCACGATTGTTTATCCAATCTTTTTAAGGGCTGCTGTTTCGTGAAGGTATGTGGTTTGTCCACTTTTTAAAGCAGTTTGACTGACATTTCAATAGTCTTGGTAGATAATAGCATCAAATTTGTGTCGCCTTGTTGTTAATCTTGAATCTGGAAGTAATACCTGAGTTGCAATATGTACAATACAGACTAAAAGATGGGTTTCTGTGACTTTTGGTGCTGAACGAGTGAATACTTATTAGTTAAACTAGAATCATCCAGATACGAACCGGTGGAACAGGTCCTCAACGGACAAGCGGTCAATAATCAGATGCACAAATCTTCCAGCATTTGAAGGTCCTCAAGTACTCGAAGATTCTCAAGACCTTTCAAGCATCAAGATCTTACATTCATATACATGTATATTTTGAGTAGACGTATCAATAAAATATGATTGTCCTTCGTATATTTCCAGCTCAACATATCACATATACCAACACCGTCACCTATACCGACATCCTCAGCACCAAGTTCCGATATCCCGACATCAGGGACGTCCCGATGTTTTGATGTGTCGACATCGGCGGCGTCCGAACATCTGGACATCACGACAACGGGTATGCATAGGCTCTGGGAGGTTTTTCAGAAAAACCTTGCCTTTTACACGAGGCAATTACTTGTATAATATATGAATTTTTCCTAGCAAGAATTTCGAGCGATCATTCAGTATAACCTTCAAATTCCACCACCATTTACTCTATCAGGATAAATTAAATGACATTCAATTAAACGGGACCGCTAAAGTCTGAATAATCGGCACGAATTTTGAGTTAATTTCCTTCAAGAGGTTCATTGTAGAATATTGTTGCTAATCGCTCAATATTAACTCTATAAGGTGCTTCTATTTATGGAAGAAAAATTTTAACATTCTCCCACTCTGAAATCGAGCGGTTTATGTACCAAACCTCCCTATATTTTCAGCCTTTCCACGGCAAGGAAACGCATCGATCCCCGCAGTGCCAGCCGTCATAAACATCAGCTTGGCCAATAGCAACCAGTTGCTCTTTCATTCTGTAACTTGATCAGGAACGCAGCCTGATAATGATTCTTGGGTCGCGCGTAAATGTGCGACTGTACTCCGCTGGGGCTGCAGCACCTGGTACATGCACAACAAGCTGAAGGGCGATGAAGCTTTGTTTGCGGCCAAGTATATGCTAGGAGAAAGGGCGGGACAGTACGCGATCCACGGTGGAGGTTTTCCAATCCGGGTAAAGGGTGTCGAAGGCATTATAGGTGTGATCGTGGTTTCGGGCTTGAAGCAGGAACAAGACCATCAGGTCATTGTAGAGACACTCGAGCACTACATTAACAACCGGAGCTGAAGGAATTGTACTTCAGGAAACATTGAAATGCTCCGTGTAGCTCAGCAAAATCTCACCATCACTCCGTACAGCCCGTATAGCCATATTTTGTACATAAGGTATATCCTGCTTACCTCCTGACCAATTCTTTTTTTGTTTTGAAACTCGAGCCTTACCAGCAAACCCTCTTGGTCAAAGCAGTGATTCGGCTACCGCTTTCGAGATGGCATCCGGATCTGGCCCGAAAGGGCAGTTGTAAATCAAAAACAAAAGCTGCAACCTGAGCTGCGACTCCCATACGGGTGCCAGTAATTCGCCATAAATACCACTACTAAATCGTACTCACTGAACACGCTCAAACCTTATTCGAAGAGAAAAGTTTACTGAACGTACAGTATATGTTCATGCGTGATCACTGACCTACTCTCTGGTTTATTGCCCCATCGAAATCCCGCCTCTAAATCTCAATCCTTTCAGCTCTTCGTATCATTCATCATAACGGCCGTCTTGACCAACATCCAATACCGCAACGCCTACTTACGAAGAGTATAAATAATAATAAGAAATTATATAGAAAAAGCAAGGCTGCATCCTGGAGCTTACTCAGGCAGTTTGAGGCCCTAAGCTCGAGCATTAAGCTTAGGGGGTAGAAAAGGCCTCAAACTCTATGCTTGACATAGCCCGAATCGATCAACTGTTTTTTTACTGCGATAGACTCTGATTCACCAGAGGAGTCATTCGACGATGACATTCGATACTGTACTCAGTGAATGGGTAGTAACAGATGATCATCGCTGGTAGCACTAATTCATACCCATATACCAAAGTTTAGATCGCCATGACAGGCAATCGACAGCTCCGTCATGGTAAGACCTTATAGAATATATGGATAAATGAGGACCAAAATGGGAAATACCCCAAACGCAAGTAGGGTACAAAGGGAGGACGAAATGAAAGACAATTTCTTCCTTCCTTTTTTTTTACTGCGGGAATTTTGAATAACTTGAGCCTCGGGTTACACTGACTGGTATTGTACAATTAACGTACCCCGTTGGGGACATACACCTTGCTTGCGGTGCTTCTCACGTGCCGGACAATGTTGATTTCAGATCGCATTGTGATATCAAAGTCTTATTATCAACGCATTCATTCTACTTAACTTCATCGTTCCGAATGACATTAACCTAGCCAAGATCCAGAATCAAAACTCGTTGTACTCCCACACAAACCAAAACCTAATGTCATCATTCATGAACACGGCGACTTTATCGTTAAACCGACACACATTCAACCTCTTCCACATCGGATAACGTACTCTGATATTAATTTCCAAGTGTGGCTGCCGCTGATATGGATGGATAACTTTTGGTAGGCTCTGTACGCAGGTAAGCAATTACGTGATCCTCATCATAAAGGTAACGGAACCAATTGAGCTTCAAGTGTTCATTCGGGGCAAGCGCGGATAAGTTCGAAGGACCGGCTAGTGTGGTCATGCCAGCACAATCCTTCGATGTGCAGCCGGGTAATGAGGTAGTGACATTCGTGAAAAGAAGTATTAGCAGCAAGACAACATCCTCTGATGACAAGCTGGCGAAGGGATGATAATGATCGCAGATGGGCAGGAAAAGTGGGTGGCAGACAAAGTTCAACAAGGTGGAGTGACGAAAGATGAGAGACTCGAGGTATGATCATTGTAGCCCATTTCATGGAAAGGTTACAGCAATTACGAGTATGTGATGGGAATGGGGGGACAGGACACATCGCAGGACTGCCAATCCAGATACATTTAATATGGTGAAATATTTCGCATTCGCTGCTGGACCAGGTGGGGACGACGGCATTGACAGCGTCGGACGTAGGAAGTGGATTGAATGAAATAGGTGCGGGGAAGCGAGGGAACGGAGGCGACGTGAGGACTGAGCGAGGGCAAATAGTGAGTAATGTGACAGATAACACAATATCCAATATATCCAGATTTCGTTTGGTAGGCTTTCGAGTGAAGAAAGGGATGACCGGGAGAGGGGCGCGACTGACTGCAATGAAGTAATGAGCGAAAAGATGAAGATGAAAGAAAAGAAGGTAAAATCGAACGCTTATTTTGCTGGACATGAAAGGAGTTTGTCCAAAGACTAGGCCACAGGGGAAGTTTTTCAGAAATGGGCACGAAAGAGTCACACTTTATATGATACTTACACAGCACAAGGGATGCATTCGGACCGAACATGGAAGCAAAACGTTAGCGACGAAGCAAAACGTTGAGGGACGCTACGAAGGTAGTGGAGGGTGGTCACAGCCGTAGTGTGACAGGCAAGCGCAGGGTTGTAGAAGGGAAAGTAAATCAGGGCTGCATGAAGGTTCACAAAAGGGTCACATGACTGCCTTATAGGGCAAAGGCGATGCATCGGATTGGAGAAACATGACTTTAAAAGGAAATTTTGCATGGGCGCTTGAGGTTATGGATGTTCATTGACCATTGCAAGCAAGGTGATGGCTGAAAAGTGCGACAACAATTCACACGGCTCTTTGGAACATCACCTTGCTTGCAAGGTCTATTGCACTCCAGAAGTTAAGTTATTTTGTGCAGGCACGTTTTGGTTGTGCTTGGCCTCATGCTTTTGCCAAATGTTTACAAACATCCTGAACTCTGTGCTTACTTTGCAGCGCACCTTATGTGCGCCGCATTCTTTCCTCAATACTCAGATTAAATAATTCTTAGCGCCGTGCTGGCATGGCAATCCCCGACTCTGAATGGTCTCTGATGTATAAGGTAAACTAAAACTGGGAAAGGGCCTCGTTCCGAGGCACTGACCTTGGCTGGATTGCCTGACTTGCCAATAGGATACAAAGATATGGATAGTGAGCTTAGGTACAATTTTTAATGATATGCACACTTGCAGCAAGTAGATGTCTCAATAGCACAAAAGTAATGCAAAAAACAGATTCTAAACAAACTCCATTTTTACAGTAACATTTGGATGAGGTAGTTAGACATTGAGAAGGATGAGATAATTGGAGCAATGAGCAGATGGGGGACAAGTCAGGTCGAGAACTTGAATACACACCACAAGCTCCGCCATAACTTGCAGCACTATTAGTTGCAAATTCTAACAATGCTCACTTTCCACTACTACAGCATGTTTCAGCTGCCAAATTCCAATGATGACAATGCATGTAAAGTAAGTTTACACAAGTATGGCTGACACCCCAGAGTGGAACAGAACTGCATAAAAATGCAACAGTTCACTGTAATGATTCCATTTACACAAGATCACAATATTAATGATTTCACTGTATTATTATAGTACTTCAACACTGACATATTGTAAGACCTGGGTCAGAATTGGTCTTAAGGGTGGATTTGGTATGAGAGGTTTATGTTGTAGTGTGCTAGGAGCAAGCTGTAGCTCAAAGGGAGCTACAGGAACTGCGACTAAGGACAGGAATGACCTAGTAGTAGTTCTGATTGTGAGATGTGACCCTTGAAGGGGTTCCTAGAAGGTCCAGGGAGGTCTCTAGGATGATAACCAGTGGAGATAAAGATAACTGGGAGCTAGGGGACATAGGAGTGTTGCATAGTATGAATTGTAATAGCTAGGAACGTCAACGTAGGATCATTATAGCTAGTAGATGGTGTGAGCTTCAGACATGAGAGCTCCCAATAGAGTGTGAGCCTGGGAAGTGGGGGGTAGCAGTTGGCGTCCTCAAGTGGTGGGGGTGGTAATGGAGAAGCGGCACATAGTTGGACGTAAGGGGGAGCTTCGACATTACCTAAGTCAAGGTCCAGAGCTCATGGAGCAACTAGGGAGGTTGGCTCACCGAAACGATAGATGTTTGGGGAGCTTGAAAACTCACTCAGATTGCTTAGACATGAAGTAGAAGTGTATATTAGATTGTGTAGATGAGAAACAGAAGTAGAGAGACTGAGATAATAAAACAGAGAGTAGAGAGAAAATCTGTATAGTTAGCAGAGACTGGACCTATGTAAAAGGGTGTGTGTTCAAAATATACCAAGCTGGTGTTTGGGACACTACAGGACTGCTTAAATAGGTACAGAGAAGTTAACAAGGGAGCATCAGGGGATCTGGTATGTGTAAGGTAAATGATCGAGCTTAGGTACTAATGGGGTTGCTGCAATGGGAAGGTCCTGGCCCGAAAGGGGTTAAGTCTGTGCATGCTTGTATCCTGGGAGGTGTGGTGAGTTATCGAAGTCGAGGTAAGGCAGGGGAGCTTATGGAGGAGGTCCCGTGATGAAGTAGAGAGAACGAGGGGGTCTCTCCAAGGTTGGATAAGAGTAAAGGGAGGTAGGTTAGGGCATGAAGGTAGGTCAGAGCATGACACATATATAGAAACACACTACAAATGCATACTGTAGTATTCACTGGCACCCAAAAAGGCAACAATATCATTAAACCATGTGCACCATCTATATACCTAAAGTTAAACCATACAACACAATAAAAAAAGTAGCTACACACACTGCCACCAAATTGGTTCAAACAGTTACACCTATGTATCATACAGCTCCTCTTGCAAAATAATCTCACAAAACACGGCCATTTGAATCCTCCTCTTTCACAGTTGGTGAATGCTTCTATCATCAAACAAAAATTACTGCCAATGCCACATGACAATTTACCAAGCAAAACGAATCTACGGCTCCACTACCGTAACAGGTATACAACCAATGATCATCAGACTCCTGACATCATACTCAACCCATATTACGGCTCAATATATTTGCAGAATGATCTTGAAAAACAAGGCCGTTTGAAACCTACAAGGACCTCCTCCTTCAGAGTCGGTGATCAAACAAATTTCCACAAGGCTTTTGAAGTGTGTATATCCTGTAGTGCACCTTATGTGCCTTGTTTTTTTCACTTGATACTTGAACTAACGTGCGAAAGTGGGCCATCGCGCTGCGCGCGTGGCAAGAACGAGTCCGAAAATCAGAGTTGCATATAAATAAGTGCAGATGCTGTGTAATCTCTGCAACAGAGTAAATCTATGTGAGTGATTGTGTTGGCCTCCAAAACCATATTCCCTCCATCTCGCATCCCATCGTGTACCTCATATTGAGGGTGACGGATGAGGAGGAAAGCGCTCGAGAGGGGCGGCAGTTCCCAGCCCAACATGGGCACCAGTGGATGCAGCAAGCCAGGTGGCAAAACAAACACCATGCAAACGCGAGGAAAGTAATGGCCAGGAGTGCAAAAGTTATTGAATTGCGCAGAGTAAATAGATGCAGTACGTAGCAGGGTAAACATGGGGTAGATACAGAGATAAGTAAAGCACCAGCATTTGGGAACAAAAAGTGGGCCGACCATGCGAGAACAGTACGAAGAATGCGGGTGATGGGATAGTGAAATACACTGAAAATGGTGTTTATGGTGCTAGAAGATAGGCAGAGGTTGTGTACCACAGGTGGCAAAGGAGAATGTGGACGAAGTTGGAGAAAATATTGGCGATGAGAGATAGGCTGGTGAGCGGTCGAGTACTTCGTTGTGGTGCCAAAGACCGAGCAATATACCTGTCGTTCCCATCTTCAGCTGCAGCCCCGGCGCGCGTGGACAAGAAGAGGAACGCACCTCTCTCCCCTTCGAACCCCGTCCCAAAATCAGACTGTTCTCTCCAACCCACCTCCCCCTTGGTCAGCTCCATTCCCATCCTCGAATACCCCAGAAGATGTGGCGAATTGGCCATCCTGATTTGGTCGTTGTTTTCAAGACTTTTGTTGATGAGCTGTGGCAGAGGCTTTTGCAGAAGAATGCCGGAGAAGTAGGACGAGAGGGGGATGTAGTGCAGCCAAGAATTCGCGGCAAGATGTAGGGCGCAGACAATGTTGGAGGTGGGGGCGCCGTAGGTAACGCAGAGTGACGAAAAGGTGACGAGTGGCGCGAAGCGTGACAGTCCAAGTATGGGGAAAAAAAAATCGCTGAAAGAGGAAGGTCAAAAATATATAAGGAAGGTCAAAAATATAAAAGGAAGAATTCCCACGCTGGAACCCACTATAAGACGAATCCTTCATTACATTTCGGACTCGTAAAATCTACACCTTGACAAAGACACTCAGATGATACTTAGACCACCCTACACTTTTTGCATACATAGATCCTGCATCATTCCCTAGTTCCTGCCATACCAGTTCTAGTATCAGTTTAACTGGAATTTATCCTTTCCCAAGCAAGGTGCAGTCCACGGCAGTGGAGCCTAGTATTCACATGACCGCGAATTCAGAAATTAGTAAACAATCATTATCTCGCGCACCTGCGAAAGAAACGCCCTACATACAACCTTCGGACAACAGATTCGTTGAAATATCGCTCGGGTCAACTCGACGAAAAAAGGGGCGCGGTAATCCAAGACTTAGAGAATATGGTGCCGGAAGTGGATTTAGATTGGTTCTTCAAAAATCTCCTATCCCCTCTTCCAGACGCCATAGACATCTTAGCCATCGTCGAACAGCTGCGAAAGTCCGGGGCCATAGTTAGAGAAGGATGGGGCGAAATTTCCATCGACCCGAAGGCCGAGCGTCGCCATGAAGACATTGTATTCGCGCAACTCGCCGGGCAATCCTCGATGCTGTAAAGGTTGCGCAACCCACTCTTCAGCAGACCTTCACCCTTCTATTTAAACCTGCCCAATCGCCAACAAACGAGGATCTAGTACGAAGCCGGACAATCTCTGGGTGTCGATGAAAGATGCTGAAAACATCAAGAAGGATCCAAGTTGTTTCTACACCTGGTATAATGTCGCAGGCCCAGCAGAAGACGAGAAGCGAGATGAAAGGTTCAGAGAACATCATAGCAAGGTCAGTATATTGTCTTGTCGTCCGTGATCACCCATAATGTTGCTCAAATTGTCTATAACTTACAGCAAATCATGTCTCTTGATCCTTGTCGTCGATTCACCTTTGGAATGACAATACAGGATAGGGAATTGAGACTCTGGTTTGTTCTCACTACAAAGCCATGCGATTTTCTAAAGGTAAGCTTCTGAGCCATTTGCACTCCTGATACTGACTCGGACTACAGGACCATGCCCGACTCGTCCATCTTTTTATTTCATTTGTGTTCTCATCTCGCACAGATTTCGGCTGGGATCCGACTATCACTTGTACAGATCCTGCGTTCAACCCGTCTAATCCGCGCAAGAGACGTGTATATTCAATCGAAGTCCGCAATGACCAGGGCGAAGTGCGATGGTTCGAAACTATCCGGATTCTCGCAGATTATGCTGCTGATAGCACTGTGAGTAGCGCCACGCGGGTCTGGTTAGTCCGAGACGAACAAGGTGTACAATATGTTCTCAAGGATGTTTGGCTTCACATGGATCGACTTCCAGAGCACGAAATACGTGCACAGATACTGGCCGACGTTTTCAAATATGGTGGTGCTCCAGATCAAGCTACGCTCAAGAGGCATCTCTTGACTCCCTATGTCTGCGGCAAGGTTTTCGTTAACGATGGTGTCGACACTACCGATGGGATGATGTATCAAGAACTGCCCGCCATATCTTCTGATTCAATCTTTACTTTGAAACTGGGGAAGATCAGCAACCCCCTCCGTCAAAGCCGTGACCCGGCCTCTGCCTCGGAGACTCATTCCGGATCTCTCAGAGAGATTACTACAAGTCGCAAATCCCAAATGAGGAAATCCGCAATACAAACGCCCAGATTGCCTTCGTGGCGTGGAAGTTTAATGAAGACTCCTGGCCAGATAACGATCGAGGAGCTTGGTCTTTCACCATCGCTTGCACCTGCAGTCCGCACCATTTCTCACATGGCTTATAACTTTTCTCGCGCATTTACCAGCGCAGAAGCATCGTATCACACTGTCAATATCGATGACAATTTCCTGACTTCTGTAAAACCTGGATTTTCGGCTAATAGCTGGAGAGCAGCTGACAGCGCTGTCCAGCCGGGAAAGCACCCCCAGCAGTTGATCAATACTGCTGGGAGTGCTTTCAGTGCTGGACAGCACTCTCCAGCCAGTATCCTTGCTCTGGTGAACATCCATGTTTTGCAGATCAGTGTCCTTGTTTCGTGCTCTGGTCTGTACTCGGAGTACAGACCAGAGCACGAAACAAGGATATTATAATTATGCAATCATTCTTTTCCTAGTGTTGCTCCATCTCGCTTGACCTTGGGCCCTGTATAACTTTATCTCTATCATTGTGCTGCAAATAAATCCTACTCTTGGTACATACTTTAACATCTTCGCCACTTATACTCTCTATAATCCGTACTCCTCTCCCTACCTATAATATAATTGTACGTGACATGTAGTCGGCAGTATGAGTAGATGTGGCTAATTTCACTAATGACTCGAGGAGATACGACTTGCCACTACCTTTTCAGCTTATATGCATTTTTAAAAATTAAGACTGTTGGGCTAGATAGGTCGGGACTGATTGTTTGACTATCATGTCATTTTTCGTTTCATCTTGATACGCCCATCTCGGGAGTTGCATGGTCCAGGCTTGACCACCGTACTGGCAATTTCCAAAACTGTCCTAGTATTGCCCAACCGTCTACGGAAAGAGACGGAGAGACGCAACAAATGGTCTGGTCTGGTGTCTGGATGTGTTTTACCCGAGTACTGCCTTGTTTAGGCTGTTCTCGGCATGCCTCACGGTAGCTCGCGGTCCAAACGTTGCGCTGTCAATAATGGATGACTTCCCGTAGGAATTATTTGCAGGACACCAGACAATTAATTTGTGCCACCAATATAAGCGAACCTAAGCGAAGATGGCCGGACAGCGGCTTCGCAAAAACTGCATCAAAACCAACTTACAACGGCCTCCCTACCCTGTTGTAAACTGGTTTTTGGTGTAAGCGAGGGTCCCATCAACAGTCCGTACGTCGCATCAAATACCGTTAATAGTTAACTGCAGGTTAACTGCAGAATAATTGCAGCGGGAAGTCACCCAATTTGACAATGTGTTTTCCAGATGTTCAGGTTTAGCCGATAATATAAAAAGAAGAGCTGTCCTCCATCGATTAGGTCTTTCCCTTCCGATTACATTGTACCAAAAAATCTCTTTCTCTTTGTTTGAAACCGCCGACTTGCCATGACTAAACTCATCAAACCACACCCTCCACATACTCCTTCTAGGACGAATGCTCATACCAATGAGTCAAAAGAGAGTGAAGAAGTCCAAGAGCCGAAAGATTCCAAACCTGTGGCTTTTCCAACCACGAGCGACGCTAGTCCTTTTTCTACTCCATCGAAATTCTCTAAATTCCACAGGTCTTCGAGGCATTCGACTTCCTCCACCTCCTCCTCCGATAACCAAGACGACCATGACGGTCTGAGACTGCGGAAACCCAGTTTGCTCAAGACAGTAAAACGTGTCAGCACGAAGCAGTTGCGGAGTATTTCGTCTACGTTGACGAATTCTGCTCATCGAATCACTTTACATGGGCATGGGCATGGTCATCATATCGACCATTCTTCTGAATCCTCAGAGTCATCTCAACTGTCCGAACCTTCTCATTTAACCCAGTCATTCGATTCGTCTCACCTAGCTCCTTCACCTCATTCATCACAGTCCGCCGAACACCCTGAATTGGCAGAAGCGAATTCATATTCATCTTCCAAAGACACACGTCGCCGTCGTGTTTCCCTTCCCTCTTTCCGACTATTACGTCCTTCTAGCTATTCTCGGTCACGTACGGGGAGTAATGTTGGTTCCGTCCCTTCTTCGACAGTAACATCCCTACCAGTACCACCCGTTCCTGCGAATCTCGATATAGGAGTTGGTAGGTCGCATTCGAGTCCTAGTATCTCAACCGAGCGCAACATCGAGTCGACTGTTCTGCCGCCTGTGTTAGCTTCACCCTCAGTCACTCCAACAATGATGACTGCCACGCCAACTTCGCCGACACCGATGGCTGTTTCGGTCCCAGCAGCATTGAGCGCTGATGGCGAGGGCCGAGATACCAAGGATTTCAGGGCCACATCATTAGTTACTGGGGACGATTCGTTTCATCATGCTGATGCGCAGGAAGCGCGGCCTCATCCTCCGGGTCTATTAGTATCAGTGGAACTAGTGCCGACGAGTCCGATTACTAGCAATGAAAAAGCTAAGGCGCAGACGCCTTCAATGGCCAGTCGAGGTGTTACGGAAGATGACACAGCGGCTTCGCTGCCTCCACTACCCTCGTCATCTCGATCCATCGTATCAGTTTCGAGTTTCTTCTCTTACACTCTTCCTCCTTCTGCTTCTCCGAATCATTACAGCTGGACTGATGATATCGATGAAAAAAAGGGGAGTGAAGATGAAAGCGAAGATGAAGATGAAGATAGTGACGATGATTCGGAAGAGCATATCAAAACAGAGAAGGATCTGAATAGAGTCGGCTCACATCGAGTGTCAGAAGGACCTTTCATTTCCAGTGTCTTCATCCTCGTCCCGGTGTTCAGCGTACGGCGGCCTATCGGGTTCTATCTCACCTGGTGGCTAGGTCGAAATGTTTAGACCGGCAAGCTCTAGTGCAGTGATTATCTTTCTCTTGGCTTCATCTTTGAGTTGGGCGCTGATACGTACTGGCAGGTTTATAATACAAAATTAATTCCCGTCAGTCTATCTCTTGGTGGACGTTTTATACGTCCATTAACGCGACGATATTGGGTAACACGGGGATATCCCAAGATTTGTCAACGTAACACGATGGTGAACCAGGACAAAACAGCTTAAGACTTTGGTAGGGATGATTTTGCGAGTTGGACGCTGCATATATAATACATCAATTTCACCAATCGTTTAACTCTTTTCCTCTCGTGTACAATAGAAAATCAATACGAAATCATTCAGGAAATAAATTTAGTTTCCGAGTTCTTCTCTTCACTCTTCCATTCATCTATCCTTTTATACATCTATTCGAACTCTATCTCTTCACCGATGAAATCACCATCTAACGTTCCTCCGATATTTCTATTCCCTAACATTCGTTGGGCGAAGTGTAATGATGAGGACTGGCCAGTACTTGCTGCCCCTTGAGATGTTGTGATGGTCGACGTCGTGAATGTCTGCAAGTTGAGCATGAGGCGGCTTATAAGCAGGTTGGAAAATCTATATATTGAGACAGTGTGTATATAAATTGTGTGGATGAGTGAGAGACCAAGGTTTTTTGAGAAGCTGCCTTACACGTTGAAGAATGGACCAACGACATCGGATAGTGGATCCTGTTGAGTATGATAAGTCAAACAATCTTGCCGGCCATATAGCATGTCGTACAGCTGTGTTTCCCGGAGATCTCGCTGATATCTAAGGCTTACTGCTTTCAATAAATAATTTCTTTTCTTATTTAGTCATTACTCACGACTAACAAAATGCCATCGATCGCTGCCAAGACGAGGGTAGCTCTAGAAGATATTTCCATTAATGAGCCCCTCAAATTTGGAGGAGAAACTCACAGGAAATAAAGAGTCCCTAGTATGAGTGAAATGTATTTGAATCAATCTATCTAGACCCCCGAGTTCAGACACCACTTACCATCCCGGACGATGATTTGCGCTATACTGGATTGACCGGGACAAAGTCTGTGCATATTGATTGCATGATGTACAGTCTCTCTGACTGTGAGTATAAAAATGAATAGGTCATATCCAAACACAACAAACGGTATGCCAATTTCCACTGCAATGAACCAAGTTTTACAGGTCAGAAGACAAGATAAACGAGTCGAGTTAAACGTACTCCTAGAAGATGCGATGAATTCTATGATTGTCAGCGGCTCGAATTGCGAACTTACTTTAAAGGAAGTTCACCCTTGGGATTTGTTTTACACCTCGAGAATATTTGAAAAGGCGATCCGACTGTTGAAATGCCTGGCTCAAGTGCTTCTATCTATCATGAAGGAGGGTAAATAGTGAATTGGCTCCTCTCCACTTTTCCATTAAAACGACCTACCAAAACTTCAAAGATGAAGATAAAAAATATCATTGTAAGAGATGATATGAGAACAAATCGGTTCTTGTTATATATCGCATAAATTCTCAGAGCAAAAAGGACTTTCGAATAAAATGACAAGGCTCAAAATCCGTTCCTGACTCCAATGAAAGTTGATAAAGCAGCTTACTGTTTGTTATAGCAGAGGTCACACATTGCAAAAGTGAATACAACCCGTCGATTACTTGACACCTTGTTGCTCTGTTAGTGTTTAAAATAGGTTAGGAGATTTCTTGACTCACTCCTTGTTTGTCCCATTTCCTGGTAACACCCTTAGCGCCTGAAATATCAAACCCAAGAGGAACATGTATCTATTCATGAGGAATAACATTGAAGTTCCGGTGGTTTTCCGATTCACCCATATTGAATCAATCTCCGTGGGCAATGTTTCAATAAATTCGGCGATCCATAATGCTGCAAAACATTTCATAATTAAACTCGTCAACAAAGGATCTTCAGAACTGTGAAGCGAGATCACTTACTGCTTCCTGCAACAACGACGTAGTTGGCCACCATCCTTGATCGATTGTTCATCTGAAAACTATGGAATCTGGATTACAAAAAAAATCCACGTACCACGTTCTGTCGTCTGAAATCACATCGCCCATTCACGAAAGCTGAGGAGAATCTTGAAATAGTTATGAAAGCGAAATGAATGTCCTCAAAAGTTGGCGGAAACGGTCGATATTGCTACTTTGAATCGCCAGATGACTTTATACCATGGAGGTTTCTTTCAAGTTGGCCCATGCTTTTCCGACTCCGTGATCGGGATAGTAGCGTATTATTTATTTAAGGTAAGTCGGGAGTGGGTCGCTAGCCTGCGGCGGCAGCTACGCAGTCAAGCATATCAAGTTCCAGACTATGAAGTTGAAGAAGTCGAAGAAAATGATCATGAAGTTGCCCAGTGTGAACGTTGGATTAAGTAAACTTGAAATCTTCGGGAGATTTTATGCTGTAGTTTAAGCGCTGTATTTCCCACATGGCTACGCAGCGGCCTGCCTACTGCATTCTGACAATGAATCATTTATGTGTCATGAAGGAAGGGCAATATCGAGCGTATCCAAGGCTGTAGGCTGTATAAAGCAAGAGCTCTTGAAGAAATGTAGAGGTACGGAGGGTGGACACTAGAGGCTTCCGGAATCTCCACCGTGACCAGAAGAGGCAACCTTAAAAATGTTCCTCAGACTTGGACCATGAGGTCCTGGACTCGCGTACTCTGTTTTGGGATACGTAGACTGAGACTCGAGTTTCATTTATTTGCGGCTCGATTCAGCTCCTCTTGAACATTTCATAGAATCTGTTGTTGATTTATATGCCGTGGGGAGCGTTCTTAGGCATTATTATAGTGGAAGCGGCAAGCGTTGAGCTTTGTATCGAGAGAACGGTATCCATGTACAGGATTTGCCGTCAGCGGGCAAGGTACATATTAATTTGATTGGCAATTGAAGAAAACATTGAACGTAAAACTCGCCTTTTTGCGTAGTCGAAATTTGAGGCGTCCTTGAAAGCTGTGATGTTCGCTTCATGGGCAATCAGAGCTATTCCTGACACCATAGGGCTAGCTGCTTGTTAGAGATGACGGATTCATGATATGCTAGAGATCTAAACAAAAAAAGATTTAGTCCATGAAAAGTCATGTGATCGTGTATATTGTCAAATGATCACGAGACCGTCTTCATGCGCCTTGCCTCTTCTCTCCTTGAATGAGCTCCAATTTCAAGCTTTTCTCAGAAATGCACATGGAACATCGTGGCTTCTGTGTATACGACCCCAAAAACAGTGCAAGACGACTGCTTAGGCGCATTTGGATATAGGGACCGACGAGGAGTTCTTTTAGGCTGAGTTCTGCTTTGCTCGGCTCGTGAGTCTCAGTGTTTTGATCAGTGAGCGCGTCAAGCTGACTAGAGCTGACAGAGGTTGACCGTGTTAGCCCCAATGACTTCAACAATGCTTACAATCGTCAAATCAAGTCGGTTGTGCCTGCACTAACTATGTAGGACTAGCTGCGGCGTGCGCGCAAGCTCATACTCTGGACCTATTGTTACTAGTATGACTTTCTTTCGAAAATCTCACTTTCATTCATCTTGCTCGAATTGTTATAACTACGGCTGACCCAACTGGAATGATAACAATGGACCTATGTTGGGTCTAAACCTCTTCGTTCTTGTTCTGGTGCTCGGGGTATGTAGAAGTCTGAATTTAACAGGCACACTCAATCGATGTTCCCTTAGAGTCAGTTGAAATGGTTGGTTTACAGTCCCGCAACGGATTTCAATCAGTCTCGAGTAGGAGGTCATTGTGATTATACTGCCGCGCTCTATCGGTGCTTTGTGCTCTAGGCCTGATATCAGTGCTAGGAACCAGACAGGTGTGATTCCAAGTTTGACAAAACACGACATAGAGGCTCAAGGAAGCTATGCTTAATATATCGCGATCCGCTGGTACAGTTATACGTAAATTTTACCAGTCATTTTAGCACTCGTTGACAACGTACGGTAGAGCGTCGGTGCATAAAACTATCCGAATAATGGAAATTGAATCGCCTTTTAAAATAAACATTCATCTACCTGCATCAAACCTCCAAAACTCCCCACCCAAGTCACCATGCCCAGATCGAAATTATTCCAAACTCATGGTCAGAAGCTCCATGATAACAGTAATAAACCTGAGACTATCGAGTTTCCTTCGGGCTCGCCTGTTTCCTCTTCTTCAACTTATTTTGCTCCACCATCGACCTCCTTCGAGGGCAAACAAGAATTACCCACTATCTGCCTAGACAGCGACCACGATAGCGTCCCAGCAATCCTTATCCATGGCACAAATTCGGAGTCACCAGTGCCAAAAGAAAGCAGCCACTTATCGCTGATCAAATCGATTGCGAAAAAGGCTAGCATGAAGCGTTTGCGGAGTGTCAGTAGACCATCTACGAGTTTTCACCACCAGGATCATCATGTTAATCACAATCGAGACACATCTGACTCGTCATTATCATCGTCTACATCCCATGCATCCACATTATGCACATCGTCCAATACATCCGCATTTTCCATAGACTCTCCTCCATCGAACCCTCCGAGTTATCATCGTACACGGTTACTTTCATTGCCGTCATTCCATCGCCGCAGTCGAACTAGTCATAGTACTTCCGAGCAAACCCTCGATCCTGGTACATCGAATTTCGCTTCAGGGGCTTACGATTCTTATGATGGAAATTCGGTTCCCTCATCGCAGCGTTCTTTCGAGGTACTTTCGCGCCCGCGGCGCGCGCAGAGCCAGAATATGGAAGTGATAGAGCAGATAACTTTGAAGAGAGATCCTGATGCCGAAATCAAGCCTACGACAAACCCAACTCATTCCATAGTTTGTTGTCGATGTGGTTCAGAGGTACATAATGCCGCCACAGTCGAGGTTTCGAAGGAATTTCTGGGCCCGATTGATTCGGATGCCAAATTAGATTTGGCCACGAAGGACGTTCAATCTGGAAAACCTCTGGCCTCTGAAGACGAAAATCTCCGGGATATCCCTTCTTCCTCTTCCCCTTCATTTCCCGATCTCCCAGGCCCCTTAGATCTTGTACAAGCTACGAATGAAGACGTGGAGGCAGACGGAGCTTTAGAACGTACTGCGGAATCAGTCACGGACGTGGACATACCTACCCCAGAGACGCAGGAGACAACCGATAAGACTACCACAGAGGCCAGTCAAACGAATGTCACTGTAGTCTCTCCTCGAAACTCTAAAACAATCCATCCCGGGCCCAACTCCTCAGATGAAGTAATCCCACCTCCGTTCCTAGTAGGACCCTTTATCCTAGATGAATTAGCTATGCCCATCCTCAGCGGGACTCGTCCCCTCTCATTCTTCTTTCGTCGAATATTCTGGAGTTCACTTTGGCGAGACCTGTGGCATGCGTTGACTCGGAAACTGCAAGTGGATGTGCGGAGAAGGATTTCAGTGTATCTAACGTGGTGGCTTTCACGGGTGACTCTCTTGTTTCCGAGAGGATTTTCTGCTTCCAGAAAGTGATCTCTAAATATTATTATCTATTAAATAAAAATATTGTATTCCTTGTTTCGACCAGCTGCAGAATTGGGATAATTTGGGCCATGCTTTAAAACCAAGCACAAGAACGTCCGACCGAACTCCACTGATGTCGCTCTCAACCGCCAGAAGCCACACAAAAACGCGAGACATCTATCATCTCGTCACATGAGTGGGTCTTACCTCGATAAAGCTTCTTGACCAACTGTCCACTAATACGTTCTAATACGCCACGTATGCCACACATAGTAAAGGAAATCCCGCATACAGTCCTACCCAGAACATCAGATTGCCCAGCAGCTTGCTCCGCTTAATGAACGGTACTGAGTTCAAGGCAATTAGAGGTATTTGGATCAGCTGAAGTGCGAACAGGTAGAACCTACGTTCGAAGTGTAAGCATATGAGAAAAAGGATATGAGGGCGGTCGCCGGTGACATACCTAAATTTCTTCGTAACAACGACCATGACTAGTTCGTGTATACAGGCGCTCAAAAGGAATGTTACGAACATTGCCGATTGTTTCGAAAGTTTGTGGCTGGTCATTGTTGACGCGTAAACATGGCGGAGCAAAAATGAATGCACAGGCTTGTTCCATTTCCTCGAAAACTCGGCTTGGGATGTCGAATTCCACTAGAAACGCTTAGTTAAATCAAACCGGTACAGCGAGAATAATAAATTAAGCCCACCCAGTCTTCGTAGAATTGCCGGTCAGCGAAGCTAGAAAACATATCGTACAGCCGTCAACATCGGAAACACGGAGAATGGGGATGGCAGAGAAAAGCTCATACCAAGAGAGTTCAGCGAAGGCATTGCAGATACATTCTAGGGACCCTGTTTCAGCAAAACTTTATTCTGAAAGGAGAGAAAGAATGTACCAAATATGATGTAGAACAGCAGCAGATAGGCCATCATAAAAGGTAACGCGAGGTCAAGTAATGATCTGAAGAAGGACTGATCATATGTGGGAGTATATGGAAGGATGAAGCTTTCGGTGACAGTGTACAGAAGGACAAATGTTCCAAAGGTTGCCACCGTCTTTTCGAACACGTAGATGGGTCGAATCCTGCCAGTCGCGGTATGTCGTGTGCCTTTAGCTGACAGATTCTATTTACTCACCGGTTGGTTCGAGGATATTCAAGCTCGTAAACTAGCGTAGGAATAAGCATGTAAACAGCAAAATTCTTGAATGTGATATTGTTGGGCCAGACAATGTAAAGGGGCCCCGTACTAACGAGTTCTCCTTGGAGTTCGCTATAATCTTTGGCCAAGTTGGAAATATTTTCGTCTGGATGGTCGATAAGGGGATGCGGAGTCGTGGCTGAGGGTATATGCTCGTCAGTTTTCTTGTAAGTATTGGGATCATTGAGTGAATCCACAACGTTCTTCGTATCTGCGTCAACCACTCCATTTGCATCCGACATGGACGCTAAACGTTTCCTTAGAGCCTTAGCAGTATCTGGGTCGACATAAGAGGCCTGCACTCCGTCGGGAATGGGAGGTGTGCCCATAGGAGAGGTCCCAGATGAATGCGAAGAACCGATAGCAGATGCTGCATCTAATGCTGCCCGATGCTCTTTCGCTACACGTACAGCATGATCCCAGCCTCCTTCTGAGTTGGTCGCCTCGCGCAGCTGATCTAGGATCGCCTGGGATTGTTCGGAAACCCATTGTAAGTATCCGTTAACAGTCATGTAGGAATGCATCTTCATGATCATTACAAGACTGTGAAGGGTAAAGAATCCAGACTGGACCCAAGGCCATTGTCTATCGTTTTGGAAATGTAAGGAAAGCAATATCGGGAAAGGAGAACAGTGCGCGCACCGATTAAATGTCCATCCTACAGCCATTATCAACACCGTCGTCTGGAATATGTGTTGCATGGCTAGTCCTGTCCAATAATAACGAATCCATCCTGCGGAAATTGCTTTGGCAAATACGACGCAAATGCTTGTGCTTCCCACCAATACGGCATCACTTAACGCCAGAGTAATTGCATCTTTCGAGAACATTGTCGCGAAGGCCAAGTTGAGTGCATGTCCATTGGTTTCAATACTTCGGACATACGTTCGGACAGTGAAGATGAATATGGAGATCCAGAAAAGACTAAAGAACCCCTAGTGACATGATGAGTGTCGGTCACAGAGATCTCTATTGGCTGTCAACACACCCGGAACTCGTTCGCCACAGATTTTTCGTTGTTGATGTCAAAAGTAGAATGTCTCGGAGCGAACGTTATGAGCGCGCGTAGTTTCTTCGAACTCTTTGACTTGAAAGGCTTGGAAACGTATAAGGTCCCATCCGAAGTCTGGAAGCCCTCACTACTGATAGTTCGTTGAGCGTTCTGTCCATCGATAGGCATCCTGGATTCTGCATGGAGGGCTTATAAATAACAGCAAGAGCGATGTAGCGGCAGCTTGCATACCGGGAGTGCGCAACTTGTTGGTGGTTTTCTCTTAAGAAGCGCGGGTATTTAACACAGATTCGACGTCATCTATATATTGAAACCTTCCTGTTCGTGTAAGCAAGGTGATGAGAATTCTCTGTGTATGATACAGGATTATGTACTTTATTATAAGTAAGCATTTATGTTTCGTCCTATCAAAGCATCGTCTCTATGTAGAAGAGTAAAGCTGACGCTCTGCAAGAGCGCCATATGTTACACAGTAACATGGTTCGCTTTTGCCGGGTCGTTTAACGACCTTGCCCACGAATAGAGAAATGCAAGGCGTAGATAATCCCGGCGACAATGGTAAAGTCGAATGAGATTGTAGGGGGTTCAACGACGAAATTATTGATCAAGAAGGGTTCAGAACATGTATGATTGGAGACTGTGGGCAGGCGAAGAATAAGACTGGCACTTGAGTCGTCTGAACCGAAACAGCTTAACAGTCCGAAAAACAAAGGAAGACATCGAAAATTTCTTGAACGGGATATTTTGAAGGGTGTTTGGCAGTGTTTGGTTCGGAAGCCCGGTGCCAATTGCCGATTGACCTTGGATTGCCTTCTCGTATCTAAAGCTAAGTATCATGTACGTAGTTCTAAAGCTACAACATAGTACATCACTCGTAACACGCAACCAAGTAGTCTGCGAACATTCCCTCAACTCAACGCGTACGACCGGACCTTTGAAAACCAGAAAGGTCTCTCGTGCTTTAGAGCCACAGGAGAGGCTTCCCCAGTTTCCAACTTGACCGTGTCATAAGACACAATATCCATCTTGTTCCAACGCCCCAAAGGACGCGAAAGGAGGGTTAGATGCATTGTGAAGATATACCGGATCGTAGGTATTGACGGATCGGCAGCATGGCCATGACCATGACCATGGCTATGAGCATGGTGACTATGTGAACTGTGTGAAGGCGGAGCATCTGCGTCGCCCCTGGCCATAGTACTCTGGCTCAATAGATGAGCCACTGAGGTCGGAGAGGAAAAGTCGATGTACGTCAGAGAACGGGATGATGCGTCGATTAGGTTGGAGAGGACAACGGTGTTACCACTGAGGTGCCAATTTCCGAAGAGTAATCCCTTTACGGGTCGAATGAGTGGATCTGGATTGAACTAACGATGAACACCTTGTTACCTTCAGGCCTCGTAACGTCGGTTTGAGTAAAGGAATAACATGCGCAGGTGATTGCTCTTCGTTAGTTAAGAGCGAAATTACTTGCCCGTTGGGAAAGAAACGCCTGCAGAATATTAGTTTGTTCGGTTGGCAAAATACATGAAGCGAACGAACAAATATCGGTGGTACGTTATCAAGTGATTGACCTAGCGGCGTATAGTCTTAGCACTTTTGTCTTACATTGAATTCGTGAAAGATAGCTCACGTTGACCCACGAATTTTCACTAAGGCCGGGACGACTGAAAGCTATGAGCAGTACGCTAATCAAACAGTAGAATAGCTTACTTACATGTAATGGCAGACAGCGATGTAAACTCCGTCGAGTCTAATTCGAGGATGTTCGATGTAAAGCCTTCTGTAGTCGTAAAGGTATTGTTTAGAAAGGTATTCAAGGGAACTTGAACCATCCGGTAGAACCGGTATCTGTGGTGGCTTATACGTCTCCTTAGCCAGTTTTCTGGAATCGTGCAACTTTGAATGAGTACTTGAATCACATACATAGAAGTACATACATTACCTCCAGATGGATACATCCAAGCTTACAACCCGTGCCTTTCTGTTCACCGAGGCAAACCGTTCCAGAGAGCTTGCGTCGAGAATCTTGAGAATATAGACAATCATTTCGTCAGGAAGTAGATTGAATGGAACAGAATCTTCTTCATCCTCCGGTTCAAATACCAGGTCTCGAGGAAAGTTGTTTAGGATCGAATTTAAACTTCTAGAAGCCGTGACGCCATGCTCTGCAGGTGATACAGCAGCTTTCGTACTCTGCATGGCAAGAGTGTTCTCTAATTTCTTGGAAAGATCATCCATGGTAAAGCCATTTCCCGCTAGTATAACTTTGGGTGTCAGAGTTGAAGAATCAAAGGTTTCAGCACTTGCGGAGGAAACGGGGGCGATTTGTTGAGCCATGATAGCGCCGAGCATTTCCTCACGTTCAAATAATATGTCGACGTTCGCATCCCGACGAAAAGCAGACCGGTAAAGGTACAGGGCTTCCTCAAGCTCTCCTCTCTGTTCGTGAATGACTGCTTCGCGATAAATAGATACCGCTAGACTGGAGACTTGGGATAGCGGAGGCGCTGTTGAGACATGAAAAGATGCAGATGGTGTAGGAGGAACTGTGGCTACGGAGGTTGCGTATCCAGATGAAGCGGGCCCAGAGGAAGTCGAGAAAACATTGAGGGATGCAGTATCGGGCCAATCCGAAGCTTCTGTACTTTCGCTCCGAGTGACACTTCCCACTCCATTGCGTCTTCTGACCTCTGCCCTCCATTCTTCCCTGAATTTCCTTAGTTCCTCAGACTCATTTTGGAGCGGAGGATTGTTCATGATCTGATTATTAAGAAACTATGTATTGGCGCTGAAGCTTCGGAGTCACCTGATTAAGGTGACGCAGCATGGCGTCTATACGCTCGTAGACCCTCCTACTACTCAGCCTCAGATTCCTCAACCATTGCACATGCATCTACCCAGCGCACAGCGGCCAGTCACATAGGCCCTATAGCTATCAATTTTTGTTGAGTGCACTGACAGAAATTGAGCATTGATGAACTGGAAGCTCAATTCTTACAGTTCTACCCGAGAAACTGTACTATGAAACCTGGAAATTATATTGAAAATGAGTGAAAATCCTCCTTGTCCGTGTAATTGCGACCTGATGCCTTTTGAAGTGAGCAAAGCCTCTTGGGGTATCAGTCCAAATTTAGTGAGTCACACATTAAACTTGTCTCCACGCCGTTGAAGAAACTCTACAGCATAAAGTCACATTCGACTGAATGGATATTCCAATGCTCCCAGCTCATCATAGCTCTTCTTTCAAGCTCGTAACCTGTTCTTCGGCGAAAAAGTATCGCGGAAACAGATTCCACTGATAAACCTCAGTAGCGTTGAGTTTGTGTCTTCACATGCTTTCCCGTCTGTTTCTCTAGCATATGCTGATTGTGCCTACAGAAGTATCTGAATGGTCGCTATCAACTCACTAACTTAGGCGACATCCAACCTTGTGGAGGTTCTCTGTACTATGTATGGAGTTAACAAGGATCCGGTTCCAAGGCATCTGATTATGTGTAGTACACACCGATGCCAAGGACAAGGGGGAAGGTCAACGAAATTCATGCACGTGTGAGGACCCGACGTCCATTTCGTCTCGCTTTGGCTCATCTACTTAGCAAGTATATCTCTCGTTCGGCGTCTGGAAAGCAGTCCAACAACCATGAGAAAGATTCTCTGCTCTCACCACCAGGTCTAGGATACCGCAATGTCGAAATAAGAGGTAACTAGAACTAGTTTGGGTAACTTTTGCCTTCCTGCTGATTCACGAAACGTTTATCTTTCTGACACGAATATGGAATACCTTCCAGAATCAGAGGTCAACTCCGTTAGTTCTATCCTTGCCGCCTACATTCCGCAGAAAGCATCACATCGACGTACCATTACAACTACGTAGTTTCATGAAGAAACGGCTAGTTTCGAATAAACCCTTCTGATCTAACCAGTGGTCCTGTTATTTGGATTTGGAAGATTGGAACGAACACTCCACCCGAACCGCCTGGTTAATAATCGCAAACGCTAAGCCTTTTTTCACCTTCCACTTCATCATCATATCTCTGATTTTGGAGAAGACATCTCCTATCAAAGGTCTTCGAAAACTAATAAGACTATCTGTTCACTCGTAGGATTTCAAGCGAACAGCAAACCAATGACAACAATGACATTAATGATCAGCTTCCGCGGACAGCGCTGTCAGGTCTTGCCTCAGGATCCCCAGTCTGGATGGCGCCTCGATCAGAACAAACAGTACGCATTTTTCTCTCATTAATTCATCCAAGCTCTCAATCTCAAAGCCTCAGGCTCTTGATTTAGAATGTAAGTTCAGTGAAGGATCTGCTGCGTTCCTTTAGAGAATACATCCCTTTGGCCTCGTTCAGTCTCATTTCTACCATGGACATCGTGTTCTTTGACCTCAAAGTAACACGGGCCTCCACCTCCGCGAGTCCTTTTTTACACTTACATAAATTTTTCAGAGAACCAAGAATTCCTTCTCGGTTCAAATTCAACCTGGTCAGTCTTAGTGACGCAAAACAATGCCCGCCACACTACGCTGGTACTGCTAGACACTGTTTGTGAACAGGATATCTAGGCTACGGGACTCAAATTGTCGTTTGAATTTAGGTGATGCATATAATATGAAACGTCAGCGCGCGTCAACCCCAAGTGATTCTTTTTCGCCTAGAAATTGTGCCTGCTATGAACATCAGATACTAACCCGTGAAATCCTAGGAAATCCTAGGCCGACTTGAACCCGTGCAAGCACAGTAAATGGCATGCATGTATGTACTTGTCCGCGCTGTCCCTGCCCGTAATCTTTATTTCCATAATTAAAAACTGATCCGCTTGTCAGGCTGCAGCTATTTGAACGAATTCAAGTACTACATCTGGTTTCACCTTGATTCACAATTGTTCCTCATATTTTCAGGCTTAACTGTTTTCTGTAGTTTCCGAGCCCTTTTCTGGTTTTAGTAATGCAGGTATGACCCCACACCATCAATTTTTACTACCCCTTGGACTAGCAACCACCACTTTTCGATTCCGATTCGGAAGAACCAGGGCGTGGATCGCAGTGAACAAGGGCTGTTACCTACATCGCATGACACCGAAAAGCGCATGTCTTGAATTTTCCATGTAATAAGAAGAATTCGTTGCCTTGTAAGTGCCAACGTGCTTATGAGTATATTGCCTTCTCTTCGTCGCACCACCATCATTAATTGGGTCCTCATGACCCCGGAGGTGCACTTTCCGAGGATGAATCGCGCAAATGATCATCAAGGGACCCCTGGACGAACGTCGAAAAGCACCCTCCGAATTTCCGACCGCAGACAAAATGGGACGATTTTCTGTATTCTTGACAGGACTCCTGAGGGTAACGCCAGGTTAGCTCTAGCGTATTTCATTGCAGGCGGGAGATAGAGCTGGGGCTGTTCCTATGACTAAAATTTATGTCCCGCTTCTGTCGTTACGACTGAGTTCAGGAATCTCACTGCTAACAACAACTTCTCTACCAAATAGAAGTCTCAACCATCTGAGGCTTGACAGCCACAACGTGTAGGGCTCTCGCCCCAAGGGAGCCTATCTCGCGACTTGGAGTCCGACGCAGTCATAGGATAGATATGGTTACAGGTATGATGATGATAGAAACGCTTACATACAGGCTATACTACTCCAATGTCCTTGACTAGAAGGAGTCGTCGCCGTCTGTCACTGTCCAATATGTCGCCGGAAATCGGATGAGAGGTCCATGTTCTCGGACCTATCTTTCCTCAGTTCCGAGGTCGACGCTATTCGTAGAAGCGCTAAAACTCATTTCTTTTGGCTACGTACAAGTTCTATTATTCTTCGACCACGGTTTTATTCTTCAAGCTTCCGGATTTAATTTGTTGCCACCGAGTACTACGACCTGGACTGAAGTGCGGATTTTTAATACTAGGACGAAGACAAAAAAAGAGCGTTGTTCGCTCAATAAGTAAACGAGTTTAACTGAAATGTAAATCAATGAGTCGGATATGGTTAGTCGGATATGTGTGTGTCGAGACAATTGAAAATGTATCCGGTTCATCGAGCAACACGCGTTAGAGCTCTTTTCTTTTGTGTCAAAGGGAGCTATCTTCAAGTTGCTGATCAGTGCGGCGGAGTGACCATGCAAACATGCAAAAAACCTAAATTAGATCCATTTACTACATGGCGCATTGATTGTCTTAATTCCGTCCCCCGCCTTCGTGTGATTGGCCGATAATCCTCGGAGCAAGCGGAATAAACTGCGTCGTCCTGCACCTCGATTTGTTAGTGGCGGCGGCGACAATGAAGGTTTTTTTTTCCGTACTTACATGAGTCCTCCTGTCCACTCTTCCGCAGTGGCAGTTCATTTTGATCTCCGAAATGGGCCGCATTTTTCCCAGGAATTCTTTTCTATTCCCATGATGTCGACAGCAATATCAGGACTTGTGTGTTAGATCCACGAAAAGCTAAAGGTGACACAATGTCCTTCAACAGCTTCGATTGATTCGAGTCAAAACTTGTTCAATTCATTAGCACAGGATCCTCGTAACTGCAGACCCGGAAGGGAAATGAAAATACCAAAGATGCAGCACCGAGTCAGAATTTCAGGTCGTGTTTTCCTAAAATATGCATCGTTCTACCTCCACAAAAGTGGAGACCTTGAGCCTGGCAACGGATGACAAAACTTCTCCGATTGAAGGAGAAAGGAAGACTTTTTGAACGCTCGGGACACGGGAACTTGCACCGCCTGGGTTGACCTTTTGGTAAGGATGAACTGAGATCCGAGGCCTGCTCGAGGTGTTATCTGGATTTTTGTCGTGATTTCCGGTTGGTTGATTGTTTTTTCTACTGAATATTATCTAATATCTGTAGGGAAGCGAAATCCCAGGTTTTGAACCCAGCTCTATTTGTCCTATTACCTTTTAGGTTTTCGACCTGCTACCATAAATGATTAATTTGCGCTGTTTGCGGAGGAAGAGGAAGGTCAATTGTGGTGAATCTGGAAGAAGTTATTTAGTATCAAGGTAGCGGGAATTGGAGGACCAACAAACAAAATTCTAACAGAAACGGCAAGTCTAGACAAATCAAGCCTCGCGTTCAAACCATTTTATCCATTCATTATTCTGTATCAAAAGCCTTATTCGGGTTGCCGGGAGAGCTTATTTGGAACGAAACAACCCATCACATCACGAGGAAAATGGGAGATGAACTGGAAGCGTGCTTTCCGTTTTGTACGAAAAAATTCTGTCTTCTTCATTACGCCACTGGATATGGTATCGCCCAACAAACATCAAATGATTCATTTCTAGCCAACTGAAGGATGTTCCTTTTATATTCTCACTTTTTCTCTGAACCTTCAACATCCCCCCCCCCACTTCTTGTTTCCACTTCGCCCACAACATGGCCCAGTACGCCCACTTACTATTCGGTTTTTGAGTATTCCTTATGTTTATCTTTCCCAGAGACAGCAAGTCACCGACTATCACAACTCATGTCAAGCTTGAAGAGCAGCCAACTGCAAAGCTCTCATCACCGACGATGCAAGCAATTTTCACATTGCCTCTATATTGGTCCTTGATGAGTCTCCATTACAGAAATCCTCTTAAGCGCAAGACGCCACCTGTCGACGACAGCAGCGCTGAACATAATGGCGCCACCGCTGTCGTCCTAGATGACGGCGATAGTGGGTCTGCAGACGGCGATGCTAACGAGCGGGACGACATTAGGAATAAGCCTCGTGGGACTAGCTCTCCTCCGCCGTTTCAGGAACGCCCAGGCGAATACGAAACCGGGCGCATAGACTGTCCATCATGTCACAAGCAGGTCGCTTTCCGGGACGAAGAGACTGGTGAGTTTTCCCTCAAGCGTTGGCAACAACATTGGGAGTCCTGGTAAGCTTATTTCTCTCAGAGTATGTGGACCATCGTTCTAAAGGTGCTTTCAGTGCTGGCCAGAATCAGGCAGACTCAAATCGCTCCCCGCCGCCCGCTCGATTTACTCATCAAACCTCCACTGCCCCTCAGAAACTAGTGGCGCAGAACATGAATTCATATCGTCCAGGAGCCGACGATCTCTTTCCTGCTATAATGGCCCATCCACCAACCAAGCGACGCCGAGCAAAGCGTACTGAAGAAGAACGAATCACATATCTCGATGCAGACCCATATGTCGCCAAGTTTGAAGCATACCGTGTATTATGTGCTAGCTGCGACAAATGGATCAGACTAAGGCCCAATTCGACCTATTGTAGTATTCCGTGGGATGCTCACAGGAAAAGCTGTTTGAGTAAGAAAATGTAAGTGGCGTACTGAACACGTTTCAATCTCTGACATATTTTGTCTATGCTTCCAGTTCCAATAAGAATACGTATGCCCTCGACGAACGCAACTCTCTATTTTCTAAGGACCCCGATGTGCGTAAATTCGACGCCGAACGCGTTCTATGTGCGGTCTGTGACCGATGGATCGCTATCAATTCCGAGGATCACTTACAGGCTGTTCAGACATGGCTCAATCATCGCGGAGACTGTGCGAAACGAGCAGCAGCAGTAGTTGGTGTCGCAGGACCTGGACCGAGCAGTAGCGGCTCTCCTCGTCCGCGTGATTTTCGCTCTAACGTCCCACCCCCTCCATCTCATATGCAAAGGCCTGGCCGTCTTCCCCATTCGCGTCCTTCGTCGCCCCCTCATCACGATATGGATCCTTACCGTCATCGCCACCAAATGCACCACCCCTATTCACAGTCTGTCGTACGTAGAGACATTCCTATGTCTGGCGATAGAGACGTTCGCACCAGAAACCATAGACCGGATGACTCGAGAGTCAAGGTAGAGTTCCGAGAGAGAGAAAATCAACAGCCCGTAAACACAGATGCAGACGCAGACGGTGATTTAGATGCAGATGCAGACGGAGACCCCGAAAGCGACCTTGATGGCAGCAACCATATTCGAGTCGTCGATCTTTCTCGTCCTCCTGGTCAAATTCACATCTCAGAGACTCATAATAACGATGAGGAACATTCGACTTCTATTGTACTTTCACACCAGGCAGGCTCCGTTGCTCCCCCACTAGACACTTCTGCCCCCTCCACCGAAGGTGGCTCACAGTCCGAACCCATTATGTATTCTCCTGCTGCTGGAATATTCCCCCCAGGCCCTGCACATGAATCCAGGCGGCGCAATGCTGAGCAGCGTGCTGCAACCTTACGTGCGGACACACTCATCAAGCATGTGGAACCGAATAGAGTTTTCTGCAGCCTGTGCGAAAAATGGGTTCAGTTGCGCCAAGACTCCAGCTTTTGCGCTTACCCGTGGTTTCAGCATCGAGGAAAATGTTTGGCACGGTAGTAAGCAAAAATAAACTTTCCTAATTATGGCATTGAAGGCTTACGCGAATCATAATATAGTCAACGACGAGCGCAGAAGGCAGCCGAGATTGAAGATATCAAAAAGAGGCGGACAACAAGTGGCACAAGTGCACAAAGCATTCATGCGCATGATCCACAGCGCTATGCTCCTCCTCCGCCATACCCTCCTCGTTCCCATCATCTTTACCATCCGTCGACCTCCCACCACCCTCATTACACGTACCCCGCACATCCTCCTCATCTAATGTATCCTCAGGGAGGTCGTCTGGTTCGAGGACCTCATCCTCACAACGGTGGTGAGGAAGATGAACTGGCATATTTCTCTGGATCGGACCAAGGCCGTAGTGACGAAGACGATATCCCCTTCAATTACCGTGGACTCTCGGCATCTGCGTCTCCTGATTCGGAGGGAAGATCAGTGTCGGTAGGATCCAGGGCGTCGCATAACGAAAGATCAGGCCTTGAGTATGCGACGGAGAATGCCGATTATGTGCATTCAAGGACACAATTGCGGGAGGAGGCTGAAAATACTGAACCCGACGCTGATTCGAACGTTGTCGATAGCAACGCTCGTCCTAATGGGGAGACTCGAGGTGAAAGTAGCGGAGACAAGATCGAAAAGGAAGTTGGCGCCGAGGGTGAGATGAATGGATCAGGGGAGGTTCGTATTCATCTGTCTGCTGCATACATTTTGCTCAGTTTGCTCATCTCATCAGAAGGCAAACAAGCAAGGCCCATCTACGAGTCAAACTCAAAGTCAGCCTTCGACACCCGGTAGTCGTCCCTCGATTTCAATGAGACATCGTCCTATCGCGCCTCGAGACACGCCCATTCTCGTACAACATCCTGATTCTCGTGCCGAAATGAACGTCAATGAGGGTCAGCACCGTCGAACTCATTCTAGTCATTCTCTTGTTCCTGTTCCTCCGCGTGTGTTAAATCAACACCACAATACTAACGGTGTATCTGGGATGTATCGCCCCTTGCAACAGCAGCGAGAAAGAGAATACATAGGAGAGTACATGGACTCACGGAACAACCGCCTCAATGCACATTCGTACGGAGGGAAATTATCTCGAGAGAAATCCGATCGAGCTCACCAAGGACACTCACAAAACCGGTCTCATGGGCCGTACGGAAATGGACCATTACCCTCGCATACATCGGGTCCTGCTTCTGGAAGAGGTGTCTTGGCTGATTTAGATTCGCATGCCGGAAGGTAAGTTTTCTGTACATGAGCTACTTGCGATGTTCTGACATATTATCCGACCTTCTAGGAAACAGTTTGTCTCACACTCGATTGCCTACCTATTCCAGACGACGTACGATTGCTCCCCGTGCTCTTCTGATGAACTTTCGATTTCCGCTTTGGTGGCGTACCTCAACGCCGCCATGCCTATGGATAAACATGAGGACTTCGATACCGCCGAAGTGGTGAGATGTGTTGGGGCACTCCGAGAGAAGGGTAGGGTTCTTTTGGAGGGCGATGTCGTTCGGAAAGTTAGGAAGGAGTGAAATGAATTTCATGTTATACACCGGAGTCGGGAATGTTTTGCTGTTTTCTTGTATATGCTCGTCCACGATTTACACCTTAAATTACGGCTTGCCATTTTCCTTGAACCTAGTCTGCTCGATGTTATGCTATACTTCATTTGGTATTGTGCATTATGTGCGCACTGCTTGCTCTATTCAATTTAGGAATTTTACCTACTCTTACGATATGTTGAACGTGTTTAATTAGTTTCAAACTGAAGGCCGTCGCAGTTCAATCTTGCTCATTACCGCATTACTTCTAAACCTGCATTGACAACAATTGCATTGCATTGTTGTCATGCTTCAGCAAGGTAATTCAAGGTAGGATTACTTGTTCCTCTTGAGTCTTCCGGTAATCTTATACCCTTGTTTGCGGCATTGTATTTTGAAAGTCCTGAAGCTGTCACGTCGACACAATGGTAGCATATTTCATATTTTGGAAAGTTCATTTATAGCGCACGATGAACGGAAAGCATGAACCAAAAGGAACGCATCATAGTTCATAGACATACAACATACCAAATATTCGGAGGCCAGCATGATGATAACGCTGTAGTGCTTCGTAGCATAGCAACGCGAGTTTAAAAAGTGATGATTATCGACAACAATCGAGCAACAATGCATTTACTCTCCTCTGGGGGCACCCCGACCAACGCCAGAAAATTGCGGCCTAAATTCACCAGGTGCACCCTCGTCTTTCTTCCTGTACTCGCCACGATCTCCACGGTCTCCACCACGAGGGGGGCGGTAGGCGCCCTCGCCTCCTTGACGGACACCAGCAGGGCGCTGGGGACGAGGAGCTTTTTTGTGGGTCGCGGGAACAATCTCATTAGGGAGGTGGAGCCTGAGCAAAATAAATGATTCATGGATTTCAGTATAATGCTGGGCAGAGAAGGCGAACGCACCATTCCCGGAGAAACTCAACGCCTTCGGGAGTCAAAGTGTAGTAGTAGTATTGCCAAGAGAATTGGGTTTTCACGAAGCCCTTTGACGTCAAGCTCTGCAGCGCCTTAATAACTTGGAGGTTAGGAACTTCAAGCTCCTCGTGCTTGGGAGCATTGAAGTCCTTCTTCGCGACCATTACGCCCTCTACCAACAATGATTGTCAGTCTCATGCAACACTCCAACTCCACTGAGTAAGCCCACCTTTGAAGAGGTTTTCGTAAATGGTGCGACGGTTATCCTTTGGAATGATCATATTGTTTTTTCTACATATGAGATCAGAAATGGCAAAGCGTTCAAAGGTAGACAGCACACGCACTTGAAGAAGGTTGTCGAGCGAGCACCGCTGGAACAGAAGAAAAGACCTGATCAGTTTCCAGTCCATCCAAGACCCAAATGATCGATCCAGCTCAACCACCGCCTTTCTCCAAACCAAATTTCTCCGGAATTCACCAATTGTCCAAGCAAGCTTAATGAATCGATTAAGGATACTCACTCGACGAGTTTTGAGGCAAAAAATCCGAGAACGGGGGTGCTTGAGGCTCTGGTGCTTGACCGATGACAGAACTTTTGCGATACGGATGGGAAAAGCTACGCCGAAATGCCGAAAAAGCCCTAACCCTAAGATATTGTTCGGCGCTTGTCAATATTACACGCAAGAGTTGATGAATTCTTTCGCTCACGACCATGAACAAGGACGAAGCTATACGGTGTCTCTCTATCGCACAGAAGCACAGAGACGCAGCTAATTACTCCTCGGCCCGGAAATTTGCCCTCAAATCTATTTCTCTTTTCGAGACACCGGAAGCCCATAAATTATTACAATCCATTGACAACGCGGAAGCTGCGTCTGCGTCTTCATCGTCCAGCGGGTACTCAGGCTCAACATCGAATGCAGCGTCAAGCTCAGCATCAGGCGCTGAGACCCACCCTTCAGCAACAGGTGCTACGCATAGACATACACAGTCGTCTAGTACGCAACCGAATGGTACCGCTGGAGGTCAGGGTGGGAAAAAGAGAGAATATACGGCGGAGCAGCATTCGATGGTCAAAAAGATTCGGGCATGTAAGATCACAGAATACTACGAGATAATGTCGTTGAAGAGAGATTGTGAGGAGGTGGAAGTTAAGAAGGCCTATCGAAAGGTATGTTTCTATCAGCGCATCCAGTCACTCGTGTTTATTCCCAATCTGCAGCTCGCACTTGCCTTGCACCCAGACAAAAACGGTGCTCCAGGAGCCGATGAAGCGTTCAAAAGTGCTTATTCCTAAACAATACCCTGGGTCGAACTGACAACTTGTGCTTCACAGTGGTATCAAAAGCATTTCAAGTCTTATCAGGTTCGTTAATAATGCAAGCTAAGGTTTTTATATTCATTCATTCATTTCCTGTTTCATAGACCCTCAAAAACGTCGTGCTTACGACGCAAGTGGTTCTGATCCTGAAGATCGTACATCACGTTCTCCAGACTTTTCGGCTAATTCTTTCGGCGGCGGAGGACAAGCATTTGAGGGTGAGATGAGTCCAGAAGATTTGTTCAATATGTTCTTTGGCGGTGGCGGGAATGCCTTCGGAGGTGGCCCCGGTAAGTCTTCCTTCCCACCTCAGAGTTAATTTTAATGTTCGATCAATGTAGTTTTCACGACAACTTTTGGTCCCGGAGGCTTCCGTACTACTCGTATGGGGAACTTTAATGGGGCTGCTAGACATCAGGAACAACAAGCCAATCAAGTTCCACGTTCAACATTCATCCAACTACTTCCACTTATAATCTTATTCGGATTTTCTATGCTATCTGCTCTTCCCAATCTTTTCGCTACACCACCAGTACCTGATCCCAATTTCTCTTTCGCCTCAACCTCAAGATATCATCTGGAAAGACATACACCAACGCGGGACGTCATTTACCACATCAATCCCGCAGAATTCATGCACCATCCTGTCCTAGGTCCCGAACTCGTACGAGACGGCGTGGATTTGAAAGCCGAGTACCAAAAGGTGAAGAAGGAGAAGGAGTCCAAGAAGAAGGAACAGACGGAAGAGAGAAAAGAGAAACCAAAGGATGATGAGGAGAAGGAAAAGACCAAAGTAAAGCGAGGTCCTCACATGACAAAATTCGAAGATGGCGTCGAGAGAGCGTACATCTCCGAAGTGTGGACCCAATGCAGACGTGGCCAGGATCGTAAAGAGCGCTTGCTTGACGCAGAAAGGGGAATATTCGGAATAGGAACTGACTGGGATAAAGTCAGAAAGATACAAAAGGAGCCAATAGAAGCTTGCGTTGAGCTGGAGCGGTTAGGTGTTGGCAGAGGACAGATGTGATATACTTATGGCATCGTGTACATAGATATTGCTCGTAAATTATGACTCTTTGCGCGTCGGAATTCATTTGGTTGTGTACATTGATAGTCGGATGATGAAGTTGGAAACGATAGAATTATAATATTTTTCCCAAAGCTCTACATGACAGGACGCGACGGGTCTAGTCATATAGCCCGGTCTAGAAACACCTGTTCCATCAACAACCTTCTTCCCTCTACTTTTGGTTCAGCTTTTCCCTCTCGAGCTTGAGATAGTATTGTTCCTGACGCTCAACTGAGGAAAAGTATTAGGATGCATGTGTCAGAAGTTTTCCGCAAGGCTACTGACCAGCTTTCAGGTGGTATCCATACCTAGAGAAACGTGTAAGGGTGGTAATTGGTTGGTAAGATAAGAATTCATACCAGTAGGAGAAAGCAGCTGCAGAGCCCAGTCCCAACGCGAGAGAAACGTCGAAGAAAAAGCGCTTTCTGAGCTTGCCAACGATGGGTGTAATCATTGTAATGGTGGTTGATGCAGGAGCAGGATTATGGGCAAAATCGGAGTCGTTTTGCCGGATATGGGCCGTTAATAACAAGTGTCAACACGGCGAGCTCACAGCGCGTGCTTCTCACTCCCCACAATCTGTGCATCATTTTGTTTCTTGTTCAAGTTGACCACGATTCCAATCTGTCTGCCTAGCTTCTTCGTCTGCTCAGCTTTTCCATCTCTACACGCCTCATCGTCGTCTAGCAAATTGACACTCTTCATCTGAATATATACCATGGAAGACCCCTCAGGCTCAGGCGGATGGCGTTTTGCTCAATGTTTTGGCGATAAAGGAGAAGTAGAGGATATAACAGAAGGTGACTAAGCTCTTCCAGTCGCGATCTTTGTGTACTGCTTCTTGTGGCGTACAGCGGACTGACTCTCGCCCCACGTTCAGCTGACATTATCTCTACGGTGGAATTTGACTCGACGGGGAATTATCTCGCTACAGGTGACAAAGGTGGTCGTGTTGTGCTCTTTGAACGGAATGAAATGGTGTGTTCGTCTTTCTGATTCCCATATTGGGCGTTCCGCTGGCATTTTCACTGATCTCGAACTCGATTACTTGAACTTCTTCCCATCCACCGCTTGATCTACGATATCGCTTATATCATTTGCACATTCGTATCGTGTGCAGAAAAAAGGCTGTGAATATAAATTCTATACAGAGTTCCAGTCGCACGAACCCGAGTTCGACTACTTGAAGTCGCTCGAAATTGAGGAGAAGATCAACAAGATCAAATGGTGTAAACGGCAAAATTCTGCACATTTTCTGCTATCAACAAATGGTGTGTCCTCTGGCTGATAATTTCTCCTCTTGACTTCTGACATAAATATCTCAGACAAAACAATAAAACTCTGGAAGGTTTTCGAAAAATCGTTACGGGTCGTATCAGAATCAAATCACCATGATGGACAGCGCCCGCTTCCGCCGCCAACGGTGAAAAGTCATCTGCGATTGCCTCGCATGGCTTTGCAGGACAACATTATCGCTGCCGTGCCTCGTAAGGTGTACTCGAATGCCCACGCCTATCATATACATTCCATCTCTGTCAATTCTGATCAAGAAACATACATATCGGCTGACGATTTGCGGATCAACCTTTGGAATCTCAACATCAGCGACCAAAGCTTCAGTACGTTCATTCGAGCTCATCGGCGCTGATATGTTACTTATTGGTGCTTTCCTGTGCTCAGATATCGTCGATATCAAGCCAGTCAACATGGAGGAGCTCACAGAAGTTATTACCGCCACAGAATTCCACCCAACGCATTGCAATCTCTTCATGTACTCTAGTTCAAAAAGTAACATCAAGCTTGCTGACATGCGGGACTCTGCCTTGTGTGACAGGCACGCCAAATGCAAGTTTGGCTTATCCTTAATCGTATATCGTTCTGTTCATATCGTACTAATCTCTTAATCGCTTTCTAGGCTTCGAAGAAGAGGAAGACCCCACTACTCGATCCTTCTTTTCCGAAATCATCTCCTCCATCTCTGACGTCAAATTCAGCCACGACGGCCGGTACATTCTTTCAAGAGACTACCTGTCTCTTAAAATTTGGGACGTTAACATGGAGAACCGGCCTGTGAAGACCATCCCTATACATGATCACCTTCGTGGTAAACTGTGCGATCTGTATGAGAATGACTGTATTTTCGACAAGTTTGAGTGTGTGTGGAGTGGAGACGATCAGTCCGTGACATCCCTTTATAATCTATCTTCTGTTATCCTAATCTCTCTTCATCATAGGAATGTCTTGACTGGGTCTTACCATAATTATTTCCGGATATATGACACGGACACTCTGAACGACGTCGTTCTACAAGCGGATAAATCAGCCTTTAAAATCAAGAAAATCGGAGGGGCTGCGCCGGGTCAGAAGTTGGGTGCGAAGAATGGTGCAAGACCAAACGGGTTGAAGGATATGATGGCACTTGACGCCTTGGATTTCAACAAGAAAATCCTCCACGCTAGCTGGCACCCGAAGGAAGCGACTATCGCCGTAAAACCGAGTCTCCTTTTTTCCGTTGATCCGTCACTTACAATAATCCGCAGATTGCAGCGACGAACAATCTGTTTTTGTATAGCGCCGCATGAAAGGAAGGCAGGTAGACCTCCCCCTCCATGGCCAAAGACCCGCCGGCGGGATAGACGAACTAAGACAGCATGCAACTCACAAAACGCTTATTCAATCGCCAGAGGACATAATGACAACACAACTTTTGTATCGTGCTTAAGGCATCTGCAGATTCTCTTCTGTTCTCGTACCTTCTACAATCCTACTAATCATCCTGTCGTTCTTCCTTATCTTCTACTGACAGTTTTACGTCCTTCTCCCCCTTGTTCTCCTCCGCTCCCTTATTGTTCATCACTTTTGCTCCTCCCCCTTTTCTGTTCCTGCGCTGCTGTCGTTTCTGTCTTGTCCTGTTTGTCTTCTTCACAATATCTTTCCTTCCGCCGCTTCCCCGCTTGTATATGAACTGTTAACTTGCGCATCCATCTCATCCTGTCCGTCTGTCTGTCGTTCACCTACCTCCTCATCACTTAATTCAACCACAACATACATTCCAAACTCCCTTTTCTCTCACACGATATTTAGGTTTTTCTCGGTAGGGAAAAAAGGGATCATAGTATACTTATGTAGACGAGAAGAGAAGTCAAACAATGAAATGTCTTTCCGCTGATGTATCATAATACACTTAATTTATTTTCAAAAGCCTCTCAGTGTTTTGAGTGGTCCAGACTAGTTATAAATTTATTCTCCGGGTAATAAGGGTTAGTTTAAAGTATATTAATGCAACCTCATGAAGTTTTCGCCACACTGATTTTCCTTTTGAAAACTTAGATAAGCTGGGCTTTGACTTGTTGCGGATCTCAGGTCTGACTCTCTTTGAACTTTGATTCCCAGTGGTCACCGCGAACTTTTTCAATAATTGAGTAGGCTGATTCATATGTTCTCCTGGCTTTTCATTCCAGATTATCAGCTCACCTCTCCACAGGTTCCCAACGAAGTACGGAGACGTAGAGATCACATTATACTCCTGGTCATCCTTTCGCTTCCTTTCGAACCGGTGGTGTTTTGTTATCCCCTTCAATATTACGATTCAATCACACGATGTTAAAACGTCGTTTTGTTCCGTGTGTATTTGACGAGGTCGAGAACGTCGAGGATTATCAACCAGGGGGTTTCCACCCTATGCGTATCGGTGACAAATTTGACAACGGGCGTTACAGGATTCTCCACAAACTTGGAAATGGGGGATCCTCTACTATTTGGCTAGCTCGTGATGAACATTCTTCCGAATCAGGTGTAGGAAAACTAGTGACTATCAAAGCCTTACGAGCTGACGCTTCCAAAATCAATTCTCCTGAACTGGTTGTTCCCACTTTAATGCCTAGCTCCGAATCTTTTGACTTTTATAGAAAGGTCGAGGACAATTTCGCTGTGAATGGGCCCAATGGCACTCATATGTTTATCGTCTATGCGTTCGCTGGTCCCAGTGTTAGAGCGATATCAAAATCCCCAGAGAATCGGCGCCTACGTGCTGATTTAGCTAGGAAGATTGCAGCGCAGGCTTCTAGCGCGTTGCAGCGCATACATCATGCAGGATTCATTCACGGGGGTGGGTATATTCCGCTCAAAGTCGTCTACGTTCTAAGTTTACAAACTGTTTTTAGACTTCACTACGTCAAATTTTCTTTTTCGTTTGACAGACGATGTCCACAAATGGTCCGATGATGAAGTTTACTTTCAACTAGAGTCTCCGGAAACGGACGCAGTACAAATGCTCAACGGTCAGCCTATAGGGCCTCAGGTGCCTTCAGAGGTTACCGAAGCTATCGATTCTTTTATATTCTTCGAAAACGACCTCCTGCAGGAGAGCATCGTTGTCGTTGACTTTGGGCAATCATATGCTGCTTCTGAACCCCCTAAGGACTACAAACCCAGGACCATGATTAACTACATGTCGCCAGAGACTCGTTTCGAAGGGCGCGTAGGTCCTGAGTCGGACGTGTGGACCTTAGGCTGTGCTATCTTCGAAATCAGAGCCGGTTTCCCGCTCTTCGATCCGTTCTTTCCCAGCGATGCAGTCATTCTCACAAAGATAGTCGGTACGCTAGGACGGTTGCCTGATCCCTGGTGGAATGTTTTCAAAAATCGACACCTGTTTGAGGAAGATGGCCGGCCTAAAACAAATGGCATAGCGGTCACCCCATCTATTCGAGAGCTTCTACAATCTATAGGTACTCGTGATGAGATCCTGGATTCTGATGGAGGCTCGATGTTTGAACAGACTGAGACAAGGATAGATGGAACTGAGGTGGACCTCTTGGTGGACCTCTTAGAAAAAATGCTGAGGTACCGGCCGGAGGATAGGATAGGAGTCGATGAGGTTGTTAACCATTCTTGGTTCAAGGTTTGAATAAAAAGGGAAGAATGAGAGTTTGCGCAGGCGGTGCATCTTTTGCAGTTTGCCAGGGTTTGATTGTGTCTGCGTCTTGCTCATCATGCGGGAGCGTCTAATCAAGCAGATTGATACATAACGGCTTAGTTGAGTTTTCATCCATCCTTGCTCATATTTCAATTCAGATCTTTACTACACTGGTAACTCTTGATTCGTAAGTGTTTCCAAGGATATTGAGATCCTTCCTTTCACTCCCTTCGAATTGATTTGAGAAGATTGTCAATTTGCCTGTAAACTTGCTAGCCTAGAAACAAAAGGATTCAAATTTCGTTATTTTACACACAATATAGAGAAACTTTGATTCGTCTATGTAGATTATCTACATTGTTATTGATGCAGACAAAGACGAATGAACAATGTTCAAGTCGTGATTCCGCGTGATATAATCTACAATCTACGATTTCGTAGTAAATGAAGTGACTTGTAAAGCTTTACCATGGACCATTGGTATCAGATTCGAGTTCGTACACCTTTACGCGCTGTTCTAACCATCCAACAGGATCCATGTCCCCCTTTTCGACATCAGGCCTTCTTCTTACCAAGTTCTTCCTCTCCATATCAATGTCCCAAGAGGAGAACCTGTCCTTCTTCTCGCCTTTCCACATTGTCAGACTGGACGCTAAATGTCGCTTGGCAGAGCGCGAAAGGTGGACTGTTTCAACTTCAGGGCGCACTGCGACCAGTTCACAAAGCCACAACACATCCTTTGCGCGTATTGTATCCAATGTAATGGTGGTCAGATTTGGCCAATGGGTATATACAATGGAGCTCTTCGATTTGGGCGTGTCCTCTGGCGAAAATAGTAGCTGAAAGAGCTCTCCCTTGTGTTTTGAAAGCACACTTGAGTCCAGTTCATTCGCTAGAACTGGTGGATGTAATGTGCTCTCTCGGCGGCTAACATCTAAGCGTTCTCTGAAGTCACCCGAGCGGGCCCTCAAAAGAGGTTTCACTTTTGCCTCTGGTTCCGGAAACAGAGACTGCGGTGGAGTATTTATAAGTTGGAGATGTCGAACTGCGGTAAGGCCCAGATAGAACGACGCATCGTGCAAGGGAACATCGAACGAATTAGGACTCGTGAATATGACCTGTTCGAGGCGCAGAGTGTGCAACTGAGTCAGTAATGAAGAATCAGGGAAGGAGTTCAAGGAATCCGGGAAGGCAAATCCCCGGATTTCAAGAGAGGTGAGGTTTGGAGGCGACATGAGCGCTAAGATGCAGGTTCCGGAGGCGAACGCCCGTCGTGCAAAACTCACTCTCAGTGAGCGTAAAGCAGGGAAAGAGATCTTTGATTGAACGGGTTTGGCTGCATGGGCCATTGGGTATAATGAAATCAGACATAGTTCTTCGAGGGCAGGCGAATTAATCGACAGGTAGCGAAAATTCGTCTCATCAGGAAGTAGATGAGATAAGTGCAGTGAAGTTAATCCATGTAACGGATACTGTATGTCAACACCGTAGACGCGCTGGTGTTTCAGGCGTGGTACAGATTTGAAAAGCATTGGAATGATGCGATCCATAGGGACAAGAAACTCGCTTATACCGAGTACGCCAAACTGAAGATGAATATGGGAGAGCTGGGGGGCCTCGAATGCTGCAAGGCGACTGCAAGTAAAAGTAACCTCACGGGCATAATAAGGTAGCTCTGTTATGAAAGATAGTCTCCGCATGCGAGGAAGATGTGGAGAAAGCACAGATAGAATGTCGCGAATTAGCTCGAACTCATCCTGAGGTTCGTCAAACAGGTCCACTGTAGGCATGATCGGAGGAATGGTGAGAGTAAGATCAAATGGACGAGGATTAGACCTTTCGAGCTGGGTCGTGGTCCGGGCAATAATTCCTTTGGGGCGAGTATGGCGTAAAGGAATTCTGACGTCCGTCCAGAGTTCTGAAGAGTGTTGGCAAATTTCTCGCCATCGCGAGCTGACACTGCAATAGGTGATCAGTGCGCGGGGCAGCTCATTTCTGCGGTCCAGCTCTATCCCGACGCCAAATATCTTGGCCATCAGCTCGTTTGGGAGGGAGTCTAGCGGGTTTACCAGTTCCAAGGTAGATCCCACTGTATTGTCCTGTTGAAAGATAGGCATCTAAATCTTTGGGGACATTTAATACAGCCGCAGGCTTTCGTTGGGCTTTGAACGCGTCAACTCGCCTGCTAGTTCAGGGTTATGCGTTGGCCACCTTGTTTGATTTATAGAATTTGGAAGCACAGCGGAAGGGCACTTCTGAGCAATGTTATTTGATGAGCGTTAGAGCGCTTGTACGATTTGCCTGCCGCAAACACCAACCAGCACATTCAAGCTTCAAGTCGCACCTAAGCTCAAGCGCTCATGGACCAGGTAAGTCACTGAGTGCCTCATCTTATCGTGCACTAATAGCGAGTGCAGGACTCTTTCAGACAACTTCTCTCTTCTGGCCCGTCACAGACTCACACTCAGCCCCGGGAATCCCTGTTCACCAAAAAAAAAAACACTTCTAAATCATCTACGTTAGCTTCCTGTGCCCCATATCATCCTCATTGTGAGAACTAAAATCCGGACTCAGAAAACCCGCCACTATCAGCTCATCGGAGCCTGCTTTCAAACCTAGGAAAGTCAAAAAGGCTGAAGGAAGGTATCGGGACCGTGCTGCTGAGCGCAGAGTTGGCGAGGGCAATGATTACGCACAGGCATGGTATCTTCATTCAGTTAGAGTTGTTGGATTAACCGGTTTGGTCAGGTAGAAGCAGTTTTGGAAGAATTCGAGAAACGTACGGCAGACCAGGACGAACATGTTGTCAGTACCAACTTTTCAATGTGCCTTGCACTTCGTTTGAATTCCAGATGTATACAGATAGACGAACAACGACGGTATTTAGGTGGTGACGGCGAGCATTCTATTTTAGTCAAAGGTCTCGACATGGCGCTCCTCCAGCAGAACAAAGCCAAGGCGGCTACGGCCACAGATGAGGACGAGTCACTTGAACAAGCCTACACTCAATCCGCCTCTGAGCCGATTGTCTCGAGCACGAAAAAACGAACTCGGGAAGAAATTATCCGAGAACTAAAGGAGCAAAGAGCTCAAAGAGGCGAATCGAATCTCGTAGAGGATCCAACCTTGAACAAGAACAAATTCAAACCAATTGGGTTCAAACCCATCGGAGGTTCCGTAGAACAGAAGAAGAACAAGAAGAAAGTTAAAGGCGATGGGGAGAGGAAGAAGAAGAGGCGGAAGGTCGAACTTTCAGCGGAAGATAAATCAGCAAAGTCTATGGCGACGGTAGAGCCTACGTCGACCACTTCTACTGTTCCCAAATCGCCTAGATTACTCGAACTAGAAGAGCTCCAACCTCCGGAAGAGTTCGACATATTTGCTGGCGTTGGTGACTACGAGGGTTTTAATGATGATGATGATGATGAAAGTGAAGGTGAAGGTGAAGAGAAAGAAAAGACGGAGGAAGTCATATCACGCTCGCTTCGTCCTGGTCAATGGTTTGTTACCGATGAGCAGACGGGAAAATCTCCCGGTTTCGCAGATGAATCACCTTTAGGCCCTACTCCTGGTCCCTCTGTCTCTCATCCGCCTCCGATTGAGGAAGCCCAAGCGAGTGATGAAGAACAGCTTACACGTCTAGTACCATTGTCCAGCTCAGCAGTCCCGTCTATCAAGGAGCTCCTTGCAATCGACGAAGCGGCTGAAGCGGCAGATAAGAAACACAAGCGGAAAAACAAGAAGAGAGGTGGAGATGGTGCCGGTTCGAAGAAGCTCGACGCGGAAGCGAAAGCTAATCGGGATTACCAACGGTTAGTAGTTGTTCCGTCGAAACTTGAAATATTCTCTAACAAACAATACAGACTAAAATCGTACACGGACAAGCGCGGTGATGAATAAAGTATCTAATTAGTGTAGATTTCACTGGCGGATTCTTGATGATTTCATTTTCGTCTAGATTTTCGATCTTGTCGCCCGGTGTCACTGTGGGGTGGGTCTCTCATCAGTTTTGTAATCGGATCAGGGAGATGGGAAACTAGTACCACGGGTTCCTCTGACAACTTCGACGAAGGTCTATTTTTCTTCACGAAATCCTTTAGGATGCAAGGTGTAGACGAACCAACTTTCTTGCATCCTTTACATGTCCGTCCATGCTGAATCATAAGCACATGCAATCCGTATTTCAACTCTGCAGGGAGCATTTTATCGAGGTGTGCTTGTGTTAGAATGCGGTCAGCGCTAGACGGGACCCAATCCAGCACTTTGCTGAGCCGGAAGATATGGGTGTCGACGGCAAATGAGTCCCGCCCTAGGCAAAACATCAACACGCAAGAAGCAGTCTTGGGTCCTACGCCATCGTAAGATGTTAATTCTTTCATGATATCTTCATCGGAAAGCTGCTTCCCGTCCTTCCCCGTCTCGGCAAGATGCTGTAGGGAAAATTCACCATGTCGTTCCTCTACGGACTTCAAGAGGTTTTCAATAGTGGCTGCTTTCTTGTTTGCAAGCCCTCCATGTCGGATGGCTTCCACTACGGCTTCTCTCGGAGACGAGGCGATTGCCGCAAAATTGTTCCGACCAAACGCCACATCTAGGCTGGATTTCGCCCTAGACGAATTCTTTCCAGATGTGTTTTGGGACAAGATGGTCCCAATGAGTGAATCAATGACATTAGGAACGTTTCCACACGTGGCCGCAGAATTACTAGTTAATTTCGGAATCATACGAGTTGATGCATACTGTGGATGGGCTTTGGAAAGAATATTGAAGACTGCGACAGCCTCGGAAGGCGTAGGATGAGGAAAATTTAGGAAAGGTGATTCAGAAGTGTATGTTTCAAGTAATCTTCGTTTCTTCGCACGATGGGGAGATTCCGGGATAGACTGTGATTTGATCATAGCAGTTGATTGGTGGTAAGTTATATCTAAGGAGGGGGAACTACTGCGTTTCATGTTGCTGATAATCGTTGAAGTAGCTTTCTGAAGGTTTCTGCTAGTGGTCGACTTGAGAGACTTGAAATTTAGTGTCACGGCGTGGTATAGTTCACGTGTCTTCTTGATTTGTGACATCAGTCACCCATTCATGTTCTGCGCTAAATTTCACCTCGAGGCTCAACCCGCCTCGTGCTGTTTTCTCACTAGCAAGGACTCTTTTTGAAGGCCACAGTACGCGCTTCTCTTCCTTCTCTACCACGGGATACTGAAACCTGATCCACGTTTTTCATGAATTCACATAAATAGTGTCTTGTCAGCGGTTCGTAACCGGCGGTCAAATCCTGACACTATACTTAGGCTCAAAGCTTAAAGACTTTATAAAACATTGCCTGCCTCACTCATTACCTCGTAATGGCTTATGGTACAAAGGGAGTTATTTCCGTTCATCACCAGCTTTCGTCATACCAAGGGTGCCCGTAACAATTCCGGACAAAGCCAGAGCAATCCACGTTCGATCTGAACTAAGAAGCTCAACATATTACCACGGACCTTCCCCAATACCATAGCACCGGTCATCTTTTTCGCGAGCGCATTTATCCGATACATCTAAGATATACAGGTTGTTTGTTTAACGGTTTCTTTGAAACTATACTGTAGCTTGGCTAAGATGGGCTCCAAGCCAGAAGCTGAGAATCGCAATTACTTTCATCCCATTAGTGATAACTGACAAAGACTGACCAATGATTGTGTTTTCGAGGATACCGGTGCCGGTATGGACAGATTCTACTTCATTTTCCCGAACTTTTCAGCACTTGGATCGCCTACTAAGGCTGCTATCACTCTCGTACGGACTTCACCGTTGTTGTCGGTCAAACCATCGCATTTTCTGCACGTACCCTGCGCCTCCTGTCTATTTCACAAATAGTGCTATCTTTGGCTGAATATGGTGCGCCTTGTTTTCAAGTTAATTATCAAGATATATCGAAGATAGGTTCAGCGCTGATTGTCCGTTTCATCCATTCAGCCGAAGAGCTTCGAATGGATCAAGATTCTCTATGAAACCGCCAAAGGCCTCTGAAATACATCCTGAGATACGTCTCGATACATCCGGCTGGTAATGGGCCATTGCGTCAATGTTGCGACTCAGGTAAAGTTGAATTCTCGCAAAGAGATGATCGACGACAGGGGGACCAGCTTACCGGGACAGTCCCACGTTGGACAACAATGTATTCTAATACTGTCAATGCTGTTTAGTGTACTTAGAGACCATCGATGCGGTTAAACAGAGGTGGGGTTGTGTAATAACCATAACAGTCAACATTTTTATGTAAGAGGCCGACGCTCACGACTGGATGTACAATTGGTCGGTCATCTGGGTCACAATCGCGGTGCACACTGCCTAGCATTCAATTACTAGATGATGGGAAGGATGATGGAGGGAACAAGGATATACCATATAATCTATTGCATAGATCTTGCTGTGTCCAAAGGATCATCAAGGAACGGTATGTAAATCCCCAAGTAACCAACTCGGGAATGCAATTGAGATATTGCAGACGTCCCCCGCCGTACGAGCGTATATGCAATCTCCCGTATCCTCACGAATGGATGGATATATCTTCCGGCACAAGCTGCAGCCTTGATTCACGATGGAATTAGCCTGCATAGGTGAACAGATCAAGAACTTCCTGCTGCTCTCTCCCAAGAAGTGCGGAGAATTCCATTTGCCGGAGTGGCCAAATAAGGACTCAGTCTATCAGACTAGCTCCGTGAAGAACGAAGACCATCGTAAGTGAATTCCACGTGGTAAAACACCGGCCCTGACTTCCACGAATTCTTTGACTTCAAACACAACCATTTTGTTGGTTCTCTGAAATCTGGTTGAGTCATGGTGTCATAAGTACTTGAATGCTCTGCATATATAAGAAGCCTCCATATGTTCAATTTTCACAAAATTTCTGAGCCCCACCTTTCCAGTGCGTCTAGTGTTTGAATCAATTTCCGACATGGATGCTTCTACATCGACTACACCAATCAAAGCCAAAACACCCAGGAATCAAAATAGAGCTAAAGCATGCAGCCATTGCAGGTATGATTGATGTCCTGGAATTACTTGATGTGGAAATCTAACGCACCATCAATCTTCCAGAAAAAGAAAGACCGTATGCCCTCGAATATTTAAAGTTCTACGAAACTTACTGATGTGTCTTCCTATAGAAATGCGATGGTAAACGGCCCATCTGCACTCAATGTCATGCTCGTAGCAAACCAGGTTTTGAGCTCGTATGCGAGTATCCAATGGTCGGTCAAACGCGCAAACGAACTTTAGAGGAAAGCATTTCGACTCTTGAGAGGAGGATACGCGAGCTTGAAAGGGCTGAATCCGATGAAGATGTCGTCAGGCTTTACGATCCCTCTAATTATCCTTCCACACGTTCTTCGCCTTTTGGCACGAGTTCAAACTCTCCGTCTAGTAGCAGCAGTCTCCTGCTAGATGCATCACCAGAACCTAGTCTATTCACCACGGCATTTCAAGAGGTATGTCGAATATGTGTTTATGGGGAAAGCGTTTCAATGCTCAATTCCTTGTATTCAGGAAATTCCAATTGCTCTGGGCCAGCAACTGTAAGTTTTCACACTTCCCTTCTCTCGAATTTTTCTGATTTAAAACCGTGGTTCGAACAATTCTTCAGACTGCAAGCATTTATTCCACATGCTAAATCCTTTGGCTTTTTCTTAAACCTCCGCCGTTTTATATCAGAAACAACTCTTCCGTTGACCCTAGGAGACTATTCCCGACCATGTCCAGGTCTAATCTGTGCAGCCTATCTCATAGGTCTCCATTTGTCTGGAGCTACTGAAGACGAAGAATCCGCATTTCTCTCGCGGGCCCTTCTTCATGTCAGTAACGTGCTATCTTCTAGCCACCCCCTTCGCCTTATCCATGGTACCCAAGCTGAGATCCTTCTCAGTACGTACTTTTTCCGTACGGGGAGAATACTCGAAGGGAAATACCATCTTTCGGCCGCGGTGAGCTTAGCGACATGTGCCAATCTGCATAAATTACGGTCAGGTCTGAGCATGGGACCCTTTGTACCCAGTGTGATGTGCATGGATGGACATTCGCTCCCTGATCCGAAAGATTTTATTGAAGAAGGGGAAAGAATAAATGCCTTTTGGACGGTGTTCACGATGTGTAATTGTTGGGGAGTGGGGGTTGGAGGATTTTCAAGTATGATGTTCGAATCCTACGGATCTCGCATTGATACGCCATGGCCATTGGATATGGAAGACTATGAAGAGGCAGGTGAATTGATTTAAGAGTGTCTTCTTATACTTATTGACATTGTTTCAACTTTAGAATCGAATACCTGCAAATTATGTCGGGGCGTCGACAGTTCGCAAGTTCCTTGCTCAAACTCCTCTACAACCTCTCCGACTCTATGGACCGTCTAATATGGCTTTGTTCTCCCAAGCCTCAGTGCTTTTGGAACGAGCAGCGGGCTTGGGGAGCTCATATACGAATGGTCAGTGCATCAGGATGTTGAGCTGTGTTTTTATTATAACTGATTTGTGACGTTTCCAGAACTACATTCTGATGAGCATATTCGATATATGAAAACATTCACTTCTTTCGATGCTCTTATTGATTCTTTCACTTCCTCACTTCCTTCATTTTCTCAAACGTACATCTCTTCCCCGGATTTCGTGACCGTGTGGGCAACGCATTTGATATGTCGAGCCGCAACTATCAAGCTACATAACGTTTTCACTGCCTCAAATGCCTTCTCCCGTAAGAAGGTCCTCGAATGTGCGGAGAGATGCGTCATGCTGGGCCGAGGAATGGATTTGACTAGTGTTGAAGTCAATCCCATCTTCGGGCTGCTTTGGATGATTACAGGAGAGGCTATCATCAACGAAATTTCGAGACTAGACGATCTAAATAGACAGACGATGTCATTGCCAAACTGGGTATTGGAAGAAGCGACAATTTTAGGGAGGGTAGAGATGGTTGCGTTACTAGAGGAGTTATTTCTGACCATGGAGTTATTTGGTAACAGATCCGGATCCAAAATCATTGGTATGAACAGTTTTCACTCGCCGTCTGCCACATGCTCATCCTATTCCCTCTACTTATAGCGTATCAGGTTAATTCGCTACGAGAGCACTACCGCTCGAATTGTATATGATCAATGCGCAGCTTCGCTGTAGATAATTAAATGTACAAATACCTATTATTTCATTTCCGGAGATACATACTATGTTCACTGTAATAGCTAAACTTATGTATTAATACTAAGATCTACGTTTTATGACACGTTCTGTGAGTGCCTCAAGCGCAGCTCGAGCCTCACTCTCCGGCAGAACTTGCAGTACCTCGCGCGCTTGGGTGGCATAACCTACAGCCAACGCACGCGTACGCTCAACCCCTGCTGACTTTCTCACAAGGCGTCGTGCAAGTTCCACGTCGCCTGCTTCGCCGAACTTGCGTTCAATCAGTGGCCCCATCTCCGGATGCTCTTCCCAGGCATACAAGGCAGGCCCTGTAGCCAGACCAAGTTGTAGATCAGCACCTCCAGGTTTACCTAGAGTATCCTCAGCAGCCTCGTAGTCAAGCACATCGTCAACTAGCTGAAACGCGATGCCGATGTTACGACCATACGCGTAAGCAACTTCTTTGTAGACCTCGCCATCTGCACAACCACCAAGCACCACCGCACTTCGAGCACCTTTTGCCATGAGACTAGCAGTCTTCATGTACGTTTTTTGAAGGTATAACGTCCACGCATTTTTTGCTACTTGGGAAGAGGGTACAGCTTCACCGTCAGGGGACTCGACATCTTGCATCTGCAATATCTCGCCTTCAACAAGATTTGCAATGACACTGGCTATGAGCTGAATGACCTCAGGATCTCCGAGGCGTGCAAGGGCAGCACTAGCTCTTCCAAGGACAAAATTTCCACCCAAAACCGCGAATTTGTTACCGAAAGCTTCCGGAGCGGAAAGACTTCCTCGACGAAGAGGAGATTCGTCTATGACATCGTCGTGTAAGAGGGATGCTGCGTGTACCATTTCTACAATTTGAGCTAGTCGCATTTGTGTGGGTAAAACAGAGGCTGGGGAAGTAAGTATGCGCTCTGTGGAGGAAGATATGGATAATGGTGGCTGAGGAAGTGTTGGGGGAGTTGGAGGTATTGATAATGAATGTAACGGGTCATAGAAGCTCGTTTTCTCCTGTATATCTGGATTCCAGTCGTTGAGAACATTCGCTCTCGACAATGGTTCGTCAAGGTTTTCTGCGCGTCCGCCAGGCCGAGGCTGCTCGGAAGCCCATTTCTTTAGAGGCCAATTCTTTCCTAAGCCATTTGTTGCTTGAGCGAAAAGGAGAACGATAAGAGGGCGCAGCTGCTTTGACGGTCTGAGGAAATAATAGCTCGTGATTTCATTGAGCCCAGGATGTGCGGATCCCAATAAACGTACGAGGTCGGTTCTGATTCGTGATAATTCTGGTGCAACGAGTGCGAATGGATCTGGGGACGAAGGCGTAGTGCTATGAGCGTTGGTTGTAGAAGAAGCCAAAGAAAGGAACCGCCAGTGATTCTGTAGGGAGGGGACGCGCCCAAATCTTGAACATAGTATATAACATCCTCGCATTCCGCGACAAAGATGCGTATTTCAGATTCACGTGCTCAATATCTTTACAGAATTCAAATTCTCTGCCAGTACTAGCGCTAGTTCATACCATAGTCATACCATAGTCAACAGACCGGAATCACAGTTTTTATTCCTTTTTGAGTTCTTTCTTCTCTGTCATCACAGCTCGGAAATTCCGGGAGGAAGAAGACGCCAGGATCAACCGAAGTAGAGGGAGGCCTGTTACCTACCTCGGATTTCAATGATCTCTCAGAAGAGCTCAGAAGGAATGGCATAGTCCCCTTGTCTACGTTCTCGTCTAAATTTATTCTTTCCATCACTTGAAACTTATGGCGTACCCATTGTGTATGCCACAGGACCTCCGCGGAAGTCTTGCGAAACGGTTTCTTGACGCTCTCAAACGTGTACCAAGTACTTTGCCTCGATCTTCGAATTGAAAAGCACCGAGGACATTTTTAAACCTTCGGCACTGAGTTTCCTCCAAGTTTATATCTTCCTCGGTGATATCTTCTATGATTCCATACTTATAGTAAACATTCGTCCAATCCCCAACTCCGTGGTCTCTTCTTTTGGACAGTAGAATACAAACAAACTGCACTATCGCAATTCTACAGGTCGTTATCTGAGTAAGAGTCCACCTCGGGGCAATGAAAACAAAATGGTCAGAGCAGGTTTATAGCCAAGATTAACCTCAAGCATTTTGTCTGTACGAAACCTTGAGTTACGAAACCCACAATAGTACACTACACAGGTATTGAATGTCCACTCAGTATCTTGTTAATAGTATTGGTCCGTAAAGGCGTATCGGCGAATAATGCTCGTACCAATCTCGCTAACTCCTCTACCTCGAAGTCCACCAGTGCACCCTCCTCGAAGAGATATGTTATATCGGCGAGGGAAGCTTCCTGCTCTTGGAATTAGCACATCTATGTGAAGGAACGAGACAATTGCATTAACTAACCAGCAGTTCTGATAGATAAGAGAATTTGAGCCAAGACGGAACGTAGGCAACGACAAAGGAAGGCTAAAAAGAAACATATGAGAAGATATTCGACCAACGCAAATTATCAAGTCATGAACGAACCTTTTCCGGATCTTCGCTGAACAGTCCTTCCAGAGCTAGCAGTATACGACACAACTCACTTAATTGATGAGACTCCAATTCCGGAATGTCACCTAACGCGAGGACATCTTGTACTACACGGGAAAGCGCTGCGTCCGTGACGGATCCTAGCGCAGTGTAGTATTTGCTCTTCGTTAATAGGCCTTTCCATTTTTGCGAGACGCGCCTAATCTCTTGAAGACTCCGATTCATGGCACTTTCGCATTCATCGTATCGGTCTTGATCGCCTGTGGAGGTAAACCCTTGAGTACTCTCTGCCAGGATTTTGTCGACCAATTGACGTTGCTTTTCCTACGAATGTCAATTTGACATGGTGAACAAAGGGAACAATTCTTTTTCTGAAGAAACTTACGATAGCATCGCCATACCAGCTCTCACTTAACAGTTTGAAGGTACGCCCGCATTCACAAAAGCGTTCTTTCACTGTCTGGACATTTGACCCATGTAACTCTTTTACGATGATATCAATTTCAGTGCTGAGATATAGGGTGTTATTTGAGAACCGCATCGGCCCCTCTAATGATTGCAATATTCCACTGAACACCACTGGATACAGCGCCCGATACAAATCCAGGATCGACACCGCGGTTTGATAAAGAGTTGAGCCGGGTGCCGAGCTAGACTCGTGTGCCGGGGACAATGATTTTGAGTCACCAACTTCTCCACCTTCACGCAAAGTTTCCTGGACAAGAGCTATAATATCTTTCATACTAGTCGAGACGAGGTACGACTCCTTTGGTGCAGAAATCGACAGATCCGGCGGTCGTTTCTCTGCGAGTTTACTTGCAGCTGAAGGTAATGAAGGTAATGAGGGCTGTGACGGTGATGGAGACTGTGTAACCTTGGCGTTGAACGAAGGAGACGCGACGGCAGGAGAAAAAGAAGGGGAAGAGACGTTTGGTGAAAATGCCATCGCCTTGGAGGGAGAGTTCATAGGAGAATTTCCGTTGAGACCCTTTTTGCCTTTGTTTGCGAGTTTTTCTAGTCGTGTTGCGACCTTTGGGGGCGACTTTATTGAGGGAGCAGGAGGTGGCCGAGGGGATTCGACGGAAGTTGAAGGAGGCGCTGACGTCTTCTCTCCCCAAGGATCATCCCAATTGGTTTCGTCCTCTGAAGCGGGAGGGGCATCATCTGCCGTTGCATCATCATCCAAACCCCAAGCGTCTTCGGCCTCAGGTTCAGGTTCATGACCGTTAGTAGCTGGTTTGATATCTGGTAAGGATTCATCCCCAGTCGGCACTGTAGCTTCTTCCGCAGTATCAAAGCCCCACCCGTCATCAATTTTGTCCATATCATCTGTATTTACTTCATCTTCGAATCCCCATCCGTCTTCACCCGTTTTTGCGGATCCTGTATCATCCTCGAAGCCCCACCCACTATCATCAACCTTCGCCGACGCCGATGCATCATCTTCTTCCAAGCCCCAAGCATCCTCAGCAACTCCTTCCTCCTGAATCGGCACAACCTCGGGTTCCGCAGCGGCTTGAACCACTTCCACTTCGACATGAAAGGCATCCGAGAAATCTTCGGGTTCCAAGATTTTCGCTCGGGTGTTTTCCAATATATGGACTCGTCTCTGACGTTCATAGTGACCACATACGCCGTCAGCCCAGGCCTTTATCGGACGGTCGGCAGAGTCGTTGCCTAGTAGTTCGATGATGCATGTTTGTTCAAATGACACAGCATCTTTGACTAGTTCGAGAAAGGGTGGAAGGCGGTTGAAGGAGTAGGGAAGATTTGATATAAGGAGGTTGTTCAATACACTGGAAATGACAGGTTTGCATAGTGATTGTAGGAAGGAAGAGCATTTCGCGGCAGGAAGGTAAGTGAAAAGGTGTGCGTGGAGGAAGTGTAAGGTTCGTGATAGATTGTCAATACGGCTTTCGAGCTTTTCGTCATTCGGGGGAGAAGGGAAGAAGGATAGCTTGAAGCCCTCTTCTACAACTGACATCGGCTGCGTCAATAAGGTATCAATGTAGTGAGTTGTTATGTCCCGGCGGAGAGTATTAAGGTGGTTATCCAGAGATACTAGAGATAATGATGAAAGAATTTCCGAAAGCGACAACGTTCGCTCAGACTGACGAACTGAAAGAGTAATCAATCGTAGAGCCACTCGAGAATTTCATCTAAAACAGACCTTGAACAGACTGAGCGATCGTTAGTTCGTGCGGAGCAACCAGAACGCATCTCGAGTATGCGTCGCTCAATTGTTCTTCCGTACGAGCTTTGGAAGCGTTGAATTTACGCTGCAGAACGGCTTAAGCTGAAACAACGTATAGAACGGGTAATACTCACCTTTAAGTCCAGATATACCTCAGACTGAGCAAGTGCTACGGGCGCATCTTTCAGCAACTGCTCAATGCTCGCACAACTTTCCACGGCTTCCGGAAGATCCCCATTGCGTACTAGCCCCTCTAGAGAGGAGAATTCTTTACTACATCGTAGTAAATATGATAAGGCTTCGTGTTTGATTCTCGCATTGGTGGCTTTTTGAGCTAAAGTCGAGTGAGCAGTCAACGTTTTGACCAGAGAAGGGACTAGGCCTGACTGCGAGAAGTTAATAAGAACACCAAGATCATGTAGTATCCAAGTTATACCTCCGGGTCGTGTAAGGAATGATTCAGTGAGTCGACTTCTGTCACCAATGTATGTAGTCGTGTCTGCACGGAAATCGACGTCTGCAATTGTCGTTCAAATTCGGGTAAATCGGCGTGAATACGGTCATGAATTCTTTCCTAAAGCATCTTTCATCAGCCATTACAGTTGATATTTGGGAGAAGTAATTGATAAGCACTTTGGTAGATTGAATAGTTGCATCCAGTTCTTCAAGCCAAGATTTCGCCAGCGAAGCCGTCAAGGATTTGTTGGTTGCTTCGTCCATTGTTGACAAAATCTTTGAGGTAACATCTTGAGGGGTTGCTCGTCGTGGAAGATGAGAAGGAACTGGGAAAGCCATGACGGCCTTGGGCCCGTGCAGAAGGTCGCAATAGTAGCGGTTATAGACGCGTTTGTGCACGTGTACAATTTCACTCTCTTTACTCTCATCTGACTCTCATCATCATGCTCGGCCGTTTCTTCTTACTGTTTGCGACGCTCCTCGTTCTTCATGGTTAGCCATCTATCAGATTAGGTCCTGGAGCTCTGATTCAGGTGCTTGTTTGCAGCTGCTTTCTCCACATACGAACGTGAGTTCGGCGTTAACTAGCCTCGCCTGACAAGTCCGAAGTTTCGCAGACCTTTCTCATTTAAAGTCGCTCGGAAAGCCTGAAGGCTCTCTCCCATACGATGTGGGTGTTATCACTTCAAGAAGCAGCACCCATATTCACCCTGTATCCCAGATTGTACTAGAAGCAATTATCGCCTTAGCGCTGGGAATCTTGGGTGCTTCACTGAATGCTTCGTCCTTGAAAGAGACAACTTGGTCAAGTGAAATGAAGACAAGGTATGATACTCGTTGAAAAGTTTGCCGATTAATGAACCATTTCTCCTCAGGTCCATAGACGAAATGGACGCGAGGTTGGGATTCGCGAATTATGTCAACCGAGGACGAAACATCTTTTCATGATACTACTTTTACGCTGAGTTCGTTCAACGTGCACTGTACCACTGTTCACGCGTTCGCGTCCAATCTATGTTAAGAACTTAAATTTATACATACATATGGTGAAAGCTGTGAGCATGAAGTAGCCCATGTGGATATTCGCATTTAACAAGCTTTTTTAGCAACCTAAAATCGGTATGAAAGGCAGATATTAGCGCTCAGATTTGACAGCGAGTCACGTGAACACTTAGCTGACGTCAAACTGGCTGTTTCCAGATCCTTCTCTATCTCCAACCATGTCCGACGAAACTGCACCATCCAACGAAATTCAAATCAACGTCAAAGGCTTGTAATACAACTCATCCTTCGGCAATGTAAATTTACTCATATTGCAGGACCCAATGAACTCAAATTACAGATATCGATAAGCACCGACAAAACTGTAGCGGAGCTGAAGGAGGCGATCGCTACACAATCACAAGTCGAAGCTGACAGGCAAAGACTGATTTACTCAGGTGTGCAAAACTGTCCTTCATATGCACAATGGCCCGCTTATACACGTACAATGTTCAGGCAGAGTACTGAAGGCACGTCTACACTTCCTTACCTACGAACATTGACAGCCTTATACTTGCCTGATTTCAGGATGAAGACCTTCTTTCCGTGTACAAAATCCAGTCTTCTCATACAATCCATATGGTCAAAGGTGCAGCACGCTCTGCTGCTGGTTCAAGCTCTACCGCAGCCTCGTCAACACCGGCCGCTCAACCGCTTCCCACCATGCAAACAGGTCAGAACGTCCACGACCCTCTGACAACTCTCAATTCGCATCTTGGTTTCGGTGCCATGGCTGGTTTAAACCCGTTCGCCGACATGGGCTTGAATCCCAACGATCCTAATATGGTATACATACGCGTACCAAGTCCCCCATTCATTATTGACGAAAGCTACTGATAGTTACAAACGATGATGAATTCACCTGAGTTCCTGCAACAGATGTCGAGCATGATGTCGAACCCTGCTATCATGGAACAGATCATTGCCTCTAATCCCCAACTACAGGCGATGGGCCCTCAAGTTAGAGAAGCTTTTCAAAGCGAGCACTTCCGTTCACTGCTGTTCGTATCTTTTCTGCCCTCAGTTTTACTCTGGCCTCATTTACTAATGATTTTACTCGTCTTGTTCATTGATACTCCCCCGGGTAACAGCTCAAACCCGGAATCACTCCAAATGATGCTTCGTATGTCATCAATGATGCAAGGAGGCATGGGCGGAGGTATGGGTGGTGGTGGCATGGGTGGTGGCATGGGTGGTGGCATGTTTGGCAGCGCACCCAGCTTCCCAGCCCCTGGCACCCCGGGTGGTGCTTCAGCTACTGGAACAACTCTTGGTTCTACTCCCGTTACAGGAACGACCCCAGGTTCTCCCGGAGTAGGCACTGGTGCTGCGAATCCATTAGGGATGTTTGGCAACCCTGCGATGATGCAACAGATGCAGCAGATGTTTGGTGGCGGCGGCGGAGGCCTTGGAGGGGGCCTTGGAAGTTTCGGAGGAATGGGTGGCTTTGGAGCCCCCGCTGCCCCCACCGATTCGAGACCACCAGAAGAACGATTCCAAGTGCAGCTGCAGGTAGATAATCTTTTTCCTTGAAACGCCAAACATTTTGTCTGATTGATTCGAAATAGCAATTGAACGACATGGGCTTCGCTAACGCTGCTCAAAATGTGCGCGCGTTGCTTGCAACTGGGGGTAATGTTCATTCTGCAATAGAATATATTCTTGGGGGAGGGGGGTTATAAACGACTCCAGAATCAAAGCTGTAAGTACTTAGATGGTGAATTCATTTTCGCTGTTGTATACGTATTTTATGTATGCATTATGTATCTGGTTTGAATCCGTACGAACTCATCCGGAATTCCACACAAACAATGAACGATTTGGTATTGAGTAGGACTGTAACTTGGAGAGTTAAGTTGTAAATTCCACGTATGAAAAAGAATGATACTTTGTCCACTGAGAAAAGTGCGGATAATTTGTACAGGAAATCATGCAAAAAGATACGATATACATAATTAGGGTACTTTAGGCTGGGTCTGGGACAATAGATAGCAGTTGTGAAATCAATGTAGATGAACAAAGATGAGCAAGCAAATAACAGAAAATCCAAGCCAAGTCCGATTTAGTCATGAATTATTGATGAGCTAGTTGATAACGTAGAGTGCCTGGGGCCAGTTGGTGTGCGCGCTGGTCTTCCTCGCTCGAAGCGTGATGAATATGATGAATATGACGACGCAGGACGCTCAACACTCGATGGAAGGTTGATGTCCCCGGAAATGTCGAGACTCTCCGATCGTAGTCTTTCGTTCCTTCGAGCAGAACCGACTCCTGCCATCCCGCTTCCAAATTCTCCTAGGTCCCAGTCGTTTTCACGACTAGAGGTGGTTTGTGCTGGAGAACGGTCGGCTGTGTCTTGAGTAGATTGTGATGTAAGGGGAGTGCTGTCGAGCATCAACGCTGTTTCTGGTAGTTGAAGCAATGGTAATGTGATACTTTGGCCTCGGCCATGTCCTAATAGGTCTGTTGAGGGCTCAAACCGACTACTTCGAGAACCAGCAGCATCACTCGATTCCCGCCTAGGAATAATTGGTCGGCCTTCGGGAGAAAGGGCTCTTGCATTGGCTATCTGTTCATCCTTATTATGCGTCGGTGAATCCAATCCGACCAGAGTATCTCGGTTCCAGTCGAACTCCTTCGCTGGGTTCCAATCAGCGTCTTGAGTCAGAGTGCGTGAAGTCGTAAGACCGTCAGAGGTATCTCTAGGAAACTTCTCGCCAATTTTTTTCCTCCACCCCATCTCTGCGTCATTACCGTCTTCGGCATCCCCAATTCGAGTATGCTCGCTGCTGACGGTGTATTCTGATGTTAATCTCTCCTTATTCATATAGGCCTGGTATCGCATTTGTCGTAAAGCATCCTCGCTAGGGAACGTATCGGTAGTCGGAGAAGTCCTTCCGGCAAGTTCGTAAGCTCCAAGTCCTTTCTGGTCTCCGACATAAGGACTCGATATCTTCTTGGGATGGAACCAAGCAAACAAACCTCCGCTTTTAGTAGAATTCGTAGCAGAAGCATCTCCAAAGGCACGTGAAGGAAGACCATGTTCGTCAGTTGACGCGCCAGAGCCTCGGTATCTTCTTCTCATGAAGCAGAAGCGTATTCCGAAGAGGACGAAGCAGAGGCCAAAGAACCCGATCAATCCAAAGAGCACATCCAGGCCTACACTCAAAGACTTTTTACTACTATCCGAGTTGGTCATCGGCGTCCCATTTATAGACTGGCCTAACACTCGAACTTTCTGAAACTCGTCTAGACAATGCTCACTATCAATTTTTTATTCTCCTCCTTGAATGAGTTCTGCTTACCCATCGCAACCGTGGCGTTTGTAAGTCCTTGTAGTCCGAGCCTTGGGGAGAGCTGGTTACTGGTGGAAGTGTCTGAAGGAGATTGAGGATTATTTGAGCCCCGTAAATCTGGGAAGGATCCATTCGAATCCGGAACTTGATACGCCATTACCATGTAGGTGTTACGAATGAATGGAACGCCTAGGATCATGTCGACACCGACGCTAGAGAGAAACTGATCGGCAGCTTGTATGAGGCCGATACAATTCGATGATGAAGACTGACTCGACGGGGGCTCGGTAGTGAGGTCAAGGGGGTGCACCGAGATTGGCAGTCGAGAATCGAGAGAAACTGTGAGGTTTAGTGGGGTTGTACAGCTGACATAGTCTGGGAGGGAAAGGAATGTCACTACCGGTTAATAAGGATTAAAGGATTATCGCGCACAATTCCCATCGCTTGCTGGTGAGACGCCTATTGCACCGTATATTGCATCTGCAATAACCTTAGTGGAAAGAATCACAGGAACCCCAGTATCCAATATGGCGGACGGGCTGGCTTCGTAAGAACTTTTTTGTAGGGTTACTGGTTTTGCTTGGCCATCAACCCAAACCGTTATATCCGCGATATTAGCCTTCCAGAACAAATAACCGGCAGATATACCAGTGGATGTAAGGCTAGGGACCGATGTGGCATACTGAACATCTTCACCGCTTCCTATTTGTGGTACTTGAGATTGCGATGGGTGTTTTCCAATCCCGAAAAGAGATGGGATCGTTGATGACCCTGGACGCTCGAGTGTAATGGATAGAAAACGTGCGGCCGGAGAGAGAGAGGATGGGGAGAGGGAGAAAATATTTGACGTAAACTGAGAGCCGTCAGTAGTGCTAGAAGAACTTGAAGGAATGGTTCGGCTTATGATGCTATTATCAGGAAGCGCAAGGCCTATAATGCCGTTGAAAGAAGAAGACAAGGGTTCCGAATTCACCGTGGAAGCTGCGGCTATGGGTCGAAGGTGCTAAACGTTAGCTTTTAGTGTATCTAATATGAAGATCAGGCACGTACCGAAAGCTTGAGTGTCTATAGTGTAACCACCGATGTCAACAGAATCCCATACAACCAGTCCCAATGCTTGACCTTCCAAGTAACTGACATTAAATGAAGAACCGCTTGCTATGGAGGTGGAACTAGAGGATGCATCGTATCGTTTGTTACTAGGGACGTTGTTGCAAGAGGAGGTAGAGCATGAAGAGGCGGTTACCCACTACAGCTAAGAGCTTAGCAAAGAGTATACAGCCTGGGAGGTGATATGATATTACACACAAGATCGGATGAACCTGTATCTATTTGGAGAGAGACGTTAAGATTATTGGAGCCTAGAGTTATTGGAAGGGTATAAGCACTGTAATATTTGCCTGAGCGGATTTTATGGTGAACAATCCGAGAAAACGTACGCATTATACGCCGTTGTGCCTACATATTGCAGTGGTACCACTATTCCATCTCCTCCTCCGGAACTATCAGAGTCATCTCGGGGCCATGTACGGATGGATGCTGAAGGAGCTCGTTGTTTGCCTTTTTGCGCCCAATCAGAGACCATAGCAATCCTCCAGAATAAAGAAAAAGGGAAGGGAAGAAACAACAATTAAGCGGTGGAGAAACCCCATGAATGTTTAAAAGACTCTAATCATATTCTGATCGTGGGAAGATGAAAGTCTAGATCCCTGCACTACACTCTGCTATACACCTCCCATCTGCCATCCTCACGCAGCCACTTATAAGTATATACATGGCAGAAAAAGTCTGGTGAATGCTATGTAGATAACGGTCCATAAAGTTTGGATAAAGGTGTGAGAGGGAGCAAAATCTGTTCAACAGTTGACACCCCGGGCTCCTAAATTGTTGACCGGAATCAAAAGCTTCCCTACACGGGGAAAAAATGCCTTCCCTCTCATTCCCTCTCTTGCCAAGTCCCGGGATAGTCTGGCGATTCTGAATTGCATCACTAGACATGCTACGATCGAACTGCCTTCGACTGTATACCGTCCCGTCGATGGCAACGAGCAAAAAGGCAAAACGCAATTTTGGCCAATGCGAATGTCCTCTGCTTCGCACTGCCAGCCTGTATAATCTATGTATTTTTGCGGGAGGGTGACGGACCTGAAAATGTTTGAAACTGGGAAGAATTAAAAGCAGACAGAATCGAAACCATCTAGAAGTAGCAGGGGAGGAAAGGGAGAAACCTACTAGGCTATAGAGGGACTTATAGCTATGTAACCTCTCCAGTGACAATTTTTGCAGAACTGAATTGTACGGGTTTATCTGAATCCAACTTGTTTGAGAGATAGGGTGGCTTCCGGGTTGAACCGAACCCTGTCGATAAAAGGGCAGACCCACGTAGACATCGGCCTATTCGTGTGCATTGCATAGACAATGGACATCGTTACGCTGTACATAGTTGCAATCACGGGCTTGGCTAGATCAAAAACGCAGATGCATAGAAGTTTATAGACCAGGATGTTCACGACACCCTAAAGTCAGGAGAAGAGGCAGCACGCCTAAAGCAAGAGGGACAGCCCACAACCACAACTATGATGTTACTGCAAAGACGTCAATGTATTATGATGATTAGATAGATTGTGTCTAATAAATATAGGGTATAAACTTGTAAGGGACAACCTTGCAGTAACGTTCCCAATCTTTGCCATACTTGACAGCACAACTATGGATAAGAATGAGAATTCGAGGAAGTCTTTAACAGTTAGACTATGCACACACCGTTCGAAATCACGACCGCATCTATGCACTAGGACAGTGATGAAGAAAACGGAATAAAAGTAGGGTATAGGTGTTGCAGCACCGATAACGAGACCCCAAGTTAAACTCATAATCCAGTCCGCGACATAGTTCTGGGTCAAGACAATTGAGAATATTTAAATAAGACGTACACACAAGAACTTACAGGTTTGCGCGACCATCCCCACCATCCACTTGTCAAAAGTCGGTTTCTGTTGGAACAACGTCAGGCAATTCACAGAACCTAAGCTGAATCGACGTAATTACCCATGTGCAGTTTGAACGTAAGTAGGGTTCTTGACCGTGTTACCAGGAAGCTGAGGGAATGTTTTCCGGAACGTGTAGACACCCTGAGTCTGCATTTTGAAATGACTTTTTTGAGCCATAGCGGTATCCCAGCTGGAAAAGCAAAAAAATGAGAACGGACGGACAAAAAAATGTTATCCTACTCACATGTAATATGCGGTGCACAAAGTGGTGTACAAGATGACATATGTGGGAGTTGAAAATTTGTACTTGGAAGGATCGTGCGATGCCATATAGACCACAGAGTAGACGTAGGACTAGGAATGGAATATGAGGACGCCGAAGATAAAGAAAGTCTGAATCTGGACATACGAATGGCACGCCAGCGAAATTCCAAAAGATGACCATAAAACCCCATCTATAATTGCCAAGTTAAATAGGTCTCAAATAAGCAAGTCGTCAACCTACTTTTCATGATACATGTCCCAAGTTTGTGGAATACATTCTTCTCCCTTCGCGCTATATTGCCGGTCAGCAAAAGCAGTCGAGTCACGTAGACAGATTCCTACCATGCATTTATGTAAAACCATGTAGCCAAACACATGAACGCCATATTCTGAAAGATTAAATATTAATGAACCGATTCAAATCTTTCAGGGAAAAAACGCACCGGTGTAACATATCCTAATGTCTCATATTGCTTGCAAGCTCCTGAAACTGCAAGGAAGAACACAATAACCCAAGGAATGCGGACTTCGGCCCACATCTTTAAATCCACAGGCCCAATTCTTGGGTTCAATGAAGCACCCATGAAAACATCGTAGATGAAATTGCCAGACATACGCATTTGCGTTCCAGTAGCAATTGCGATGAAATACATGCCGAAAGAGACACCAAAGCCCCATATCATCGCGACAGACATTAAATGGCCATAATTGTCAATTATTTCAGTGAGACGGAAGATCTCATAATAGTGAAGCACCGCGGCAGTACCCATGGTGGCATATAGAGAAACGAGAGCATTGCAATTGTACATGAGAGTCTTGTAGCCCAAGGACGGGACTGGTAGTCCCTCCTGCATGAATCCAGGCAAAACCCAAGCGAGGAATAGTTGGAAGAAAATGTTGCCGGAGTAAACTTTCCAGGCGTATAAATTCGGACTAGCATCCTAGACCCCAAGGAGGCTGTTAGCTGCTGGCTATATCTTCAAGCACTTGAGTCGCACCTCTCGTACATGGGCCCACATTCTTCCCAGGAATGGTTGAATATCTTCCACAGAAGTGGGATGCACCAATTGGCCGTCATAAAACCAAAGACATATCCACAAGTAGTACATGAGGAGTGGGAATCCAGTCATAATTGCTAGCACACCAAATGGACCACCAAATTCATATCTGTTCCAGGTTGAATGAGTACTGAAGGTCGAATAGTGGACGCGACTTACGATTCATGCTGGTCAAGTTTTTGGTCCAATTTTTTGCCTTCCTCCGAGATAGTGATGATATTAAGTTTTCCATTAGTTTTCCTTTGACGAAGACCGTCGCTGTCGCCCATAGTCAGATGTCTGGAGGCACCTTAGAGTCTCTGGTTGTAGTTATAAAGTCGACTTGAAGAAAAATCGAACCACTTTTTGATTACCTAACAATGATCGCGTACAAATCCAGACGCGACGCGCGACGCGAAATAATTCGCGAATTATGCTTCCGAACCCGACTCCGAACTCTGTGCAGGATTCAGATGGTGAGCTGGATTTTAACTTGTATTGGTGCTTAAAATAACGCACGCCACCTCCTGCTAGTCAAGATATCCGAGCTCTTTTCCAAAAAAAAAAAAAAAAAAAAAGGATCGTACAGGAACTGGTCAACGATCGCAGATAATTACATATAAGGAGAGAACTTTGACGCATACGATTTTGAGATAGGCCCATTCCTCCAATGATGAGGTTCCTCAAACCCGGCAACAAGCACGTCGTCCTCCACGCTCATGCAACCGCCCAGCAGGGTACATACATATATCTTATTTTCTTCAAATTCTATAGACCATTCGCACACAAGCGCTCATTTTCTGTTGTAGGACACAGTAAACCCCTGACTTACCTCGCGGTGCTAATTCTTGAGAGCCGCTTTGAAGTGATAACTACATTCTCAACAAGTGTAGCAATGTTATTCAAAATCAAGGGCCAGTCGGAAAGATTGCACCCAACCCGGTACCAGGCCATTCAATCGCGCCTCAAGTGAGCTTTTTATCCCCAGTAACTGTCCTACATGATTATCCATATCTTAGCAATAGTGTACTCGACGTTTCGGGCCCGATCTGCAATCCTCGCTTGCCGTTGATGGGCTTTGCACCTGCATATGATGCATTACACAATAGAGAGCCTCTCATTCTTCTTCCTTCGGGAAAAAAATCGCCGGATTACCTGCGCCTAGTCTGATCGATGTAGGAGTGGCTTCCCCACAGAAAACTTACGACTTCATTCTTATCCTCATTCAGCCTTTTACCGCGTATGCTGTCGAAGCAATACCGTACGGGTTATGAAAAAGGACCTCCCTATCCTTGCATACTGCACCTGCGGGGGGAGCCTTATGAGTGTAATGGGGAAGTACCTGGAAGTACTGAATATTATCCCCGGGTTAGCACCTTTATTCGACTATGAATGGTTTCCGCAAAAGGTGAGTCTAACTGATAACATGTTCTACTCATTTATCCCATCCATGGCTAATCCGTTTTAGACCCGTTGGTCAAACCTTACTCCCACAATCGAAATAATTGGTGGATAGATAGATAGATAGATACGCGGCTCCGTCTAAGACGGGGTCCCACTAGGGAACAGCCGGGCCCAACCATCTCAGTTACAGCGAATGCTCATCCAACGAGGGACGGTAGACTGCAGTGAGAATGGAGGGGGTAAAATACATATTACGGTACCTAAAACGTAGTGGTACCGGAGAGGGAAATTATTCAAAATCGGAGTCTTCACTTTCACTTTCTTATCCACATCCGAGGAATGGATGGTTTGATTTGTGCCTCTTCGCCTGCGTTCGAGGCCCCTGCGATCGCTGCAGCCCGCAATTGGTAAATGTCGTTATGGAAAATATGGCATAACAGGGTATGTATAACCTAGGACCACTCACCATAAATGAAGCATTATCAATTGAGAATAGGGTTCAATCTGACACGGAGAAGCGAGGAGTGGAGTTTGAAACACAGAATGAATTCGGCGAAAAGAGTTTGGTATACGTGGGTGAACTATATTACCTAGGTACGAATACGACTTCACCTCGGGAGCTCCCTGAGATTTCGTTCGGCTCGATTTTCTTTGCCTCAAACCCCGAGAAAGTTTGAGCTGTCTTCGCAGAACTCGTCGACTCAAAAACCCCATTTTTCTTCACCGATCCCTCTCCATGGATGACACTCCCCTCCGAACTCGAGGCGAAAATTGCTGGAAGTGAATATGGAATGGAACTCACCTGGTTTCTTCATCAGATTATTTGATCCCATCCTGCAACTGGATGGTTCATCACTCACGGAGGATGGAACAGCATTCAGGAGGTGTTCTTCCATCGAGTTCCGCTGTAAGTACGCTTTTTGCCCAGGGAGCGTGGTTTCTGATTGCGATTGTCTTGCAGAATTTTATGGCCCTGTCAGGCAGATCAGCCTTATAATGCAATCCTCATGAGTAGAAATCATCAAGCGGCTTTTGAGCTCATTTCTGTTCGTACTGGAGACCGCGGGTGCGCTTACCCTACAAATTCAAAGATGCCATCCTTCACTCCCGAGAGTGCCAAAGAGAAGTTCAGAGCATTGCTCAACTAAACAAAAGGTGAACTTGAAGGTCGAAAAATTATGATGAACTTTAGTATGCTCGCAGGGGAGATGGGCAAGGCGTGGAATGAAGGAGGTCTGGCTTAAGTCGATTTCGAGGCTTCATTGCGCAAATATGTACGAGGCACCAAAATATAAAGATTGGTGTATAAAATTGTACGGAGCAATATGTTTGCATTAGGATCGATTTAAAGAGTACAGAACCGAGGGGTTTTTGAGCCGCATAAGTATGTGGTTATCGTCTCACGGAAGACAGTATGTCGGGCTTTCACTTTTGAGATGAACCCTGGAAACTTGCAGTTTCCCGACGTATGTCAACGATAGGGAGACTGATTTCTGTCAAAGAGTAATCGGGAGTTCTTGAACTATAGGGCAGATCATCAGCGAAGCATACTAATTGGCTACCCATTAGCCTATGTAAGTTTACCTTTCATTGCTGGCTTGCCCCAAGGAATTTTTCGGTCTAAATTGACTTCTCAGGTTGGAAAAGGCTTTCGAATAATGCTGCCTGGCTTCCTTGGTGGTTCCGAAGAATAGGAAAATCAGGATACCGCAGCTGGAGTTTATCCAACGCTGCAACTCGAGTGACGCTTCATCGATACCATTGCTCCTCCAAATTACCGATGGAGTGGCGGGAATGTACGAAAAATCAGCGTGAACATAATCCCAGCTAATCCAGGGCAGTAAGCCCGCTGATACGTTCATGACCAAAGCGAAGACTGCGATGGGAGTGGTACAAGTCTCCAGCATGGCAAAAATGACCACAGGGATGAATCTATCCATTGTGAATGAGTTCTCGCAAACAGGAGTTTGGAGGTTCTTCAGTTCCTGATAGTGTCGAAATAATGAAATTATACAGCGAACTAGTAGATTCAGACCTGAGGGGCATTCTAGCAGTGGTTCCGAAGCACTTACTATCATAGTACGCTGAGACAAGGCCTGTCAAAATGGGCGGGAAAGTGACAAGAAATTGTGTTGCCAGAGTACGATAAACGTAGGGCATACAACCAATTTCCTCGAATATACAATAACGATGACCTTGAACAATATATTCTAACCGGTTTCATTAAAGCAGAACAAAACGAAGTGAAACGGCGTATGAACACTCACGTAAAGCTGTGAGCACCAGAGGCACTATTAAACATAATGTGGTATCGAAGATAACTGCACGGCGTTTCTTTTTTGAATTTGATTGAGTGATATGTTTAATGAATAAGGAATACTCAGACCGACCTCGATGCGCGTCAAAGCAGATTTTGCGCTGGCAATAAGGTAGAGACGACGAACAATGCACAAGGAAGAGAGAGGAATCGCAAAGGTTCCTGCTAGAATAACATGTGTAGCTGCACAATATATAATTGATCAGCCCAAGTCAGCCCAAATAGTAACCAGAAACTCACAAAAATCACACCACACAGGTGCGATGTCCAAGATGGTACCAGCCCAGAGAATAGAGTTGATAAAGTCTATGAGGCCAATCAAAGATGCCCAGATCATGTAAAAACATGTACCCGAGTTCCAAGCCTGGAGGTGCCATGTGAGTGGAATGAGGGGGAGAAGAAAGCTGGAGAAGGAAAATATCGTGTAGAATGGGTAAAGAGGGTCTGTTGAGTGAAACATGGCAGCAACCGGGGATTGGAGAGGGAGAAAAAGAAGGCAGATAATGATTATCGCAGTAATGAAAGGAATCCTTATTAAAGGATTATCGCTGTAAACCCTTGTACTCTTTTGAGTATGATATCTGTATGATATATAGCAGTTATGTGTCAAAGCGTAACCTGTCTCATACAGGCACTTACGCATTGTTGTATACTGACCAGGGGTTGGAGAAAACCGATCGACTTTGTTCCATTTTTGGTAAGTAAAAGTTCAACTGTAGGGTATATATACTTAAGTATGTCAGTGGCGGCTGAGATTGCTGGAATGAAATCACGAGAAGCGGCAAGATTCTATGTACACAACTCCTGACCTATTTGGAATCTTCATTTTATCGAAAACGCAGTTCTGTACATACCGACACCCTGACATCTATACGCAACCCTTTGAACAGGCCTACTCAGGCCTACTCCCAATACCGTGCAACTTTGGCGTCGTTTTCATTTGCTCCATTACCAATCTCTAAGAAATCAGACGGTCTGTCCCGCTTAAGATTCCGTCGACGGTTATTCACCGGGAGCCTTTGGTATGCCGAATCCTGGACGACCTGACTAGGGCCTCCCTGGGAAGGATACATATTGTTATTATACCCCATACTGCCGCCCATCGACCCTTGCTGCTGCTGCATATTCTGCATTTGCATCTGTTGAGCTTGCTGCTGCTGTTGGAATTCCGTTGCAGCAGCAAGCGCGACACTGATCGTTTGTGCCTGCTGCAGTTGAATTTTTAGCTGCTCCTGCTGCACCTCCGTTTGCTGGCGTACGCGAGGGGGCAGAGACGGATTTTGAAGTGCTACAGATATTTGCGATATCTGCGCCTGGAGCATGGGGATGAGTTGCTGTACGTCCATCCCGGGTTGTTGATCAGAATAGAAATCCTGTTCGAGGTTGATGGTTTCCTGTGCAAAGGATGAGAAATCTCGACCTACAACCTTGGGGATTAATGATTTGTGCCCACCTTCGTACCATCCTCCATTTCTTCGGAGTCAGCAGCCTCTCTTCGACTGTCCTCAATGGCTTTCTGAATGTACTCACTAACCCGACGCCGCTTCTCATGGTTTGGAGAGAGCTTATCCAAACTGGCAATCTTCTTACCACAGTTAGGATTTGGGCAGATGAAGTCTCTCTCCAGCAGGTGCGTCTGTATACAGTCCTCGCAATACGAGGTCCCACAACAGGGTGTTTCAACCGCATCGCGAAAGAGCTTGTTGTCGATTGGACACACAAGGGTAAGGTCCGAAGGGGTGTTACGATCTCGCACTTCCGCTGCAGTCAGGACTTTGTTTGTTCGCGAGACTTGTTTTTGCCACGACGCCCTGGACAGTAGAGATAATTAGCTTCTGACCAAAACCAGCGACAAGGACGTACAGATCGGGTTGGGCGACGACGTAGCCACCTTCAGGAGTGACCATAACTCCTTGACCTAACTCTCCGTTGTTGATATTCTCCACAGCTTTCAGCATGCTACGTGGTATACCGGTCGTCCGTTTGATTCGTGGTTTGTGGTCAAACTCGCGATCACTATTCGTGGGGCAGTCCTTTATCCAGTGACCTAAAGGACAGCGATGAGTACAAACAAGGCCACTAACCTTTGGTGTACGCGTAGTTTCTCACCTTTCTGGCCACAGCGGTAGCACACATAACTGGCCGGTAAAGGCCGATCCGGCGGTTGATACGTTGAAGGGCCTGGCTTACCTGGGCGCGGGGGACCTCGTTGATTGTTATAGATGCGCGTAGCACTGGGCAAACGTAAGTCGAGTTCCAATCAAAGTGACAAGTCAGATAGAACAAAGATGTTATCATTGGAAAGCGTACTACTACTTTGACAAATATGAAAATATCCACTATTGTATTGAAAGAACGAAAACGGAGAGGTAGGATAAACGATGAAGGAGCAATCGACTGACTGGGACATTTTTTCCTGGGCTTCCTCCCAATTGGCTGATTGTGCTTGGAACATTGCAGCCATGGCGGCTGTTTCGTCGTCATTTGCCACGTTGGTTTTGACTGGGGTGGCCAAGTTCGATGGCTGAATGATTGTCATTTACGATGATGAATCACAAATGAAAGGATTCAACGTTACCATGCCGAATTTAGTTTGCGAGTCGTCCCTTCCGTCGAACCGCTTAGACATTGCACCTCTATGAACGAAGCCGGAACCTCGCTGCACTGATTCTGAGGTTGGTATCATATTGGCTGTACCAGCAACATACATAGATGCTTTCCCTTTTCCAGGCCGTGCAGCAGGGACACGTTTGATGATGACGAAGGAGGATCGGGGGATAATAGCGCCGTCGTCGAGAAGCTCTGGTGAAAGATATAAGTGTCCTTGCAACAGCATGGTAATTCGGATTTACTACGCACCTTCCTTGGAGTCTCCATCGATGACTTTCAAGTCGAAGTCGTTCGCCTTCGCGAGGTTATGTGCTAAAATGATGTCCCTCTTTAAGTCAAAAACCGATATACCAGTCCCGTCGAACGCCACACGAGATTCGTCTTTGCGGGAGTTGAACCGATAGAATACAGAAGAGGCCATGGTTGGTATATATGGATTTATGAAATTAGAGTTGGTGTAGGGGCAAGGGACAAAACTCTTTGTCGCTCAATCTGAACTCTTTGGACGCGTTTTGTTGCCAAAGCTGGAATGTTGAATATATATATATTGACACAGAGGAAAGTGGAAGACTGGAAAACGACTACGAAGAAAAAAGCATGTAACTGAGAACCGAACTCTGATAAAGCTTTCTCACGGTAGGATTCGGTACAGAGGACGACCAAGAACGTTCTTTTATAGTTTTTCATCCTCAGCAGTCGGCGAGACCGCCGAAGAGGGTCAGAAGAAGTGTATCATAATAGTGAGTAGGTACAGCTTTCCAGTATAATGATAATCCAACGATACCCTTATTGCGCTGAGATTGACGGAGCCTTTCCGTTCTGCACTCGTTCAGATCTTCTCAACAGGCTCTGCTGATAACTCTCCCAAGCAGTGATAAGCTCTGACTGCCTTCCAATCATACCTTCTAACCAAGCCCGCAGAGCATCACGGAAGTCTTCCACTCTCTCCTCCTCAAACCTAGCCATTTCAGCTTTACATAAACGCGACGTGTTTTCAAATGCTCGTTTGGCTTGCGCAGCACGCATTTCAGACTATACAAGGGGGTGTCAGAGGAGTGGTAATGGTTTCAGCGAAAATATACTCGCCTCAGCTATTTGACTTAAAGAGTGACCCAGAGCACCACCGGCCCCTTTGCTGAGACTTCCGCCGGGTGTTGGCGAGTTCCCTCCGTATGCAGAGGTACCCCGGTTGCGCTCATGTACCTGCTTGACACGGATGACGTCGACATCTGCATTCTTCCAAGCTTGATACATCCGTCCGCGAGAGGAAAATGCCATCTGAAAGGACGTTACAAGTTCCAGTGCGAACGGGGTGGCAGGATACACACCCTAACACTTCCAATTAACCTCGCATACTCATCGACGGTCCCCATGATGGTAATCATGTCTTGTTCGCTTTGAAGTACATGTAATTCTTGCGCTTTCCTTTCAACCTCAGCCAGACCCATCAAAGTTTGTGAGAGTTGTTGAGCTTGTGAGGAACCTGAACATTGTCAGCGTATGCGTTAGAGGGTCGAAAGTTTATAGCGTACCGGAGACATTTAATCCTGTGTTGAAATCTCCACCCTCTGCAAGCTCTTTGACATGATCGCTAAACTCAGATACAGCCTGGGCCATTTCCATGCGATGTTTGGAGACAAGGTCGATAGACTTGACGAGAGAACGAAGTTGCGCTTCGAGTGAATCTAAATATGTTCTTTTGGAGTCAAAGTAGTCGTCTGTCTCATAGAATCTCGTTCCTGTTAATGTTTGCCCAATGGAAGAAATGATACCACTGGAAGGCCCAGGGGAGCCCGGGTCAATCTTGCGGTGCTTGATCTAGACAGTTGAAGTGCTAGGTGAATCGAAGACATAGGACCCAGAAAAAAAGCTTACATCCAATGCGAACGTATCACTCTCTAGGAACAACTTCAAGTCTGAATCTTTGCACAACACGGGATGGTTGGCAATCTTTTGTATACATTTTTCGAGTGCGAACCTGGATCACGGTGAGTTTGACTACGTGAAAGAATGACGAAATAGAACCATTACCTCCGCTGCCTAATGAATCCTTCGTCAAACCTCCCTACGTAGCCTTTCTTGCCTGCGGATCCCAATATAGGATTAGTGAATAGTAGTGGATTCTTCTCTGGCACAGGAGGAACCACTACTCCAGGATTGTTAAATGACAATGTGTTGTAAAGCCAAAGGAAGTCCGAGTACCGTCTCAACACTGAAAAGGCTGACTTTTGGTAAAGGGGGGAAGTTGTCCGTGTGTGTACTGTGTACATGACATACGAGCGGATTGGATCACCAACTTTCTGTGGATCGTCAACCGTTATAGTGAAAAGCGGAGGGAGAGACGGGTCATCAGGACGATTGGAGATAGAACGCTTTTTAGATTTCTAGAATTTCAATGAGATATAGTTGATGAAACGGGTTTAGTAGAGCTCACAGGAGACATGGAAAGACTCTGAGCAAGAGGTTTATCATCGTCGCTGTCGTCTTCATCCCGGTTACGTGATACAACAGGCGCAGACGCGGACATCCCGTCATCGAATTCTGGCTGACTGTAGGGTTCGTGTTCGCCCCAGCCAGACGTTTGTCCAGAGAGAGGACCCCAAACTGCAGTAGGGGAGCTGGGACCTGAGAGCGATGATGTGCTTGAAGTTACAGTTGGAGGAGTAGGATGCCGCTGAAGTTCAGGTTCCTCAATCATACTAGGTCGAATCGTAGCAGTCTCTGAAAAGCCTTTCAGAGATTCAGCTTTTTCAAGCACTTCCTCAATCTCTTTCCCTTTCCCTTTATCCTGAGCCTGTTCCTCCTTCCACGCCGACCTTTCATCCTTTTTGCCTTCTTCTTCTTCTGTATCCTCAGACGCAATATCGACACTCTCCTTGAATCCGGATGCCTTCAACGATACGTTCCTGGCACGTTTGAAACCAAGAGGCTTGTTGTCTTCCTCATCGGAAGAAGGAACATTCGCAGTAGCCGAGTCAAGGGGATCACCGGGTCCCGCAGAGTCGACAGGCTCAGTTGGGATTTCTGTGGAGATATTGGAACTTGATACTGGTGTTTCCGGCTCATAATCCTCGACTTCAGTCGATTGTTGCGTATGGTGATCCTCGGTCCAAGCATCATGGCTATGATCAAAGGGAGAAGCCCATGGATCTGGAGAACCAGAGCGCCTCGAGCCAAAAGGGTTACTGTCTTCGTTAAAAGGATTATCTTCCAACATTGACCGGGAAGGCGCCAACAAATCATCAAATCCGTCCATTTCAATGGAATGTCGTTGTCAGTCAGCTGGTAGTGGGAATGTGTCGGCCGTATTGAATATACAGCGCCAAAAGGGAAGTTACAACTTTACAAGTCCGACCTGTTTAAGTCTCGAGTCGGAGGAGTTGCTAATCTTGCGCTGATGAGATGAGTAGAAATTGGTTGGCGGGACCACGTGGCATTTCCCTTTAACTCTTGCTTTGACTTGTACGGTTTGCAGCAAAAAATAGTAGGTACATGTACATTGCATGTGTCGAAAGTCGAATTACAGATTGGTAAGGTACCTGCTCTACATACATACTATGGGTATGCATTTGATTTCCGTTGAGCGCGCAAACGTTGAAGAACAAGAATAATGTTACATGAGCAGGTATAAATGAGAATGCGATTATCTATCTACATTGAAAGAGATTGAGATTTTGGGGGTATGAGAAAGAATTAGAATGCGCAAAGATTGTCATAATTTTCCGCAGATGAATGCGAAAGGATGGTGTATGAAAAAGCTGGAATAAAGAATTGCCAAGATGTACCCCATATACGCAGAATGTTGGCGATCATCATTTCTAGTTGGACAGCTAGCTTTATGAGAAGGCATTCTCAATGTTGGTCGTATTGAAAGGATTGCGAATATTTGACAATGTGCAAATTCCTCCTGCGAACGCTGGTGGTCGCGAGGACTAGCTCATCAACCGCTCTCCCCAGACCAACTTGTGTCTGTACGCTCTATAAGCACCACCGAGTCCTACCCAGACCACCATACAGCACAAGAAGAACGAGATGGCGAACAAGAACCTCATGAATGCTTTCCATCGACCTGATACCGGTGCAGTTGGCGTGAATATAGTACGACGCCAGCGTTCATGAAAGGAGGTATCGAGCCACGTCAAGTCCATGACAAGATTTTGAGCCTGAGTCCGAATGTAACCAGAGGGAATGAGATCGACGAAATGATAGCGATAGTCACAGTATCAGGGAAACCGAGTGAACGGCGGATGCGAATATACGGACGAGGGGGGATCACATCGTGATCAACGACAAGTACGTTCAGCAGTAGCCCGATTGCAAAAACAGGAAGCGATATCGTGAAACGATAATCAGCTGCCAGATCATGAACTTCATCGTATCTGGTAGACCAACCTTTTCCCGACCAGAATCATACACTACTCTGATATCTTGCACCTGAGTTCGGATCTTTGGCAGAGTTTGTGTTAATTCTGAAAGAGTATCCACTGATTCGTCGAGAGATGCCTCGATGGCGGGTATTTGTAAATGTAGGGATTGATCCGCCCGCTTGAAGTTTCTCTGTATAGGGAATAAGGAATATGTCTTTTAGGAAATTTCGAGGACATAGGCTGACCTTGATTCCGGTGGATGCTTCCTTGAAGAGACTGTCTATGGCACGGAAGTTGCTGAGGCTTTGTGATAGTTGCGACTGGATCTTCTCATGAGCTGGATTTTGGACGAAGGTCACTGCTTACCTCTAATTCTTTCATTTGAAATTCGTATTGTGTTGCCTGCTTTGACATCTTCTTCAACGCTGCCTCCAATTTGCTAAAGAGAGTTATTAGCCCTGAACATAAAAGCATTGGTACCATCGACATACCCCGTCGATACTGACTGCTCCACTTTTCCGACTTTGCTTTCTTGCCAGTTCTTTGAAACACCACGCTCCTGAGCGGGGTTGTCCAAAGAACGGTGCGTAATAGGCGGTTGGTCCTTGTCGAAATACGCTTGCTGGCGGCTGCCGCTATTCATCGTTCGAGACTCAACTTGACCAAAGAAAGAATAGTGCGACAAAGCGGAAGACTGCAATAAGAGGGTGAATGAAGCACGTCAGTCGAGTAGCTCCTCCAGGCTACGCTGCCAGGGTAGATATAAAGAAAGAGAGAAGAAAGATGTGTGAAGGGAAAAACGGTCAAAGAGAAAGATTTGGATTATCAAAAAAGCATTGTGAAAGACAAGGTGACCGTTAAAAGAAGCAATTTGAGCGCCCACGGGGCGGAGATTTGACGGCCACGAGGTGATCTTCAATTATGTACTACATACCGGATCATTGATCCGCACTTGAAGCATTTACAAAAACGTTCAAAAGCCTCCAAAAGTTTTCGCCACCGCACGTACAGTATCTCCCCAAAAAACCAAAAGACGCAAACAGCTTCACGCAGGCGTTTTTGTGGACCGGCTCCAAAGCAAATATGGCCTATAGAATGTACTTCCCCCTCGTGTGCACAAAGATCAACTTTCAGTCCAGGACCATCAGGTATTCATCAAGCTCGTGTTCACTACGTACCCATTTAGACAGAAAATCATTGTTTAGCTAAAGCACCTATGTGCTCGCAGGCGTGAACACATCTAGACGCATCCAGGTGCCATCCCTCAAGTGGGTGATGCCTATATGTACACTCCTTTCTGATCAGAAATGATAGCCAGACCAGACGAAGAACAAGTTCTCTGGTTGAAAACACGCGCATAAAGCTTAGCCTTCGATGAATTTGTACCCATCCCATAGTGCAGTGTGAGCAAAGCGATGAGGAATCTACGCTCTGTGGTGGAAAGGTTCGACTGTACGTTCTCTTTGAGAATCTAGTATTGACGACGATCCAAAACTTGCTCACCACTATCGTCATTTCCATCATTCCTCAATTTTCATGACAACCACTGTCGAACCCATTACCCCCAGATCTTGTAACGGCTGATATATCTCCTTGTTCACCTCCCGTTGAGAAAACATCAAGTCCACGGATCTCAAGCAATCAACGCCAACAGGCTTGGAGGAATATCCTCGGTCAGGTAGCCAGCGCGACGCGACCATATTGAAGACCGTATTGTCGAACTCGGTCCTACCAAACTCCACTGAAAGATTGGGTGATATAGGAACGACAGGCGACCTGAAGCTTGAATCTTGGCTGCTTCCTCAGTTCCTGATCGAACAAGTCTAAGCGCTGATAGTATTGCAACGGTTGGGCCCTGGGCGCTTTTCAGATGGCTTTCTCCCGTTTCACAACAAGATGCACTTTTGAATGGATTGCAAGAGTTACTAGTAAGTCATTGCCCTGGAGAAGTACTGGCAGCTTGCCAGTGTTATGTGGAAGTACTTTTTCTGCTTTTCCAGTCCCAAATCATTGTACGGGGTAATGGAGTCTGGTTTCACACTGTGTAGAAGTGCTCTACATGGAAGTCATTTATCCCATGATTCTGAAGCAGTCCTTCATGTGTACTTCCTTAACACGGTGCTGCACTGTGATCTTCACAATGTTCTGCGTGGGGCGACCAAAGGCAAGAGGCAAGTTTCTACCTATTAAATACTAGCTCTAGTGAAGACTCCTCTCCTTTCCTAGCCTCCCCTTTGAGGTCCACTGTTTATCGCTATCGCAAAACACTAAATGAGCGGAATCTCTCGATTAAGTCGGAAGCAAACATTTTGATATATATTTTCTCGCAAACATCCTTTCTCTTTCTAGAGAGCTCATTCCTGGGCTCCTTCAACGAAGTTACACTTATCGTCACATGGCAATCACAGCAATTTGAATGCTCATGTGTACCATATGTTCAACAACCCAAAATCATGATAGTCTCTTCATTAAGTCGCATCGCAGTATTTAGCGATATCAGCTTCTACTCAAATAACTAGGTATGCCGTGCGGCTTCGTTTGTATTCGCGTCAACCTCAATGCTCAGCTGGCCTATAGGTACTGCAACTAACAACCAACGATTGGGACAAGGCCACGTCAAAGCATACCCATACGCTACCATATCGGGAAAGTATTGTGAGCGCCCAATGGTCCAACTTTTTGTGCCATATGTCTTTCTTATCACAGTCCCCACTCTTGCCGTATCTATTTACAAAAGCAATAAGATTCATCTGGTCCTTGCTCGTTGTGTGCTGTTGTGTGTCAGTAAGACTAAGTGTTTTTTCACTCCTCCAACATTTGTGCGCTGCTAGATCCTGCTATGTAGATCCCTTCAGTGAGTCAAACTACGATTCTGACTCAAATCACGCTTGGTTATCTGATGGGTGCCAAATCACTAGGATACGAACGATTTGGCCATACGACGGTGAAAAAAAGTCTTGTTGCGACGTCCAGATTTCGGCACGCGAGTGGCGAAGAAGTGTTGGTGGAGAATCTGCTTCTGTTTTCCCGGGATGGCCGAACTAATGAAATACCTCGTCTGTGCAGTTCCGCGGGCCAGTCCTAATGATTGCTCATTTGGATTATTCAAAAATGGGAACCGTGCACACGATGCTATCGATCCCAAAGAGGGTTTCACATGAAAACGACTACTTGAAGTTTTCCTTCATTATCTCCGTCTGCGGTGGACCATAGGGAACACAGATCAGTTTCGGGAGGTTCGTCTAACTTTAGCTCTACACTTCAATGTCGCAGCGTGCTCTTTCCTTTTCATTTGCTCATGATAGCCCAAACTTACTTTTTTGAAGCTTAATAGTCGGATTTCGTCCTCTTCTAAATGGATCCTCCATACGTAAGTTCCCTGAATCTGTTATTTGTTCGCAATGCAATTCGAAGCGCAGCTACAGACCTCAAGGTTCAACATTCGAACTTCGTGGTCCTGGTGGCACTGAGTAACATGATTCTGAAAATCCAAATGGTTTCCAAATTCGAATGAGGTTCGGGCCTGGTATAAAAAGCCCTCTTATGCTTCAGCTCGACTCCAAGATATCGGTCACTTTGAATCATCGGGGCTTCACAATGTTCATCTCTACACTCGCGGCTTTCTCTTCTTTGATCTTTTACAGCTTTGGGCTGGTAAATGGCACCCCTGTAAACGGTTCAAGATTCGAAGGCCTCGGTGAACAAGCTCGCGACATTCTTGCTCGTGCCGTACCTGTGGCTCCTCGCTTCGTGGTATACAGCGATAAATTCGTATCGGGTTTGACTGGTCCGCCTGCTGTAGCTGACGTAGAGGTGAGACTCTCTCTATGGGGTTGGGAGATTTGGCTTAAAATGAAAATGTTATGTGCAGGGTTTTAACGTCTTGTCAGTGGTCTCATTACTACAATTCCCAGACCGTGCTAACATCATTACATCAGTGCTATGTCTTTCCTTCTGTTGGAAGGCGCTTTCGATAAGGTATGATAGTATCACCACGGTAGAAGCGTCGCTCAGTATTTTTGCTTCTAGGCTGAGGAATGGACTCAACTAACCGCTGCTGAGCGGGCGACCATCAAGGCTGAGTATGCCGCGGCTGGAATCTCTCTAGTTGTAGCCGTATTTGGGTCAACAGACGTTCCGACAACTACAGGAGCTGATCCGATCGCTACTGCGAATACGATGGCTGCTTGGGTGATTGAGTATGGACTGGATGGTATCGATGTTGATTATGAAGTATGGTATATACTTCCTCGCGCTTTTCCACCAACCTGATCTATTTTGTAGGACTTCAATGCTTTTGATGCGGGCACTGCCGAGGTGAGTTCTTCATCCCCAACTCTGAATCCACAATGTCAGCAGTTTTCTCAAGGCCTGGCTTGTGAGTTTCACCACACAATTACGAACCCAGCTCCCTCAAGGCACTTATATCTTGACTCATGCTCGTAAGCGTTTGTATTATTTCTTTGCAAATACTGGCTCACGAGCTGTATCTTAATTGCCGACCACTAACCCAAACTCGAAAAGCTGTCGCTCCATGGTAACACTCAGAAGCTGTAATACTTCTACACCGTGTTCATTATTCCTTTCTTAGGTTTTCACCCAGCATATGGACCAACGGAGGTTACATCGCAGTCCACGAACAAGTGGGAAGTCTCATAGATTGGTACAACGTTCAAGTAAGTCGTTTTCTGTTGCTTTGATGCTCTCACAGAGTTGTTCACCATTATTCTAGTTCTATAACCGTGTGTATATACTGCCTTCATTGATGATCATACATTGAGCGAAATACCGTAGAGGGTACCAGCGAATATACAACCTGTGCCGGCCTCCTAACCGCCTCTTCGTCCACCTGGCCTGAATCTGCTCTTTTCCAAATCGCCGCCAATGGTGTGACGTTAGACAAGCTGGTCATCGGAAAACCCGCAACCACTGGGTGAGAGCAAGCCTCCTTACACTTCAGCGCAGGATTTGATGAATTCATTGCTATTGTAGAGATGAAACTAGTGGAGGGTACATTGACCCTGCTACACTCGCGACCTGTGTTGAAGAGGCCAAAGCCGAAGGCTGGAGTAAGTCTTTGGTCTGTTCATGCGTCGAATTGTGCTTACCGCAAATTTCGTTAGCTGCGGGCGTAATGAGTTGGGAATATCCTGATGCGGCTTCAGCTTGGATCACCGTTCGTACAGAATCTTCTTCTTGTATGCATAATCATTTGACTGGCATCTTATCAGGAGGTGCGCGCCGATTCTTGGCCAGTTTAAGTTATAGATATTATATACAATTTGTTCTTCGCTGCACTCTACTGTTGAGTGAATACTAAGTCACTACAAATCAAATAACATTTCACCGACTTTCACAATAACACCAGGAACGCGCACTGTTTTTGCTGTTACTATGTGCCGGATTGAATCATGGTCTCTCAAGTTCAGAACTGAACTGTGGAACAAAGGGTGTAACTTCACGAGCAACCACGTTGATTGGTTGAGGTGTTACGGGTAGAATGCACGGCAAAAAATCCTATATTATCTTGTAGTTAGACTATCATATTCGTTTCAAGTATTGTATTGAGGGAAGGCTTGAGGCTTTGCAGCCTGAGCAATACAAAGCTTGAAGGATGCAAAGAGATATGCATGACCAAGTTGTGCAAAGACTGAATGTCGACCGCGCTTAAGCGTTTGAGCCCGTCGTCTGTACAGTATGTTCCCAAAGTTTCTTCCGTATTTCCTCGTCACCTGAGTGACGCGTCTTCCCAACATTTTCTCCGTGCTCTCCGATCCCCCAAGCGCCTGGTCCGGATACTGTGTTCAGGAGCCCATTTAGTAAATATTCACCAGCGTCGTTCTGTTCAGTTGCCAGATATGAAAGCGGACTGAGACGGCTGGTCGCCAATTTCGTAGTAACACGGATAAAGGGGGAAGGTGAGGCAGAGCCAATATTTGTGCGGACCCATCCAGGGTAGGCGTGTATAAAAGACAAAGATGGGTACCGGGAGGCGTATTCCTAGATAATTGGAGAGAAATCAGATTTAAGTCCATTCAAACACACAATCGTACATTGAACTCACCTCCATCATAAGGTCATTATAAGTTGGGACTTGAGAAGCAGCAGCGGACAGCGAGAATGTCTTCTTCAATCCAAGATCATCCAAATCGACCTTTCCCCCTTTTCCAGCCGCCAGGACAGAAAACACCTTTGCATCTTCATCTGCCTCCTTGGCTTTCAGAAGGGCCGGAATCAACCCATGAATAAACTTCCAACGTGCGTAGTAATGCAGTGCCATCTTTCTATCGATGCCTTCCTCGGTTTCGTCTCTCCCATTCAAGCTCAACAACCCTGGCGAAAGAACAAGAAAGTTGATTTTTGTTACCCGTGAAAGCAGTTCCTGGGTCGTCTGTTGAACGTTTTTCATCAGCGAGACATCGCATGTAATGAATTCATGCTTGGCTGAAGAAGATGTTGGTCGAGGGAAGGTCGCGATGATGGATTCTGCTGCGGAGGAGTTACGTCCGACGAGGATAATATGTGCATTTCCTTTGGTGTGCCGTGCAAAGGCTTCCGCCATTCCTTGCCCGACGCCTGAAGTGCCACCTACAAAGACAGCGCAAGGAAGGTACGAGGGAGAGAACGAAGTGTTCAAAGCTCGGATGGCTGATATAGATGGTGCCATTTCGAATATGATTAAGGGATGGTGATTATCCTGTCAGTGTGGTTTATATATCATGAAGACTGTCACGGGCAGGCCGCGTAATGTTGGCCGACAGTTGCAAAATTTGGTTTTTTGCGCGCCATTCGTTTTCGAACGACAAAAGGACACTTGGTCAAAAGTTCAACTTCGGGAGGATTGCGTGTCGAACTCGGCACCTCCGAGTGCCGGAATTATTAGGGCAATAACTCCCATCATGATCTTTTCATTCACAAGCAGGAGATATCACGATCTTCTCAGAAGCATTGAGGACGAAGTCGAAGATATACTGTATCGAGAACATAACTCGGAGGCGAACCGAGCCTGCCCAACTTTAAGTAAAGCATTGGTAAGCGTTTGTAATCTTTAACGAAGAACAAGCAGGAGACTCTTGCACTGCTCTTGAACCCGAAGAAAAGAAAACTCGTCTCATACATCGGATTTGTACATACCAGTGTTGAAGAAAAAAGCGCGGCCAAGCGGCGGAAAATACAATAGTACGACTCAAGAAGCTCATGCGTATTTTTGCAATCCACGTCCCTGTACTAGCAAACGGACCTTCGTGGTACTTCTATCATACGAGATTCATACCCTTGGGCAATCCTTCAATTTCATTCCTCCACGTGTTCCAACTAGGATTTACTTTCGTTGGGAGTTTGTTGGGAGCTAGATATAAGAAAACACAAGGTGCGTCATTGAGCGGCTATGAAGAACTACGGGAAAGTACTGACTTTTATAACATTCTGCAACCAATTTCCAATCATCGACAGTTTTTGCCGATAATGGCACCTGCATCACGGTAATTCCAGCAAAACTGGGGTCACTGAAAAAGGTGATTGCTTGAGTGCTTATGTGGTTGTGGGAAAACCTAAAAATAGGTATAAGGGGCTGAGGATTGATTTAGTTCACGTTCCGACCTGTATGACTGAACAAAGAAAGCAGTCAGTGGCAGCCGTGACAATGCGTGAGGAACCGATTGTACTACGCACCATTTGAGGCTTGACTTTTTTCATGTTCTTCTTTGAGGCATATACCAGGCACTGAATAAGGCCAAGTGTTGACAACAATACAAGGAAAATTTCTGATCAACCACCTACAGTCCAATAGTGATTCTGTAAATTGAAAGACGTGAATATCACTGCCAACTAAGATATTGATTACACTCACACCGGGATTCTGAGCTTGCATACCAAGCTTTGGTAGAAGATACACACGACTGCGTGGGATTTCTGTCGTGTCCAAATTCATGGCAGGAAGTTTCAAAGCTCCGAGTTGGACTGAACTTCCATCGCCCGAAATCTCTCCTTCTTCCTGTTAAGCCTTCAGTGAGAAGAGATGTGTTGATTTTATCGAATCAGGTTTACTGGTTCCAGATACGCAAAACCCAGCACTACCCAGTCTGGATTTAACCAGAGAGCAGCTCTGATTAAGCCCTTCTTTAACCCTACCCCTCGTGAATCGAGCTGAAGGTGCCGGGGCCGGATCTGCGAGTCGGTGTGATTGGTGTAATAGTAGTCGTAATCTGAACTTGACGAATTGGTATTGGAAATGGCAGTACCAAGTTCTGGTTGTTCTGGGATCGCAGGAAGAGGGGAAGCATGGCCTTTTCTAGCGAAAAGTGTCCAAGCTAGTCCAGTGATTATAACGATCCAGCGTTTACTACTCGGAGTACGATTGAATAGAATATTCATGTTCGAAGAGATGTGATAGACGTATTTAGAGACCAGCTCCAAGACTTGCAGTGAAACGGCGAGCACAGGTGGAAATAAATGTGTTTGCCGCGTTTCCTTTCTTATATAAAGCAGCGAGAGGCAGTGAGGTGCTTAACACTGCTTATCAGACCGACGTGCGGCGGAGCGATTTTTACCACTGATACACCATGATTCCACCGTTGCTGCCTAATAGAGCTTTCGAGGAGGAGCCGTCCATCGAGAGCATTTCACGGGCTGATACCGGGCTGAAGCAAGGGTGGTTGGCTAGGATGGATGGATGGAGTGCCAGGACTGGTAAGGAGCGTCCGCTTTCCCACGCCTGTGTTCTGCCCTCAAATTCCCCCGCTGGAAAGATTAGACTCCGTTCAGCATAGGTTCTGCAGGTGTTTGAACGTCTAGTAACTATCAGGAGGTCTCACTCAGTGTAACATCGCACTGAGCAATCACATCTGATCATCATTCTCCATACATTCAATATTTATCCTTCCCGCACCCCCGAGTTTTTCTGCCTGTTTTTTGCTCTACTCCCGAATTTGAAGAGATCGGCAGGAGATCGGCATCTCTCTGCAAATCGAACTGGCCAGGTATATAAACTTCCAAGGATGCTCTTTATCGTCTAGTGTTTCGCTCATCGAGTTCCTTCTCCTTCGCCGCTGGTCGGACGAATTTCTTTACTTGAACCTTCTCCCGCTGGTCGGACCACTACTTCTTTCTATCTATCTGACTTGTCACTTCGTCGCCATGCGTTTCAACTCACAATCCCTCCTCCTCGTCTTTGGCTCCATGATGGTGGCCGTTTGGGCATTGCCGCTCATTGCTCGTAATTTACAAGGGGTAAACTTTGCATACACGTCTTGTGCACTGTCTAGTACTGACTCCTTTTTTTGTCTTCAGGAAAAATGGATTTTAGAGGAATATGAGAAGACAGTGACCGCAGCTGATAAGAACGTTTTCAGTGAGGCTTAATATCCTCATATTCTACCATTGAATGCATCTCATGAGTTTCTATTTTTCAGAAGCAAAGCTTAAGGATGTCCAACTTGGACCGCTTCTCTCAACTGAAGGCCTTCACAACAATGGTATCTACAGCATGAAGGGAAAATACAAAGGCAAAAGCGGGGACGACATAGTCCTTAAAGTCCTCAAATCTGTTGACGATGAAGCTTATGCCGAGGTGAAGGCCCTCAAAGGAATCGGAGAATATGTCGACTCTGGGATGTTCACGGTCAAAGGCAAGGAAGCGCCTGTCATTATCATGATAAAGGTCCCGGGTTCTGTGCTAAGCGACACACCTGAGTACAAAAAGGCAAAGACGGACGAAAAGGAAAAGATGAAGGAGGAAGCTATAGATTTGATGTGTAAGGAAGTCGCTGAGGTTGGTAAGAGTAAGGGTATCCTGCACAAGTGAGTTCATCAGTGGTTCAGTTGTCTACCGCTCGGTGCTAATCTGATTTGTCTTCTGCATCACAGTGACAACAGGATCGAGAATATCCATGTTACAATGTCAGGCAATAAAGTCGTCTCTGCTAAACTCACTGACTGGGGAGCGTACGAGCTCTACACTATGGACAAGAGTGCTTCGGAGGCCGAAATTGTAGGTTCTGTTTATAACTGTCATTTCACTCAACTGAAAATAGCTTTGCAGATCGCGTTCTGCAAGAAGCACTGGACTCATGTCGATTGGTTTGTTCAGGCTGACTTCGAGTGATTGCAATATCCCTCTTGCTTCCCGCATACCTAATAGTACCGTAGAGTGCCAACAAAGTTCGCCACGTATCATACAGATCGAGCATAGGATACAAATTGAAAGATGTCGGAAGGGGCGATAGCAAAATAACATACACGTACATATTCCAAATTTAAAATGATCACTCTGCCACGGCAGAATGTCCTGCAGTCCCACAACTATTCTCCATCTCTTCTTCCTCTTGTCGTAATCGTCGTTCCGCAGCCTCTAGCGCTCGTCTTCTCCGGTCTTCTGTCGAATCGTTGAGCAACAGTATCGCATCACTCCCACTTCCGCCAAGCACATGCGATCCATGCGAACGAGACCCTGATTCCGACTGCTCATACACTTCTCCGGAATAGCCCAGTACATTTGTGCCTGCTTTGACGGATGCCTCATATTCTCCGACTTCACGGTTGAGGAGAGAGTTGAGTTCCTTGAACTAGATGTAGGTTTGGATATCAGTCGATATCGTTAAGAGCTCCTAGTAAGAATCCTACGTTGTTATCATGATCTCCCCATACATTATGCGTCAACTCATGACATAAGACCCTTCGTACTTCCTTGTACGTCCGGAACCCGTCATATCGATCTGTTCTCAATCGAAGTTTGATCTGTTGTCCAGCATTCTCATTGAGACCTAACAACTCGGGATGCTCATGCGGGGCAAGCTCTGTGAGGACACCAACAACAAATTTATGTTTTTGCATTACATGGCGGATGGCTGGGTCATCAGAGAGGCGCTGGAGGAGGTCAAGGGCGGAGGAAGGATTTGGAAGGTGCGGAAGGGGTATAAGCTTGTGGAATCTATAATTTAGATTATCGCTGCCACTGCTGCCACTGCCAGTAGATCGGAGCTGGAACACACGAACGTTACTGAATACGGATTTCTATATTGGGTGAGCATCATAGGGTTGTTACTTACCTTCGTCGGTCCCCTCAACGCCCTTTCTTTCATTATCCGGTCCCTCTTTTGTTGATCATCTTCTACAGCCTTTACACCATCCAACTCATTCGCTGTAGTGCCCAACATCTGAATCTTCATACCATCCTTCAGTCCCGCCTGTATTAAAGTGACCTGATCGTCAAGTGCTTTGCTGTTCTTCCCTTTGTATAACAGCTTCTGTAATTGGGGAGGCGTAGATGTAAGCTCCTCCAGCCTGGCATGAAGAACCGCGAGGGTATCATCAGGAAGGAGAGAGAGTGAATAAGATTGACCACGGTGAGAAACGGTCAAGTTCATTGTCTAATGCGTGAAGTTGGATAGTCGTAGGTGCCTTCGGGTTGCCTTAGAGAGTTTGGGGTTAAAGTGGACGTGCATATCATGGCGAAATATACAAGGCCGCGTCAGCACTCACAGCAGTGATATCTGTGAATAAGCAGCTCAAGCTCGTGATACAGCGGTACACAGCCTCAACTTGTCATTGAGTGTCATAGATTTTTCTTTGCTCTCGTGCTTGCGAGACTAACAGATACATAGATACGCGCAGGATACGCGACTGCCCTGAAAAACAGCCGTTTCTGCTGCAGCGAATGCTCGTCCTACATGGGAATGATAGACCGCAGGGAGCAAGGAGCGAATAATGTACAGTTCATTGATTTAAGGACCCATGAATCGAAGTAGACCGGAGTCCATTTTATCTCCTCGTCGCTGTCCTCATCAGATAAATCGTTCAGTAGATAGTCCGAACCTGTTTCTAGGAAATGTCGCCACAGAATTATTTAAGGCGTCGTTGACGAATTTAGCTGACGGGATGATCAGTGACCACATTTGAATTCGACAGAGGCGGGTTTGGCAGTCAATATCAAGAAAGATTATGGGCGCCCCGGACATATATATAGTGGGAAGAGATGGGTGTATGTCTGACTGCGAATCCACGACGAGATGGCATACTTATGTATATGATGTCGCCCTTTGCACCAGCCTGTACACAAATAAGCGGATAAAATAGTACTCTCGAGTCAAAGTCACTGAGATTGTATTGCAAGGGCGTTCAAGGAGAATTTTTGAAGAGCAGCTTGGGCACCAGTAAGTAACACGGGGAGATGTGTCGAAAGGATGGTGGGGTTGCAGAAGAGTACTCCCGAAGGGGTTGCCGTGTAAAGTGAGCGCTTAAGCACTGAGCTAATCATGATTAAGTGTCAGTGTTTTTCCGTATCGGCCCGCTCTCTCACTCCAATTATCCTCAACTTCAAGCTCATGTCTTCCAATGCCGAAGTTGAAGCTGCGCCTCTCGCTGCTCACAAAGACAAAGGCAAAGGCAAAGCTCGCGATGTCACTGAGCGGACGCCACTTCTCGCTTCTAGCTCTTCCAACTCCATTCCTACAGAAAATTCAATGCCTCGTGGTCAAATTCGGCGACTAGGAATTCGACTGGTTTGTATATTTTTAACCGCTCTACTAATATGTATATGTGCATTAGCGATAATTGTGATCCTTGCTTGGTCTTACTCTTCTCGAGCATCAGATATGTCTCCGGACGACATATTGCACAAAGCACTGGTTATGCAGGGACCTGACCGGGTCAACGTATTGAATGTCTCTTCTTCTGAGGGGATTTGGGTTCACGTTGAGGGGAGGTTTGGATTGGATGCGGGAGCTGTTGTGGGAGTTAACTCTGCCCCTGGAGATGGAATCCTTGATAGGATATGGAAGTCTTTAGGCCGTTGGGGAGTGCGGAATCTGGACATTGTCTCCGTTTGGACTTCAACAATCAATATAACAACCCGCTCGGACCCTCCTGTGTTCCTTGCTGCCGTCGACATACCTCCTCTACAAATTCCATTGACAGTCGACCCACCATCAGGGTACAGTTGGCTTCAGCATGTATCTGCACCCGTTCTTATTCGACCTACTTCAAAGACATCCGATTTACTTCGCTTTGCTCAAGACTCTTGGAGGAATGGACAAATAATGGTTCAAACTGAAATGTCAACGATTGATGTTCGTGGCGGTGAGCTTGCCGCTCTAAGCTGGAAAAGTAGGCTCCATCGCCAATTATCAGATGTCGAAACGGCATTGTCCATTAAAAGTGTGTCAGGCTCAATTCTTCTATTACCTTCTTCCTTCTGATTGTCTTTTTCCAGTTCCTGACCTCCCTGGTTTTCCCCATCCCGATCGAAATGCGCCTATTCCACCTCTCGCCGATCTGGTCACCCTTCGTTCCTTTCAATTATCTAGTGCGGTAGAGAAACTAGCTATACAAGCTGTCGCCACCATGGTCGATCCTGCACCAATAAACTTCAACGTCACAGTCCCAACGCTACCATTCGTTGTCTCCCTTCTATCTAAATCTTCTTCTCTGACACCAATAGCTTCAGTGCAGACTGATCCTTTCGCGCTCACTCATCCTAATATTACCCTCAGTATCACTGGGCACGTCTTGTCTCTCCCACCAGATGCATTCCCCGTTCTATCCGCATTTCTAACGCATTACCTCGCCGGTCGCTCCAATCTAATTTCCATTTCTACACCTCTCGTCTCAGATATGACTATTGAAGCGAACTTCCCCGCTCCTAACCCCAAACCTCAAATTCTTCGGAATGTCACCATCCATGACATGAAGATAAAGCCAGGGAACACGTTCTTGGCTAGTGGCACGGTTTTGGCGCACGTCGTTCTACCGAAAGGCATGGACGTTGATATAGATGTGAAACGTGTCCTACCAGACGTGTTGGTATTCGATGGTGAAGTACCCGATGATGTTCATATTGGTACTCCACCTGTTCAGCCTCTACCTAACCCACTTCCGGAGGGAGCATTCGGTCATATAAGACCTGACGATTGGTTAAAGTCGCGTTGTGTGTCAATAGACCACGAGGAAGGACAAGGATCTTCGTATGCAGTATCTGCAAAGATTGTTGATGTTCCCCTTGAAGTTTTACCTGGTCGACAGAAGGAATTTAGTGACTTTGTTAGCAAGGTACCTAGGGTTTCTCCTCTTCTCGTTCACCTAGAATTGACCATGAACTCGTTCTAGATTATTTTCGGAAAAGGTGCTGTGGCGGGGATCCTCGGTACTGCTGCGGTTGGACTTGACGTGCACGGGATCCCGACCCAAGGACCGGGGCCTTCAGATGGGATGGAGCTCAATGGGTTGCCTTTCCGTGGCAGCGTCCAGCTAGGCAAAGGAAATCTATTTCATCATGTAGCTTCTGCAACGACTGAAAAGTGGACCGAAGTTTGGCAGAAATTTATACCTCACCATCATTCGCTTTGAGCCTTACTATTTCTGTGTATATGGATGTACTACAATGTATGTGGAGCTGCACTACGTACCACAAATGTATGAAAGGAGCCTATGTAGTAACGGCGTACAACATCGACAAGGATAATGAGAAAGGAGCAAGAAATCTCGTATTATTTTGAAGGAAAGGATAACATACGAAATAAAACCAAAGACAAGAGTGGTTATCAGTCCGGGTTCAATCTCGAAAATTAGTACCTTCTATCTCTGTCCCGGTCATCATACCTGCTTCCACGATCGTAACGGTCGCGGTCGTATCTATCATAATCGCGGTCGTATCTTTCGTAGTCGCGGTCACGATAACGGTCGCGATCCCGGTCCCTGTCATCACGGTAATCCCTGCGGCTGCTGCCTCTATCATCATATCGACTGCTTCGACTACCGCGACGATCGTCGTAGTCGCGCGCATATCTACATTGAAGTTCAAGTAAAGATTCAAGAGAACACTCATACAGACAGACCTTGAGTCATAAGGACGAGGGTCGTAAGGTCGCTCGCCTAGATGCAAATTTCAGAGGTTGTACGTTAGAAGAAAGAAAAAAGAAAAAAAGGCTTACGGTCACGCCTTTTACTTGGCCCATGATATTTGCCGGGTGTTGGGGTTCGTGCCCTTCCGCGACGTGCCTAAGAAGAATAGCATTGGCATTTTTCTTCAACGATGAACAATGCCGAGCTCACCCTGACAACAGTCATGATCTTCCCCATCAGTTCAGTAGCATTCAAAGCAGTAATAGCAGCATCAGCCTCTTCCGCAGTCTCCATTGTGACGAAACCAAAGAGACGCGATTCACCTACAAGCCAAATGATCATCAGCAGTTCATGCATTAAACAATGCAAATATCACCCACGTGTGTGTGGGTCGTATACTACAGACGCTTTCGAAACCTGTTGAGGATAAATAAGGTTCCAACAAGAGTATATGTGTCCGAACGCACTCTGCCTATTTTAGCAAAAGCAGCCTCGAGATCCCTGCTATCAGTTTTGCTACTCAAACCTGAGACGTGTAGGTTGTTTCCTGGGTTGTCACCATCACCTCCTCCCTCTCCTCCAGACCGACTGTTGAGATATCCGGCATTACTTTCACATTGAGCACAAAGATAACTGAATCATACCCTCTGTCACCAGGACTCCTACTTCTACTCGACCTTGGAGGAGCTCCATTTCCGTTCGAATAATCTGCGGGCCCAACATCTCGAGTAGGTATACTAATACCGTCCGCGGAGTTTGAGGGATCGTTGTCTTGAGGTTGCCAAGCTGAATATGGTGAACAGTCAGGGTGATTTTGAAGAAAGGATTTGAAAGCTGAAAAAGTCGGGACGGTGTGAACGGGCGCCGGCAGTTCGAGGTGAAATGCAGTCGGAAAAGCACTGAGTCCGTCGAAAGTCGAAATACTGTATACATAGACGCAGACGAATTTTCGGAGAGAATTTTTTCGAGGCGCAAAGTCGTAAGTATTCGTAAAATTGGTCGGCCGTGAGCCGCGAAGAGACAAAAACTGAACACGGAAAGAGTGTGCGAATGAAGTCGAAAAAAAGAACTCGTCAAGTTATGCGATATGCTTGAAGGCCCGTGTGACTGCCGAGCACCGTGCGCGAGGGTTGATTTTGAGTGTTTTAGCACGTACCGTTATCCATTGAGACTGGTGGTGGTCCGAGTTGAAAAGCTCAACTTGAAACGTGGCAGGATACCGTGGGTCACATGTCGCAGCCGCCGTTGCAGAGATAAGATAAGATGAATTAAGGTTCGTGACCAATTTCATTTCCGCTTCTTTGCTCTGTGTCTTTCTTTCATTTTGTAAATCTTGCTTCATTTCTTCATCATCAACCCGTTACTCAAATATCTGTTGGCAATTTCAAGCTTACGAACGGCAGACCAAGCACATAGATACTCCTCGTGAGTGATCATATCTGAATTCCGGCGACACCGGCTAATAATTCGGCTTTCAATCATCCTATTTGCCTTTGTGCTCTATTTGTTTCATTGCAAAACGACGCCGATAATGACTACTACCTCGGTTATTCCATAGCAATCTTGACTTTTCTCTAACATCTCTGCGCTTGTTGGCTCCTGGGACAGAAGGGTCGGGTACATAAATCATAAATCATTGTATGGTTTTGGTATGATTCATTCCGTGCTTATTGGCTGCACTTATTCGGCTAACATTGCATGCATGTAGGCCTCTGTTCAAGGATCGCAGAAAGAAAACTTCATAAAATCAGCCTACGGCGAAGTTAACACCGAAGACAACCAAGGCTGTTCAATTTCCTAGCTACTTACATAGCCAGGACGGGATATTCTTTGCAGGCACTTGAACGAATCACGGTTAAGCCTCCGTATAACCAGACATCCGTTGGCAATTCAAGTCTTGGAAAAGAGTGCAGTGGAGACCGAGGATGATGCGCCGCTCTCTTCAATTAGACGAAGTTGTAGATGTTGACAATACAGGAAAGATCATCGGTATACCCGAGATCAACGTAGATAGGTCCGGGGGGCAAAATGACTACTTGGAAGGCGTGAATGGAAGTTTAGGAGAGGTCGCGCCGTGGATGGAATCACCAGTGAGCAACTTTCGCTCTAATAAGTCGTAGCTTATTATCCTTCTATATTATGCTTTGATTCATGCGACAGCCATCTCCATTGACACCTCCGCCAACAAAACGTGGATTCGGATTGTCAGTGGCCGCATTGGGGTCGAAAGTCTCATTCTCTTCACTGCGTCAAGACAAAGACCCGAATTACATGCACTCCCATCACGGCTCAGAGTCAACGCTCGCCTTCCCTTATCTTCGTTCGACCACCTCATTATCTCAATCACTTACTTCCGAGCAAGAGCAATCATTACGAAAAGCCAAATCATCTTTGTTTCTTCACAATGCCAAAGCATCGACTTCGAACGTTCCTGGACCCTCTGCACCCCCGTCTTCGGCAGGTGTGGCAAAATCAATGTTATTGCCGTTCATGCGAAAGAGGAGCAAGAGTCGTCTGAGAGCTAAGACTCTCGAAAACGACGGACGCGACCGAGAGCATCCGAGTCTGAGGCCAAAAACGCCGCCGTTGCCGGAATTTCCTGCGTATGCAAGCTCTGTGACATTGAACATGGTTGCGGAAAATGGACAGGTGATTGGAAATGGGAAGAAGAAGGCTGTGGGTGGGGTGTCACATCCTCGCCGATGGAAGGATAAAGAAAAAGATAGGGATAGAAGCTACGGAGATTTTGGTGACCATGCACCTGTTCCGCCTCCAAAAGACGGCGAAGTCGTGATGAGACTTGATACGAATTTAGATCGAATGGAGGGTATTGTTGATACCAGCATTCTCAGCACTGGTACATCAACAATGGGAATTTTGCCTAGCAAAGGCTCTTCGATACACACCCTAAGTCAGAGTATCTCTGATGATAGGCACTCCCAGCATTCACAACAGTCCTCGACAAACACTCAATACAATAACCTTGGACCTATTTCGCATTCCGAATTCCACAATCCATTTTCTTCCTTCTCCTCCCAAAGTACGGCTGCAACCTCCTCCTCCTCGTTTATATCACATCCTTCTCTTTCGCCTTATTCTCCTCCGACCTCCGTCTCTCCTCCTCCTCCACGCGGTTCTTCCCTCGCGCATATTAACAACGTTGTGGACAGGAAAATCTCTCCCCGGACCATTGTCCCGAACCAGCAACAGCACAATAAGTTCCGAGAAGGCCTGCAGCCTGGATTGAATGTGATGATTCCCCCCACGTCAACTAATGGCTTACACGGTGGCGTAGACAGCGTCAACGGATTACACAGAAATGACGGTTCTAATGCTATCGTTGCACCCAAGGCTCAACCCCCCGTCAGCACGCATCCGTCTGATAATGACGCGCCTCCCCCTGACTCCCCTTCGTGGGTTCCTCCTCAATCCTGGGACGTTCAGTTCTTGGACGAAGGCGAGCATGAAGCTGAGGATGAATACTACTCTTCTTCCGAAGATAGCTTGCTGCACAATCTTTCAGGAAGTATAGGGAGTAGGAACGTAGGATCCGGAGGCAGGGGGACTGTAGGCGGAGGAAGACCGTTAGAATTTGCTAGGCCAAGTCGGGGTGAACTTGACGACGATGACGAAGATGATGACTTGTCTGCGGTTCGTACTGGTGTAGGAGGTCTTAGTGGCGTGGATGAGCATGGGCGGCGTATTGAACGGCAACCCCCTGGTAGCGTTGCGTCGATTCGGTCGTTCTCTACAAACACTTCTCGCTATGGCTCCGGCACCACATCTGCTTACAACCCCCCATCTATGGCCGGTTCCATTACTTCGATAAACTCCTACTCCAACCTGAATGGGGGGAGGAAAGAGTCTAGTTATAGTCATAAGAAGGGTCGAAAACTCATTCCTCATCCGAGGAAGAATAGTAAAGGCGACGAGACTAACCATATCTACGGCGATAATACGTTGGGATCAAAACGTGAAGTCAACCTCAGTCTAGCTTCACTCAATTCGTCACTGAACCAACGACGGCCATCTCACCCTCTATATACCTCATCATCTCGACAATACCTCCCCCATCCCCGCCTCCAATCCATAGATTCTAAGAATGTTCAAACTCAATCTTCCCAAGATGGGCTACCCGAATCATCGTCTCGATTCAAAATTCGAATTCACAGGGTGAACAACACCTACCATGTCGTGTCTTGTGGTTTCAACATCACTGTTGCCCAGCTGACTCCAAAGTTGAATGCAAAATTACTGTCCGGAGAAGAACGGGAAACGCACAAGTTGTACTTAAAGGAGCGAGGACGAGGTAGATATCTCTTCTTTGAATGTCCTTGTGTCGACTCCTGACTTCCTTATCCCTTACCTTCATCTTACAAGAGCGTATTCTCACACAGACAGAACGCCCCGCCGATATAGTCCGCAGGCGCCTTGAACAGGCCGGATATGACGTGAGCGATGGTCTTGAGCTTCTGGGTGGTGAAGCTGGTGAAGGATTGTCGTTCTTGTTGAAATTCGTTTATAAGAGTCAGTTCTTGGGGCCTAACGTATGTCCATTGCATCCTTCACTCCTTTAAAACTTAACCGTTCATTCATCCAGGAACAAAATCTCGCCATCGAAGATTTTGAACGTGTAGACCTCTCTGGCCGCTCCCTCCGCACCATTCCTGTCGCCTTGCATCAGCACGCCGATCAGATCACCTCCTTGTCGCTCTCCCGCAATCCTATGCTCGACCTTCCTCTCGATTTCATCCAAGCTACCTCTCACTCTCTGACAGAACTTCGCTTATCGCACATGGCACTCAAAAAAGTTCCTACAAATATCCAGTTCGCAGTCTCCCTCACACGCTTGGATCTGAGTTCCAATAGAATAGGAGATCTCGACGATGCATATTTAGAGAAGATTCCTGGGCTGAAATCGTTGAAGGTGCAAAACAATCGTATGGAGAAGTTACCTTGGCATTTTCCGCGGTTGCGAAGTTTGACGACGCTTAACATATCTAACAACAAGTTCCGCGTTCTTCCTGCCGTAATTTGCCAACTTGAATCCCTACGCGACCTCGACATTTCCTTCAACACCATCTCCGAACTTCCCGAAGAACTCGGTCTTCTTCGCAACCTTGAACACCTCATCATGGTAGGAAACCAGATTACCTCTATTCCTCCCACTGCCTCTTCTCTGGGTTCGCTTCGTAGGCTGGATTGCAGGCGAAATCTAATCGGGGATTTAGCGGTGATCGGGATGTTGCCGAAATTGGAAAAGCTGAGCGCAGATCATAACAGGTTAAATGGGGTAGAATTGTCCTTGGGACCGAATTTAAGTACTATTGATGCAGGATATAACGAAATCACCGAAATCCGTGTCGTCGCGAGTCCAGTAGGCCACCCAAAACCTTATACCGCCCTCTTTTCCCTCGATGTCTCTCACGCGAAACTGTCTTCAATATCTGCTTCAGCGCTCTCCTCCCTTCCTTCCCTTCGTACACTTAAGCTCTCCCATAACAACATTAAAGTACTTCCTCCATCGTTGGGAGACCTTGATTATCTAGAGGTACTCGAATGTGCGGATAATCTACTCGAGAGACTTCCACAGGGTATTGGCAGGCTTCGGAGACTCGAAGTACTAGACGTTCATGAAAATAATCTGACGGAACTTCCGGGGGAGCTTTGGGCATGTATGAGCTTGGGGAAGCTCAATGCCACTAGCAATCTAATCGAGAAATGGGACGCACCCAGCGCACCTCCACCACCGACATCACAGAATGGAGATACGTCAAGTTCTGACAACGCAACAAGGATTTCCACGATTGATTTGCATATGCATCCTTTTCCTGATCGTAAAAGTTCAGCCTCCTCTCTTAGCGATCCATTTTCTTCTCCTTCTCGCCTTCCAAACCTTGCCTACGCCTTGGAAAAACTTTACCTCGGCGAAAATCAGCTCTCTGCAGAATCACTCGGCTTCCTATCATTATTCCAAAAATTAAAGGTGCTTAATCTTTCGTTCAATCTGATTCAAGAGTTACCCCCTGGATTTTTCAAAAATTTTCTTTCCGAAATACCTTTTACGGCTTCTCCATCTCCGCAGCAACAGCCACAAACATTCCAAAAGTCTTCCCTCGAAGAGCTTTATCTCAGCGGAAACAAGTTGACAACTCTTCCGACAGAAGATTTAGCTCGGATGACTAGGTTAGGTACACTGTTCTTGAATGGGAATCGATTACAGACTCTACCACAAGAGCTGGGTAAAGTGCAAAGTCTGACAATATTGGACGTGGGCAGTAATCTCCTGAAGTATAATATTTACAACTGGGAATTCGATTGGAACTGGTAAACGTCACACAATTCACCACTTGGCTCCTACTGATGTTCGACCTTTCTCGCTAGGAATTTCAACAAAAACCTGAAATACCTGAACCTCTCTGGAAACAAGCGCCTTCAGATTAGATCCAACAACACTAAACTAGGCCCTGGTGGATCTAGACACAGTAAAATGCCAGATACTGCAGCCAAATCTAGAACCCTTGACGGCCCACTTACCTCTAAAACACCTGCAGACAAGGGTCCCTCCAGCGCCGACATTCAACAACAATCCCTCGGCGGTTTCACCAATCTTTCCCAGCTGCGCGTACTTGGCCTTATGGACGTCACGATCACCACCACTGGTCAATCAGTCATTCCCGACGAGCACGAAGACCGACGCGTGCGTACTTCAGAAAGCACTGTGTGTGGAATGGCGTATGGTATCGCTGATACTCTTGGACGGAATGATCATCTTAACATGCTGGACCTCGTGCACGAATTTCCTTCTTCCTCATCCGCCCTCCGGAAAAACGAAGCAATCTTCGCGATCTTTGGCCGAAGTCAGCCGCCGAAAGCCATGCCGGCGGGGATCAGTGGCAATAGAATTGCAAAATTTTTGAGAGATAATTTTGTCAATGTATTCAATACTCAGTTGGCGGGGCTGAAGCGGGAAAAGGCAGAGGGCGTACCGGATGCTCTGAGGAGAAGTTTCCTGAAAATCAATCAGAACCTGCATGATCTATTGTTTTCGAATCGAAATAAAACCCTGCAGACGATGCAGGCCTCGTCCGGTGGTTCCGCCCCCAGCCCGGACCTTCTTGTTTCGAGGGGCGGAGCGTCAGGTGTGGTGCTATATTTTTGTGGAGAGACGATGTACGTCGCGAATGCCGGTAACGCACTTGCTGTTGTCTCGAGAGGAGGTTACCCCGAACCCGTTTCACGCAAACACGACCCTTATGACCGCCTCGAAATGTCGAGGATTCGAGCCGCGGAAGGATGGATATCCCCTGCTGGGCTAGTCAACGATGAGATCGACATCAGCCGCTCCTTTGGATTTTTCCATCTCCTTCCCGTCGTCAATGCTCGACCAGATATATTCGTATGGGAGCTCTCGGAGCTGGATGAGTTTGTCATCGTCGCCAATAGGGGCTTATGGGATTTCGTCTCGTACAAGACCGCCGTCGATATCGCGAGGAGGGAACGTGGGGACCCGATGCTTGCCGCCCAAAAACTAAGAGATTTCGCGATAAGCTATGGGGCAGATGGAAGTACAATGATCATGGTGATCTCTGTCTCGGATTTGTTCAGGAGAGACGAAGCAAGAAGCCGGGAAGGCTCAATCGTAGATCCTCAACCATTCAAGACACCCAAGGCGGTAATCACCGATCGTGGTCTGTCGAGGCTTCAAGACGAAGTTTCGGCACCGACAGGTCATCTGGCTTTAGTATTCACTGACATTCGGAATTCAACACATTTGTGGGATGTAAATCGGGGGATGAACACCGCGTGGAGGTTGCACAACACCCTTCTTCGGCGTAAGCTTAGGTTCTGTGGCGGATACGAGGTCAAGACTGAAGGTGATGCTTTCATGTGCGCTTTCCCTACGACAATGGCGGCAGTCTGGTGGTCCCTTGCAGTGCAGATGGAGTTGCTTGAGCAAGATTGGCCATTAGAAATACTTGAATGCGAAGACGGAAAGCCGATATATGATTTTGACAATCGACTTATCGCTCAAGGCCTTTCCGTCCGTATGGGCATTCATTGTGGATCGCCCCTTTGCGAAGTTGATCCAGTCAACCACCGGATGGACTATTTTGGCCCTATGGTCAATCGTTCTGCGCGAATTAACTCGAGTGCGGCCGGAGGGCAAATAATGTGCAGCGAAGAAGTCATTCGAGAGATTAGAGCAAAGCTGTATAATGGTCCGTCGACACCGCAGTCAGATAGCCAACCGCTGGAGGCTATTGACAACGTCCGAAGACTAGGATTGTCAATCATCGAAGTAGGGGCGGTCAAACTTAAAGGACTCGAGTTACCCGAACAACTCTCGCTTATCTACCCTGGTCACCTTGTCGCTCGACATAATATGCGCGAAGTCGTCGCAGATCCGGATGCATCCGGGTCAAGAGTTCAATTCAGCGTCTCGCAGATTCGTCAGCTGGGATTGGTGTGCCTTCGACTCGAATCCCTCGCAACGTCCCGCGTTTTCAAGGAAATAGGCGAGCGGAAGAGTTCAATACAGACCGTTAACCTGAGTGTTGAGAACGACCATGACGAAGAAGAGGACCCGCTTTACATCTACGGAGATCCGAATTTATTGTTGCCGCCGTTGGATGAGAAGGCGTCGTCTGACAGGGATATGACACTCGTGCTGGATGCATTATCGGGAAGGATTGAGAATGCGGTAGCTAAGATCAAGGAGAAGGCGCTCGTCAACTCGGTCAAGGATTCACTAATTTCTGCGATGGGGAATACAAGAGGTTGCCTCGATGAGCGGACGTTGCAGTCATTGTTAGATATTATTAAGGGTCTTTAATTTTTCTTTACCTTAGTATATTTAGGTTTTTTCGGGTCATTCTCATCTACTCTGTATTTTACCTGAACTTTTCTTCCGTGCATATATCCCATGTGCTAGTCTGTACTCATGCATTCATAGCTATTCATAGGAGGTCCCTCTGTGCCTGTTCAACTACCACCTTCGCAATCCTAGTTGCAGGCTTATTCAACAATCTGGCTCCAAATGAGGTAGAGATGTGAATATTACAAAGAAAAAAGGGACTTTGTATACATCTAGTAGATAGGTAGACACTACAAGATAGATACTGATAGATAATGTTCTTTCAAATTGATAAATTCAAAAACGACGCGTTTTAATAGCGACAAACGTCAAGGTGTATAGCAGATGAGGGCCGAGGCCAGCAACAGCAGGAGTCTTTTAAAGGAATTCAGGGAAATTGAGGAGGCTACGAAGAAGAAAAGATGGGACAGGCGGGTCAAGAAGAAAAAACGCATTGGAGTAACCGGCCGCGGCCGGGAAATGCCGGGAAGCGCTTCATAGAGGTTGCCATCTGTTGCCATTTCTTCCCTTCTCTAAAACTAAAACGGTGATAATATCTTGACTACTGATAGGACGAAGACTTGCGAAGAACGGCTGATCTGGATTGTTTCTCTAGACTCATAGGTCAGCGATAAACAAGGATCATGGCCATCGGTATTGTTCCATGCCTACGTAGGCCTTCGTCTTTAGGTAGCTCTCGATGCTTTCTGACATATGGTCTATCATGTACTTGTCATTGCTAAAGGTCATGATGTTGAACATGCCGTGAATAGTTACTGTGCACAATCTATCTATTACTCAGATTGGGGTGAATATCAACGCAGCCAGTTCCCCCTTTTTCACATTATTCAACTTCCATCCGGCTTCTTTCCCTAGCTGAGTATATTCCTCCAACGTCCTTTCTTGGCCATCATACATCGTCAACATCTGGAAACAAAAAAATTGTCCCAGTGAGATGAGTGATATTAAAACTCTTATGCCTACTCACCGCCATATCGAGACTTGTGACAGAGCCACCCCCGACCACGCCTAGATTTGGAAGCAAAGGGTAGGGCACGCTGACCCCAGAGCCGAATTCTTCAGTGACGTGCTTCGCAAGCATCTCGAACACGACGAGCTTGGATTTATTGATATCAGCACCGAAACGAAGGTTACTGAGTAGTTTCCTCGCATAATCGTCTGAGCAGTTGTGTAGAACCATGCGAAGTAGATAGACAGCAGCCCCTTTAATAGGTTGCGGTTTCCCGAAATCGTGAGCTACAATGAGGAATATCAGTCGCAAAAAATGAAAAGCAATCCCTCGAGTAATTGAATACCTTGCAATTGAACTTGCCCAACTTTGATTGCTTCAGGATCCTTCTCGGCCCAGAACTAGGACAGATATAGGATGAGCAGTCATTCTATCGACATCGAATAAATTTTTGCCTTTTGTGCGGCTACTATTTGTTGATCCAAGTCTTGAACAATGTATCGTAGGTTCGGGAAGGCCTTTTTAAGAGTAAGTGTTAGAGTGCCAACTCCACCACCAACATCGACTACAATATCATTGGCTTTCAGTTTATCGGCCTCAATCCCTGAGCACATTCCTCAGCAGGAGCAAATATAGATGAGTAGGAAACTCACCAGAAGTGAACACCTCGGAAGGAGACATCTCCCCAATATTCTGCATCGCTGCACCAAACTTGCGCGACACAAGTTCATTTCCCGGTTTCTCTGTCCATTCCCACATCTTTTCGGGAGTGTTGTATGCGATATTGAACGGAGCTGACGCTTGCTTTGGATTCTTGATGAAAGGTATAAAGGCCGTCAAAGATTTGAGGAGTTCGTCTGCCCTGTAATTGAAGAAATTCAGGACATGAATATCAGGATGCCCAAGGAAGGAAGATTCGAGACCAGGAAAAAACATACGCCATTTGCGAGCACGCCGCGATGGAGGAGTTGTCATATCGAGAAGCGGGGCTAAAGGACTCTACAGATGAGGAAAGAGGATTGATGGAAAGATATTCAACAGACTCTTCCTTAATCTCTTTGAGAGATTTGGCCTTAGTTAGTAGCGATGATAATCGGTTATGAGCGAAAACATTCGGCGACACTTCTTTGAAAAAGTGACGGGTGGCGAGGTAGCGCAACACACGAGCTAAGAATTATGACTGATTCAGCAATCAGAATGGCGAAAAACAAGATCGAGGATATTCGCCTATATAGGACGACCCGATTCCTGTGGCCAAAGACAGTTCATCAACATGGAGTCCCTATGAGAACAAGTATTATATCAGTGCCACTTTTTTTTTTTGATCACCAGCTCTTTTTCACCTGCGTTCCTGCTTCTTTGAGGATTTCAGGAATATTGACATCAACAATAAACCCCATGGTGACTGTATCATACTCTCCAGACAAATTCGCGTAGATCAGTTCGTGTGGAGACCCCACTGTAGCAATAAGCTGAGTCGCAGCAGCAACGATGAGATTTCGAGCTGCCGTGATACTTGGATCGAACTCCAATGGCGTAGGCTGGTAAGGGTCGTCAATAGAAGGGACCTTGGTACTGTCATTCTTGTATGCGGATTGAAGAACCGCGGTTTGGGTAGATATGATATCCACGAGAGCTGTAAGGGGGTCTGAGGATTGGTTCAAGGTCATAGTAAGGATCAAACACTTCAGGAAGAGATTGAATTTTTGGTAGGTTGCTTTCAGAGCTTATATACTCATGGGCGTTGCTCTATATGGTGGACAAAGTCTATTCGGCAGACTGAGCAGGTATCATTTCGCGTACCCTCCAGAAGTAGATGTACAATCTGTTTAAAACTTGGCAGTCTAGTGTCATCTTGCTGACGAGGACTTTGGAGAAAGGCAGGGCAATGGCGTAGCCTAGCGGCAAGCTGAACTATTATACGATGTGAATCGTGATTCAAGTTGGAAATATATGAATTGGCTGCGTACCGTACTACCTCGAAAGTCACCGAAATTCTGACTCGTGCAGGTAATATTTTGAATTGGATTGAAGCTTCGTCGAGCTTCCGTCGTGACTCGTCCTAACTTGTCCTTGATCATCCCGACTTCCCAGCGGCAGGCCAGCAAAGTTTTAGTCAAAATGCTGACTCTAGTTGGTGCCGACTCAATATACATGATTTATGCGAAAGTATGCGGCGTTCTGAAGTTCTTAACGTTCTCTTCCGCATAACGGTCTTCAACGGTTTTATTGATAGAGCCTGGGTAGAGCGAGCTTCAGTCTGAGTTTGTCGGCATGGGGCGTCAGCGCTTATTGTAATAGTAGCGCCGGAGTAGCGCTCTAGTCAGTGTCACGTTGCCGTCGTTCTCTCGCTGGCCCTCCCTGGAATATTCTCGGAATATGGACTGTTCTCGTGTAAATGTGCTAACCAGATGACCAACTTCTGCAGAGCTTCCGTCCACAGTTTTCCAGCAATATCTTAATGCTAGCCTGATAGAAGAGCTGAGACACAGCTTCAGCCTTCAAAAACTTTCAAGCAGTTACTCCCTCTGAAGCTCTGTTGCAAGGGCATATCCCAAGCGAGTAGTAATCGTGCATAGTATGTACTAAGTATATCCTGGGTTGATCCCTGGTCCTCGACTTTCCGGACAACCATGATATGGAGTCACCAATGATATTCCGACAGTAAGTCAAACCATTCATCGGAATTATCTACGCCTTTGACTATGTTCTCTATTCAGGTTTTTCAGCTGTCCCACTATTGGGTATCGTCATTGCAAGTCTCAGTCACAGTATTAATATGTTCCCACATGCGATGTTGCAATACTTGCCACCAACAGCGGAATGGGTCACTTGTCCTATCCAAGGATTCCTTGCGTCCGGAGAAAGTGACACGTACAGTGTGAAGCTTGTGCTGGCGACCGTCCGAGACACGCTTGAATCTTACATGCTCGATACCCCAAAGTGCTCTCGAGCTCTATACAATCCGGTGATAGCTACTAGATATAAAGACCAATGGTCTACTTTACTCACAGCTAGATCGCCCATCGGTCCCCTTGTGCGCCTCACTTTGAAATGCTTGCTTTTTTCGTCCTTGCTGTACTCGGCCTCTCCTGGATGAATCATGGTGTTTTATCTTCTCCGGTAAAGAGTGTCCATGTCCACGGGAACAGCACGTCGGAAGTTTCGATTTTGCCCAATGGAACGCTGGTTTCTCCCCATTGGGTTATCTACAGCGACAGGGGCGTGTCCGGTCTTTCAGGACCCCCACCAGTCTCCCAAATTGAGGTATGGTTTTAGAGTCCAAGCTCTTCCTCGAGGAGACTCAATGCTGATAGTTTTTGTAGGGTTTTAACGTTTTGTGAGCTAATTCTCCAGCTTATGCAAAACGACGTTTACTCACCAGCCTTTCGCGTACAGCGCATTAGCCTTCCTTCTTGTCGCCGGAGCGTTCGACCAAGTAAGTCATCGATGCGAAGGGAAAACTCATCTCTTTGAACAAAATTTGGAGAAGCTTATAAATAGCATCCTCTAGGCAGCAGAATGGACACAGCTTACTTCAACTCAAAGAGCAACAATCAAGGCGCAATATGCTGCCGCTGGCATTAAGCTTATAGTTTCTGTTTTCGGATCGACTGATGCTCCCACTACCAATGGAGCCGATCCGATCGCCACTGCTGACACCATGGCTGCCTGGGTAATCCAATACGGACTCGATGGTGTAGATGTTGACTACGAGGTTAGTATGCCTATAGCTACGTATGAATTTGGACTGAATTCTACTCAGGATTTCGACGCAATCAACGCAGGCGACGGTAAAGCCGAGGTAAGTTCAATGTTTTTGTCGAAAACAGCGAATTTCTCAATATGTATAGGCTTGGCTGGCATCCTTTACCCGTAGACTTCGCGTAAAACTTCCACGAGAGGATTATCTATTAACTCATGCCCGTAAGTTATTGGAAGGCTTATAAGCTAGTCTTCCTTGTTTATATGTCTTTGATTTAGCTGTTGCACCGTGGTGAGCAGAAGGAGTCTGTCAAAATGCTCATTCGAAGCCAACTTATCGAATCTAGGTTTTCACCGGGGAAATTTGGCGGGGGAGCGTATTTGACAGTCGATTCAACAGTCGGTAACTTAATTGATTGGTACAATGTGCAGGTGGGTTGCTAATTTTCAAGTCCCCTCGCCGCATACTCATTGCAATGATCCTATTATCAGTTTTATAACCGTGATTATTATAGCAAAAGTAGTTGTTCGAGTGACATGTTCTGATTTGTTATTTGCGACAGAGGGTGCTAACGAGTATACTACCTGTGCCGGGCTTCTGACAAATTCATCCTCTACCTGGCCGAAATCTGCTCTCTTCCAAATTGCTGATAGTGGTATTCCTTTGCATAAACTGGTCATTGGAAAACCAGCACTTACGAGGTGAGAGATCGAGTCATACACTGTCAGGGCTTTACTAACCCAACAGCTTCAATTGTCTCAGTGATGCCTCCAATGGATTCATGAACACTTCAACTCTTGCAAACTGTCTCAATACCGCTAAGAAATTTGGCTGGAGTGGGTTTTCCATCCTATTTCGAGTTTTCCCTCATCTCCCATGACCTTACTTCTTTCCTCGATAGATGCCGGAGCCATGGTTTGGGAATTTCCTGACGCAAATTCAAGCTGGATAACCTCAGTTCGCAAATTATCATTCCCCGTGTAGGCATGTAAGTCTTAAAATTAACCTCGCTCTTGAGTTTGAGAGCTCACCCTGAATGCATGCATTAGATGACAAGAATGGTCTTCTCTAATTATATGCGACAAGTTTCGCCCGCGGGGAGTCTCAAAAACACAGTGCTACATAATTATGCGTTCAGGCAGCTGATTGCTGCACCTCGGAATTACACACTAGCAACAAAGAAGTATATACATACACTACAAGAGAGATATGTATGAGATAACGCAAGTAGAGTTACAGTAATAAGTCCCTCGAAAAATTCCAAGATTACAGTAACGGTACCATGTAAGTCCAAAGGTTCACTATAACAAGATGTACATTTCATAACGAGCGTCCAATGATTGGTCATTCTAGTCGTTATGCGGTCTGGGGTCAGTTTGTCAGTTTACAAGGAACAATTTCTTCACATAAGAGTGTCAGTGCCGAGGCTGATACATTTTTTGTTGATGCAGACTTACCACCGGCGTCACAGATGCATTGGATGCAGTGGTGTCTCCGGTCAAATAGAGATTAGTAGTGGCGTTGTCGTAGACAAGAAACGTGGTTGGGAGGCTACCATCTTGATTAACATACTGAGCTACGAGGACGTCAGACTGCGAATAACTACTATTTGATAGTTTTCACCGACCTGTGAGTTCCTTCGTGGATAGGTCTACAGTCCAAATTGCAGATTCTACTGAAGTATTACCGTTGCCTGATTTGATCGGTTTGGACAAGACATCCGCTGCAGGATTGTGTGAGAAAGGTTATCCAAGAGCGTAAACCCTCGTGGAATCTTACTTTTCTGTACAATTGAGACGTGAACAAAGCTAGAATTGCGTTTGATTATTCGGATCATTTTTCAAGTGGAAGATCAGGACTGACTTCGAACTGCCTGTACCAATTGTCGCATTGCCAGATCCCTGGCTCGAAGCGCCTACGAAAGATGGCGAAGGAAAGTTGGTCGTCTGCGCGACAATGATGAGGTTTTCAACAAAGAAAAAGCAATGTTAGTTCATACAGTGGCGACAATATTAAGCTGTTCTTTTCGCGTTGACGACGTCGTGATGCTGATTTGCAAGTCTGAGCCTCCAGACCTATTTTATGGAAGGCCTCGGTATTGGGAAAGTAATTTTCTTGTAGGATTACTCACACTGGAAGTCCTGATTGGTCCTGTACGTATCCGATAGTTGATCCATTGTTGAAGCGAACTTGCAGACGACCTGAAAATCTAAGAGTCAAGTCAATGGATACGATCATGGATATATTGCAACAGGTCGAGCTAACCGTGCGACGCTTGAAGGCGAGGGACTTGCTCTTGCTCTCAGCACAGGAGTGGGCTCATATCCAGGCTTATTCCGACCAAAGTCTCGAGGAGGCAAGGGTGGCAACCCACGAGCCAAACGATAACCGTTGGTGTCCTTTGTGGGCGACGCATTTGAAAGCACCGTGAATGGGACCAGAAAGAGACAAAGGGTATGGAGAGACAGTGGAAAGAACATCGCGGTACGAGGAAGAAAAGACAAGGGAGTTTGGAAAAGGTGAACACGCGATAGTTGGCCCTAGGCTAGAAGAACTTCTTTTTATAGTAGCAACGAGGTCCGAAAAAGCTTATCCTAAGTATCTCCCGAAATCTTAGTTGGAATAGCGGAAAAAGATGACCGCATTGAATTCGGACACGGCCAGAACTATCCAACGATGGTGGATGAACAAATCTCGTTCGATGTTCATGGAAAGATGGCATCTGTACTGAAATTCTGCGAAACACCTCATGGTTATGATTAGGCCACGTTGATATTGATTACTTGAGACTAAATCCTCAAATTCTACCCCTTGAGGGCAAGTTTCTGCATACCAGGAGCCTGGATGAGTCTAACCGGCGGATAGTATCATGGCATTGCGGGTTCCTGGAACAAGCCCGCCTTTGACTGAGGCTGAGGCTGGCTGAGGCGAATTGTTGCCGGGAAATTAGAATAGCTTGAGCCTTCTGTCAGGAGTTTGAAGAGGTAGATAGATAGAATACCGGGACAAGACAGAGGCTCCGTCACGGAGTCGCCGGAGTGTAAGTTGTAACATTCAGCTGACTCTTATATTGGCTGAAGAACAAGCTGCTACTCAATATCTTACATGGAACTATGTACGATTACGAGCAGAAAGGACATATGTGTCTGACAGAGGAAGAGGAGGAGGGGTGTACGGAAAGACTGGCAGAATGAAAATAGAATGAAAGACTAAGTGGTGCACGGTCCGTGCTGTGTAAAACTACGGATAAGGTATTGCAAGCGATATACTGAAGAATGTAAACGAAAATATTGAGGGTAAGATACAAATGCATCGGACAAAAAAAAGAGGAAGGACATATGGGGGATAGATGTATATATAAGTCAATATAAGTCATTGTACTATGCAGTTGTTGGAGGATTTGTTCTTCCGATGTTGGCGGTTAGTGTCAGACAACTCTCCGGGCATTCGAATGTCGCCATTGTCAGAAGGTCCCGACTGAGACGTTACTCGGGAAGCCCTAGCATCGGATTCTACAACACCTTCAGAGATACCACTAGTGCTTGCTACAGTCCCGGCACTCCGCATCGAGCTGTTTGCCTGAGTGCTGCTGCTCTTCACCGATGGTGCCCGATCATCGTGAGCTTTGCGCAACACAGTTGGCTTGCGTGCCATGTTTTCCAGCGAAGGCGACGAAGACAAGTGGGCCGGATCAGTTGGTGGATGACCAACTTTCGGTCGCTTGAAATTCATGAACTTGAAGGCGACGGGCGGATGGACAGCACTAGCTGGTGACGGGGATGGTGGAACTTGCGGTGGGGCGGTATCTAAGCTGGTACGTGGAGTATGCGACACGAATGCGACATCAGACATGGGACTTTTGGGATGAGCATTACCCAGGATATCGGCTGGATTGGAGTAGGCACTACTGGGATTACCTTTCTCAGCGTATTGAGCGTAGAGCAATAGTTGCGCACGAAGGTCACAAGTAGGAGGGGCGTTATCAGTACATTTCGAGTGGCAGATGAGGCTACATTGTGCACATAAAACGGCACTCTTCTTGACATGTAAGAGACACACTCTACACACCATGGCTATTGGAACAATGTGAAGATCGACCGAGACAATAAAATTAAAAAAACAAGACTCACGTTTGCTGAATGTGGTCTTGACGAAGGAGTGATCTCGTGGCGATATCTCATCATTTGAAGGCCGCATGGATGTATTGGACATTCGACGACCGGGAGGTGACCCACTAACAATATCTTCGTGCGATGAGGGCTCCAGTATAGATCCAGGCATTTCGATTTGCGACAAGTATCGGACAACTTCTGACTTCTGAAGGTCAGCGCTGACACGGCGGAGGAACGGGATACTGTCTTGCGGACGAAGCTCCTAGATTAAAATTGTAAGAATTTCTTGTCCAAGAGGGTGCCCATGAGATTTAGCGAACCTTGTAACCACCCCAGTTCTGTTTCAGCCATTGATGTTCGCAAAGTAATTCAGCGCTAGGTCTTTGGGCAGGATCTTTGTGGAAACATTGTTTCAGGAAGTCTTCTAGAAGCGGAGAAACACCTGGTGGGATCGGGGGCATATCATCTTCGACGATACGGAACATCACTGTCAGAGCCAAGGAATGAGCAGATAATCAAAACCTCGAGCAGCCAAAAACAACGTACCAGACATGCTGTTTGGGATATCGCCATAGGGTGGGCGCCCGGTCAGAAGCTCGATAACAGTGCACGCCAAGGACCAGATATCCGATTTGGGAGAAGCACCTTTGAGTTCAATGACCTCAGGTGCCATCCAATTCGGGGTTCCCGCGACGTCCTGCTCGCGTTCGACCGCGCGCAAATTGAGCGAAACACCAAAATCTGACAGTTTGACATTGCCATTCTTGGTGGTTAGGATATTAGCAGCTTTGAGATCACAGTGGACCACATCGCTTTGATGCAAATAATGAAGCCCTTCAAGTATACGAACAACATAACTGGCGACAAGTTTCTCGTTAAGTTTACCAAAGGCTTTGACGGTCTGGCCAAGAGAACCATTCTCTGCATACCTAACACGAGAAATCAGATTTCAATATTATAATTGAACACGAAGGAAAATTTACTCCAGGACGATGCTCAATGTGTCGGCATCGCGATGCATCCCCTCATACTTGATGATACTGGGGTGAGAAAGTCTCTTTACGAGGTCGACCTCGCGCATTAGCTGGGTAACTTCCTCTTCTTTGAGCCCTTCTAATCGAATCCGCTTTACCGCAACCATTTGACCAGTATTGAGATTAAGGGCGCGGTACACAGAACCAAATTGACCCCTTCCAATGCAATTTCCAAGTTGCTAGATTGGGAAAACGTTTCCCATTTAGTATTTTCAGGAACTAGAGCTCGAATGGGGACGATGTAGTGACTTACAAAATGGGTCGGGACTTTCCCTTCCTCCTTGATAATCAAAGGTTTGCGCACTGCGCTTCCATCTATAGAATCTCTAGACATCAAATCGCTCGCACTAGTGTTCCCGGAAGCGCCACCAAGATTGACCATACTCTCAAATCTCGACCTAGCAGGTTTGGCTCCAAGTTCGTCATACGAATTTGGGCGGGGACGCCGTCTGCTTGATCCTTCGATATCACTTTGAAACCGTCCTCGAGGTTGATGAGGCTTTTCAAGGCGTTGTTGAGACCCAGAGGCATCTTCGGACGAATATGGGGAAGGTGAATTGGTGTTTTCACCTGATACCGAACGAGGAAACGGAACGAGGCTGTCACTATCATCATTCACACCCCTGGGTAGCAAATGAGCCGGACGGGGCTTCGTGCTATGTCGTCTGGGCAAAACCCGAGTTGGCACCCCATCCGGACTAGCTTCTCTTCGAAGAAGCGCCTCTTTAGGTGGAACACCGGCGGTGTCAATGCTATGTCGGGCACGATGGGACGGTCTGCGCGGGAACTGAGGAAGCGATTCGACGCTTTCGTTCCGTCGAGAACTGCCTATACCAACTACGGCAAGTTTACGGGGAGGTGAACCAGATATCGGAGGAGTCCGCAACCGCTCCACCGGATCAGAGGTAGGAGAAGTGGAGATAGATAGATTACTCGAAGTATGGCTTTGCATCGCATCCATGAAATCGTCAGGCCATTTACCTTTACCAAGACGTATTGCTGGACCTGGACCCTTTTCTACCGCTCTTTCCTTTTCTATTTCAACCTCTGATTCTACCCCCCGATGTCTACGCTTATCTCTGCCCCCACCTTTAGCACTGGAACTACCACTTTCATCTCCTTCCTCAACTCTTGTTAAATCCACTACTGCATCGCTCAACTTCCGGTCGAATATATCTGGGACGCCTCGATATTTTCGAGCGAGGTCTTCAGCTATAGAGCTACCTTCCGTTCGAGTGATGGAAGGCGTCTCGGAGGTCGCCTCAGTAGTCATTGTTCGGATAGTTCCAAACTTACTGAAACCAGCACTACTAGCCCGTCCAACATCCAACAGACTCGAGAGAACGGTCGTGGTCGTGGAGGTCGACATGTCTGTCACAGCAGAGGAAGCGACAGATTGGCGGACGTTAGAATGTCGATCGAAGTCCCTCATGGATGCGTCGCCGACAGAAGCTCTGGTAGATTCAGCCGCTGATATTCGAGAAGGTGATGAAGGTGACGCTGTAGAATTGGTTACTGACCAGGTGAATAATGACTTGCCGTCATCCGTCGATGGTTGATACGGTGAGCTAGAAGAGGATTTGCGGGAAGTACGAATACGGAGAGGAGATCTAGGAGGGGGAGTCATAGGTAAATCTCTCTCTCGATCATTATCACCGCTACTGGTTGGTGGCATTCGATCTGTATCTTTCCTCTGGGATTTCACATCTTGCGTCATGGACACAGACACGGGCCCTGTTCCTTGAAATTTTCCCTTGGATACCGTTCCTTCTTCTGAACTGTCGGACCGCACAGTTGGGAGGAGGTTCGGAGGACTCCATCGTTTGCGCGTAGGTGATACACCTGTTGTGTTCTGCGTTGGGGATGTCGTCCGAGAACCATTGTTGGACACCAAATTTGGAGTGGATGCTGACGCCCCTGATCGAGATGTTACAGTGCCTAGTTTGTAAGGACTGGATGGCGATACACCTCCCCCACCAGAACTACTCCCGCTATTCGTTTCGTTAGAGCTCGATTTCTTGCTCTGCCCTGAAAGAACCTTGGAACGATCGGAAATCGTAATCGGGGCGTCGACGAATTTTATGAGAGCGATGATGGTTCTTGCAACGCGGGCCAGTGATTCCGAGGAAGCTTCAATAAGGTCGTCCCGTTGAAACAGATCCTCATTCGCTAGTCCATATGACGAGCATGCAGCAAGGAACTTGGTAATGTTTGAGGTACGAGCAAAACCATCTTCTTTGGGATCAGGCCGCACAATCGAGCTTGATCTGAGTTTGTTCAATAAGCTGGTCGCCAAGCGGAAGTAGAAGTGCAAGGGGAAAATATTAGTGATCGCATATTTTTTTCAAAAAGACCTTCTATCACGCACTGGCACAAAACAAATCCATCCCGGAGTGCCTCAGTAAAAAGCCTCCGTTCTCGTTCCTCTCCAGATGCGCTGAGTCCACTAGATGACAATCCGTTCACGTTCACGTTGCTGGAACTTGCTTGGACACCACTCTTTCCCCATATCCTTTCTAATCTTGCCAGCGAACGCATGCGGACTTCTACACCCTCCCAGTCCTTTTTACCACTTTCCGTTTGAGTCAAAGGTGGCCTAGTAGTTTCCTTGCACAACAAACCTGTTGCAGTTCGTATCAGCTCCCGATGTTCGGGATTGGAAGGACCAGATAGGGATGTTGTGGAGATGTTGAAATGACGATGATTTGCATACGCGCGCTGATTGGGTGAAATCGGGCGGGAACGGACTGCTGGGGACGGAGATTCGGATCCTTCTCGGCCAAATGATGTTCGGCGTGGAGAGTCGAGTGATGGACGTCGAGCATCAAGGGGTCTAGAGGGAGTAGGCGTCGGCGGAGGTGACGGCGAAGAGTTTGAAGGAAGATGGGTCGAAGAAGAAGATGTAAGTCCGCGGTGTGATGGTGAGACCACGCGTGTTCGTGATATTGATGGTGAACGAGCACGATTGAGGTTGGTCTCCCGTGGTCTAACGTGCGATGGTGAAGATGGAGCATTGAGGGGTAGATGACTTGTCGAACTTGAAGCTTGCTTCGATCCTCTCGATCCGTGAATGGGAGTTGGGGTATCAGGTGGACTGGACTGCTCCCGACGAGGTCGCCTAGGCGTCTCTGGAGGCGAATGTAGTGATAAGACGGAGGACGATGGTGGAATATCGATCGGGGAAGACTTTGTTGGCCGATGACGGGTCGTGGGTGTAGTTGGCGAGTCAGCCTGCCGAGACCTCGCGCGAGATGGTGTGACCAGGCTATCGCTGGTAGATGACGATGAGGCTGGAATGGCAGGACGTGACCTTGGAGATGGCAATGCCTGTGAGGACAGATGCAAAGCAGGAGAAGACATGGAAGCCATTCTTAGAGAAGGAGTCGTATAACTCGTGGATCCTGCTGAGCGTACCTTGTCTTCCATCGGACTGGGAGATATTGATACTGGTGGCTGGGGAGACGGAGTGACCCGTCTAAAATTGACTCTAGACTCCAGCCTTCGTAACATTCCTTGCTTTTCCTCTGGTACCTTGTGTTTTTCCTTTTCCTTTCCCTTGCTCTTTGCAGAGACAGTAGCAAATTCATCCGCTGCTGGAGCTGGGGCTTTCTTTGAACGAGTGGCAGTACGCAAACTCTGTTCCAGTGAAGAGCGAATGCGATTGAATGGTTTGATAGTTGGTTCCTGGGTTGGAGAGTGGGATGAAGGAGTGGGCTGTTTGGAACGAGAGGAAGAAGCAGCCGGGGGAGGTGCGACAGCGAGTCGTTGGTGAGAAGACATGGCAAACGGTGAAGAAATAGAGACAGCCGCTGCTGCCATTAATGACGCCCGAGCAAGACAGTTTAGTTGGAGGTGATAAAATCTATATAGAAGCGAAAAAGTTTGGTAAATGATTTGAACGCTTCAATAAGGAAGAACGACCAGAAAGGTAAACAGTGAACAGAAAACCAAAAAGTTGGCCTTACCTGTTCACTGGTTCCTTGAACTTGGACTAAATCCTCAGCAAGTCACTTTGCTGAGATTTGCTGCACAATTTGAGCTGGTCACTACACTGTTGACGACAGAATGCCCTTCAATACCGAGGCAAAGAGCTGTAGAGGAAAGTTTCTTGATTGCCGTGGTCGTCAATGCTGTGGAGCACAGGGACAAGGACAAGTCCAAATCTCTTCTAAGCCCGTAGTTGCAGCTTAGAGAGAAGGAAGTAACACAGCGATCGCTAATGCATTTACCACCAAATCACCCACGCCCTCGGGTGCTCGTTCAAAAACGCCTTACGTGATCCAGGTCCGATTCCGGCGATGATCTCATCTGAACTTGACGCCGGGACTTGCCTTTGCCAGCATTTTTATTTCCTTTCTTAGACACCATCAACTTCCGTTTTCTGTCTCTTGCCAGCGAGTACCTGTGGTACATTGCAGTGGGACCCAAAGCTTCAAGTCCTGGGCACCTTGTTTCAATGATTAAGTAAAAGATCTTTGGATCGCATGGACTCTTGTAGACTTGTGATATTTTTCTTCTATCATATGAGGAAATTTATGACGTGCCAATTTACTTCATAAGCTTGGTGCTTAACACCCGTCGGATTGTTCATCTGTTCATCAGTCTCTCCCGAGCAGAATAACTTTGTACAATACATGCTGAGTACATATCCCCCCCGCAAGCCTTAGCGGCGTCTTTATCTCAAGCTAACTTCGGACTTTCGGCTGGATCAAGTTTATCTCGACTTCCGTATCACTGGCAGCGCCGCTGCCTCCTATGACCGTGTGGAGCGCAAATTCATACACTCTCTGGTCATCCAAATGGCACAGAACACGGCTTTGAGACATCGATCTTTCGAAGTCATTGGGTTGTATTGTTAGGTCAGTTATTCCAGTGACGGCACTCAAGAATAGTCTCACCAACGCCCCATAGGGCAGGTAAAGCGAGAATCATGGATCCCTCAGATCATAGGAGTATACTCATCTCTCAACTACCCCGAAATAGCAGCCTTCATCCAAATCTTCGGAAGGTTCTCTCAAGCAATAAGACTTACCATAAAAGTTCACCGCCGGCTCATCATGGGACTTTTTTATGTATCGAAGACACCTTCTTTTTCTGCTTCGTTCTGCTATCATAGGGAAATCAGAATTTCAACTCCCTCTTCTCTCCGGCTGCCTACTAACACGTTATCCAAGTGTCCACGATGGCCTCACGAGCCTCCACAAGATTATTGAAGATATCATCATGAACTTTTATTCCTACACAGCATCGAAGAAGTTAAATAAAAGCCAGATGATGAGTGGAACAAACTGATACCCCACAACCCCGTATCGGGGCCTCGAGAATGGATTCATGTCATGTGGACTTACTACAAAGCGATTCCGGTGCTGTATGATACTTTGACAGGAACATTTGGGACACTTACCACAGGTTTAGGAACTAAGCTCAGAATATGTCAGGATGATCCTGGGAATTCTTGCCTGCCACAAAGCACGACGCAGGGTCCGGCTCGAGGCCTACTGTGTTTATCCCTTCCTGCATTCTAAAGTCCAGAACCTTCTTCAGACTCATATGTTCAAAGTTCCTAGCTGGCGATTAGTGAGTGCACCTGTTTATTGAGAGGTCCGAAGGAGTCGGGAGTCGGTACCAGTACGCACTAACCTATGTCCGTCTACTGGGTTATATCGAGCGTACATTCAGAATATTGGACTTATCGCGCAGCTTTGCTAGATCCTTCAGTCCTTCCTTGATGCTCTAGGTCAAATAATAATAATCACGGTCAATTCCGAATGTTCCAGGTCGCTTCTCGTTCTTCCGAGCCCGAGCACATAGGAAGCAAGGTACCAGTAACACTATCAGGAAAATAGGGAATGCAATATACTTGAAATGATAAGCCAATCTGTTTGAAATCCAAAAGCAAAAAAAGATAGAAAATAGAAAAGAAGCAGATAGAAGGCAAGCCACCTACGTCTGTCGACCGGGGCAGATTGGGCCTGGACCTGGGCCTTTGCCTGCTGGGAAACGCTACAAGCCTGGGGCCCTAAACTGCCTAAAGATTCATCCGCATCGGAGGAGTTTCATGGCGTGAAGGCTTGTAAGGCCCGTAATAATGATGCCTTCAAAAACGCTTCAAGTCCCAAGACAATCTGCAAGCGAATTGGTAGTAAACTAAATGTACACGGGAAAGGTACCAACCCAAAACGAGTAGTGCATTGCATTCGAGTTTTTTCTCCTTCTTCTCAGTAAAGCCGCTTTGAAACCGCTTGGGTACCGCCCCAGTATCGTCACATTTAAGAGTTATGTCAGGAAAACATATCGTCGATACGTATCAACAATGACGAATGTGAGGGGTCAAATGCGGGGATATTAGCCTTTGGGATTCTTGAGACAATCGTGAACAGTCAAGAACATACATACGTAGAGTTCATCAAACGAAAACATAGGAAGAATCATTTGGGAATTGCGAAATCCTATGTAGAATGGAACGACACAGGAACAGCAGCTAAAATTCCAGGGTGTAAGAATGACACAGAAGGTTTATCATTGAAAGCATAGATGGGAGATTTGGGGGCAGCTTCAGACTATTACCATTGACCGTCGATGTCGACGATGTGTATTGGCGTAATGTTCACGCACTCCCTCTCATTGCCAATTGGTCCCTTGACATGAGTCTGACAGAAGGACTTTTCATGACGTTGGATGCAGTACAGAGTGAGAAATTCGAGATGACGAATCTCAATCTTCGACAGAAAAATTGTTGCCAGGGTGGAGTCTTGAATGAAGTACAAAGATAGTTTTGCCGGGTTACTATGCACGAGTTTCTGGGAGCTTCTGGAAGTGGGGAGCGATTAAGAAGAACAGGCTATCCTAGCTTTTGAGTGGTCCATTGAACACGGGAAGAATTTTCGTCTGAGACCGTTAACGTGTTTTATCGTGCAAATATACATATAAGAGCCAAGGAAATTTGGAATCAAAGCGAGCTCTATAGTATACCTCTGGCGAGTCTCTGAAAACGGTGAACGGGTAATGAAGCCAGATGAGGGACGTTGTGACCAAAGTGCCTTCGTTGATTTCATATCTGAAGCACCTTGAAGCCTCTTGAAGCACTGTATAGGGATGCTGAGTCTGCTACAGTAACGGACCGTATAACTTGGAGAACAGCTGACATCAGCGAAAATGATTAGTCATCGCAAAGAAGGCGGAGTTTGAAATACTCTTCATCCACGACGACGACCTGATCCCGCAGCAGCGCAGTGTAGTCTCAAAGCCACATTATGAGCACACGTACAACTCGTTCTACTCGAACGAGCACGAAGCAAAACTCTGCTCGCTCATCTGCTCCTCTTTCGAAAAACTCCAAAGCAATCAAATCGCACGATGTAGAACCGCAATCAGGGAAGGAGAATCAAAATACTAAGGACATTTCCCCTCCGACAACTGCTCAAGGGAAAGACTCAACAATGATCAATGCAGCTTCGGACAAGATATATTGCTCATGTAAAAAAGGCGATGACGGTACCCCGATGATCTATTGTTCAGAGTGCAAAGAATGGTATGTCAACTATCCAACAGCTTTGCAATGTGTTGACCCCACCCCCTCAGGTATCACTTTGCATGCATCAATCTTGACGAAACGGATGCTGAAGATATTAGTGCGTTTCTTTTTCCCTTCACACATCCATTTTCGTTTTCTGATTTGAACAAACTGTAGGTGTTTATGTATGTTCTTCGTGTTCCGACAAAACTGGTCTGCATACCCTCAGTGAGTGCCCCTGTTCCTCAATTTTTTTCGCTTTGTCCCTTCTGCCTTTATCACTACACACTCTACATGTCGCACTGGTATTAATGAGATAATACAAAATATGGTGTTGTACGGCTTCTCATACCAGTCTCATACTACATAGCCAACCGGCCAGCCTTTAGTACTGTACAAGTCAATAGCCTTAACGTTATCTTATCACTCCAAGTTGAGAGGTTAACCCAGCATACGGTGGTACTTGAACAGACTGAGCCGTTGTAATCACTCGTAATTATTTGCCAGTGCGACTACTTGATACTTCAGAAACTTCCGATTATTCATAACATTCATTTGAATGGGCGATTGACTGTTTGTTCTTTTCCATCTAGTGACTTGGGAGGAGTCTGATTTCGCAGAGTCTTCAAAGAAATCAGGTCCGACATCCGGATCCTCAAACACCTCAAATGCCAGAAAGAGGTCAAAAACACCGAAAGAACCGACGTTCACGGGAGCTCCCGTGAAAGACGAAGAACGAACTCCAGAACCAGAACCCCCGTCTGCCTCTGAAGATTCAGATGATAATTATGTGGTGGATACTAAAGCTAAAGGAGGTCACGGAAAGGTGCGTTCACGAGACTATTCTTTTTCTGGGCGTCGCTCATGTAAATCGTCAAAAACTACAGCGACGTACTCGTAGAGTATCATATCACTCAGATTCCGATTTGTCGGATGTCGCTGACAAACCTGCCCGTATCCGCAAAGCTTCCTCCCCATCACTAAAGAGAATTGCTAAGCGTACCGTTGATGGTCCGCCCACGAAGAAGGCAAAAACTTCAAATGTTGTGGATGACCCCACTAGAAAGTATTGTCTTGGGAAGCTTGAGGACGTTTTTCGAGATATATTTCTTCGTTATCCCCATATACGTAGAGAAAACGAGGATGATATTGCCGAAGTGACGGAGAAGCAGACAGAGGATTTGACGGAAGAGGATAGGAACAATGTTTTGGAAAGTTCTAAGCAGTTTGCTGACGATCTCGAAAAATGTGTATTTGAGATATATTCCGAACCAGATAAACACGGAAATCAGACAGCGGCAGCAAGATACAAGTAAGTGGGTTTTCGTTGCGTATAACATTCCCTGTTGCTCATGTGGTCTTGTAGGGATCGTTTCCGGATGCTTCAGTTCAATCTTAGCAAAATCGATCGGGTTGTGCTTCACAAGCGTATTGTTTCGGGTCACATAACTCCCAAAGAAATATCTGTCATGTCCTCTACTGACTTGGCAAACGAGGAGCTAAAGCAGTCCATCAAAAGTGCTGAACAAGAGTCGTTGAAACAGTCAATCTTGACCAAAAGTAATGCGCCTCGTACGAAAATTACGCACAAAGGCCTCGAAGATATTGAGGATATCAGTGGCCGCGACAGTAATCGTGAGCGTGAGCGCCAACTTGAGGAGGAAGAGCGGATGGAGAAGGAACGTTTGGCGAGGCTGAGGGCTGTTGAACCTCGGCAACGTACGGTGTCCCTCTCGGTTCCTCCTGAGTCTCCTGTTGTTCCAGCTAGCGAAGGCTGGGGTGCGCCTCCCCCAGTTCCTCCACATGCATTGGATATGGCGAGGGAAACCAACGCCACACGTCCCCCGTTATACTTACATACGTCCTCTGACTTGGGCACCAGCGAACCAGAAATGAATTTAGCGGATCTCATCAATATCGACGATGAACCGGGTTCAAACCAAGCTGTCGCATCTCCGAAAGATGTCCAAGAAAGCATTGAAGCCGACGCTCCAGCTGTCCTGCGATCGCCTACTGGTATTTCTCCATTTGCAATCCAACCAGCACCTTCCCCTTCTACATCGTCTCCTTCCGCTCAACTTCCCTCAGCACAGCCTCCTACTCCACGGCCTTCTATATTTGATCTGAATTCACTCTGGTCTCGGTCAAATTCGTCGAACCTCTCGAGCGGTCCGTCTACCTCTGCCGCAGAACCTACCGCAAACGTTGAACCTGATGATCACAACGACATGGTTATGGACAGCGAACCTGTTGCTGCCAATGATCAAGATTTCGATATGCTGCTCGAAGAGAGGGAGCCTGAAACACCAGAAATAGTTCAGGCTACATTCGACACTATTCCTCAAGTGTGGACCGGAAAGGTAATAGGATCATAGCCTCTTTGAATACACAAGATAGTAACCCGCTCATTTCTGTAGATCAATATGCCTCTCGATTCCGCTATCCCTCAAGAGACACCGGTAGTTGGCCGCCAAATAGGTGGTAAACCTATCGCTGTGACATCTGGTCAATGGAAGACCTTGTTTCCATCTGATGTTCTCAGGATCGATGGGCGCGTTCCGATTGAGAACTCAGCCAAGTTCTTGCTGCAAATGCGCATGAATCCAACAAAGGAACTGGTCGCTGTTGCGTTCTCGCCAGTACCTGGAACTGGCGAATCCGGTTTCAAGATTTTGTCGGACTTTCTCCTCAATAAAGGGTGAGTATTTATTCTTTGTTCTTTTGCCACATGTTCAAATTGCTGATCATAAGCTTTGCAGGCGACACGGACTTGTGTTTCCTTGGGGGAACAGACCGAAGGATCATCACCCTGGAAAGGAAATGTATATCATTCCACTTTTGTCTAGTCATCCGCTTCCTGACTACATCGAGTTATTGGATGATTTATGCTTGCCGAAAATCCGAACGACCAACTATCTCGTCGGGATCTGGATATTGAATAAAGGCAGACTTGCATCTCCTCCTCCAACATTACCTCCTCAATTAACTCCATCTGCTCCAGTACCGTATAGTTCTACTCCAGCGCCTGTTTTGACCCCTCTTCCCTCAGCAGCCTCATTACTACCATCTATCCCCATCCCAGTCCCCAGTCCAGTCAACACAAATATCAACGCAAGGCGATCTATCGATCAGAATGCACTTGCAGCAGAGCTCGCCTCTCTCACCCCTGAACAGTTGGCTTTCGTCACACAAGCGCTTGCAAATACTCCACTAACATCTGTTGCGGCTGCATCAGCCATTCCACCCAACGCTGGACCCTCTCAAGCACAGATAGCGATGCATATGCCATTCGATCAGCGTTGGGGTGCGCAATCGCCGTTGAACATGCATCCTCCTGCACCGTCCTTTCCTCCGCCAGGTCGTGGAGGTGCTAGTGTGCATTCCCGACAGGACAGGGGCCGCGATAATCGCGAAAGTCGAGGAGGAAGAGGACGTGGACGTGGACGAGGGGATAACTTTCACATGAACAGCCCAGTAGACTCTGGCTGGCCTCGAAAAAATTCAGGTCAACGCAGATAACGACCTGTTGGGACCGACATTCGTAATAGTAGAGATGCCTGTATGATTTATATTTTTATGCTTTACTTCAAGTTTGATGCTTTATCATTAGCCACTCGTTCTTCGCTACGCAGAAGTCTATAATACAAGAGTATTTTATACCTAACCGATGGCGCTTGACTATATATATTTTGCCATTATTTTCGCAAAATTCAAAAACGATTGGCGCCAGAGAACCTTTTGAGTCAATCCGAACTCGAGTGCTTACTTGACCGGCAACTGCACAGCATCAATAAATCCTCGCCAAGACGCTTCATAAATTATACTGAATGTCCAGAGACTTGCGTGTACATGAAAACATCGATATGTAGTTCTAAATGTCAAAACCAGAAGGGTTTTCGCCCGTCAACTCCGTGGCGGAGGGTAACGAAAAACCACCGGCGTTTTTCACAGCCTGTACCAACGACTGATATTCTCGCAATAACTCAGCCACCTCTCCGATACGTAGATCATCTACGGAATTGCAATTTAAGAACCGGTTATTCGGAGGAGGGAAGCTATGAAGAATTGATGTGGTTGGCGAAGCAACCTGAGGACCGGGCAATGAAAGATGTCCTCCTACAGGAGACTGAGGAATATCCAGTCGAGTGGGCTTTGGTAAAGCAGCAGTTGGGTCCGGGAAAAGTAGTGATGATCTTCGTGATGCGGGAGGAGATGATGTTTGAGTCTGTGTGCGTATTGAGGGAGTAATTTAACCACTCTCGTAAAAACATACCTTTTTGGTTGAGCTCCCACTAATACCACTCGACACCCTTGCCAATCTATCGCTTAGACTCTTCCTTGCGGCCCCAGCAACAGTGTTCAAGGTCGTGGACTTCTTATCGGCCTGTTTCTCCTTCTTTAAAACAACAGCAGCATCTCTGTCTGCAGATTTGACTTTCGCTCGTCTTTTTCCATCTTTCATCATACTCTCGAAACTCTTGATACTCCGTGTATCAGCGGAGGCCCTAGCTTCACCAACATCGCTCTCATCGTTATCATCGACTTCGGGCCGGGGATGAAGTAAATCCACATCCATATCTTCTTCCTCATCCACGTCATTCTCATCTTCATCTTCATCTTCATCTTCATCTTCATACTCATCCTCACCCACATCTTCCGACTCGTCGTCTTCCTCTGTACTCTCATCACCAAAGAGCGAGCCAATATTAGACTTTCGACTACGCGTGCTGCGCATACTTCGTACACTTCCCGGCCTTGACACATTGACCATTTCTTTCTCCCTGGAGTCTCCAGGCCCAGGCGTGATGCTTCGTGTTAAATTGGGTATATTGGGTATCGCGGGCATATTGGGTATTGAGGGAAGCTTCAAGCTCTTGATCGAGAAACCGCTCTCTTTGCGTTCCATTGTCTCCCTTGGATTATTAGACTGATTTTGTATATGATGATGATTCCACGGAGCAGCGGCCTGCGCGGAACCCAATGCGGGTGTCACCGGGCCGGCAGATGATTCCTCTCCGCCAAATCCGAACCCGGTAGGTAGAGAACCCGGAAGGGATAAATTCACGTTCATGCTCTTGAACAACCCCCCGAATCCTCCAATGGATGAATCCATGACCCCGGACATGCCGGTAAGAACCTTGTTTGCGGAAGAAGACAACACGGAGGCTTGTTGCTCCACACGGTTGCGGAGGGTGAAAGAGGACGATAAGACGGGAGTAGTAGCAGTGCTTCCATCTTTTGATGTCGTGGAATACTGCGAGCTCATTGACGCACGCCTACTGCTAGGTCTACCCCCAATATTGATGGGAAGAGTCATGGGGACCGGTATTGGCATCGGTCCATCTTCGGAACTAAGCACTGGGTTGTCGCGTGCGGACATGACACCCTCCAAGTCCAAGTTCCCAATGAACTCAGCGACTGCCATTAGGTTGACAAGGCAGTATGCTTGCTCTCCGGCAGCGCTTGAGCCGTTTTGCGGAAATGCCTGGAAGGTATGGGTGAATAGAAAGCGTTGGGTAAAAAGTAGGTGTGATATCAGACGGGGAGGGTTTGAAGCAACGACGGATAGAATGAGAAGGGGGAAGAGCGTGTCGAGAGAGAACGTTGAAGCTTTTGAGGATGGAGGTTTCTCAGCTTTGGGAGTCTTCGTCCCTACGGCAGACGATTGCGATGTATTCTGTCCTTCAACTATGCTGTCGTTTCCTACATCTAGCATTGTGTCCAAGACAACTTTACTCGAGCTAGACTTCAGTTCCGCTGCAAGTCCTTCCTTCTCCTTCAAGGTCTCGATGCCAATATTATCGTCATCCTCTGGCTTGGGAAAGGCATTGTCCTTCTTCCAGGGAACCGCCGTCGCTAAATCCTCCTCTCCCAGCTCCAGCACTTCCTCCGATGGCACCTCAACATGGTCAGATTGTGGTTGGGTTTGTGTTTCTGGTTTAGAGGACTCAGAGTCTTTCAACGATATCATGAAAGGTAATCTGGTTAGACCATCTACGAAAAGCAGTCAATTGTCTTATTGTACTAGAATAGGGAAAGAAACTCACCAACTAATACCCTATGTGCCCTAACCATCGCATCCGCCTTTTCCTTTGGAGTATGCACCTTCTCTAGGAGACACAACTCGTTTCCACAGGCTCGAAGGACGGCAATTACCTGTTCCTCCTTCCTGGATTTCGTCTCGTCGCCTATGTCAGCGCCGATGTCCAAGTCCAAATCACGCAACCCAAAGTCAACCATTACCAGAGCGGCGATACGGGATGCAAGGGCATCGTCGTGAGCACTATCGGTGATGATCTCGGTTGGTTCAGAAGTATTTGAGGGGTTTGTGTCGTTCGTATCACTAGCAGCTGCTTCGATGTTGGTCAACGTCGTCCATGCTGTACAAGGTGAAGGCGCAGGAAATAATCTGAGAAAAGTCATGTCAGTATGAGACTAACTGGTTAACAATCCCGCAAGTCAAAAAAAAAAGAAAACACACCGTTCGTAGACCCCACCAACGCAACATAGAACTCTTTCCGCTTGGTCAAGAATCTCCTTTGTCCTCTGCTCCTTCTGCACCGATACCCCCGCCTTTTCACTTCTCTCATCTGTTCCACTGCTTTCATCCTCGACTTCCGGTATTTCAGCCTCAGCCCACTCTACTACGACATCCTCCACCTCCCGATAGAAAGACTGCCAACGAGCACTCAAATCCTCAATTGCTTCCATAGCCCCAATTTCAGCTTCCTTGATGTCTATGATACCGCCACCTGCACCTGTACTTCCATCAGGTGCGGACACAGATGTAGCACTTATAACACCCGCGGCAGATCCCCATCCCTCCTTGACACCATAAGGATTGATTTCATATACATAATATTCTGAATCGGCATGAGCATGGGCAAAATAGGACGGAGGGTGAGAAGGAGATGATGGCGTTGTTGAGTCTAAGCCCGGTTGAAGTGAGTCCGATTCGACTGCTTCTTTTCCCTCTTTTCCTTCTCTGTTGCCTTCCTTCAGGGCTCCGGACCCGGATATCAACCTCTTCGTGATCGTCTTTGATTTATTCGTAGGTCGGGGGTGTGGAGCAGATACTCGCAGAACTGATAAAGCATTGGCACTTTCGAGAAAAGATATAAGGATACTTTGAAGGTTTGATGGGAAAGTATTGGCTAAGGGTGACGGTCCGACAGAAGAAGCAGATCGTAAAATTCTCTCTACATCGCCTACGATCCCTTTCCATATCCCTCCCAGAACTTCCTGATCGATTACACTGGTGGAGATTATATACGCAGGGACCGAAGTCGAGGCATGCAAAGTCGAGGAAGATTCATCCTTTACCACTCCAGACCCTAGTATATCTTCATTGACACTAGCAGTGTCAGACAAGATGATAGACGGAGGTCTGGATCCTGCAGGAGAAGACGGTTGAGCATTCAGTATAGGATTCGATGGCGGAATGCTTGAGCGACTGAATAAGCTAGTAAGACCTGCAAATCGACTTGACGCATGACTACCAGTTGAGCTTTTTCCGTCATGCGTCGGCGTAGAAGGCCTGCTAGGAACAGAACCTGTTTGATGTGACTGAAGGTTCCTCCGAGGGGGAAGCGGAGGCGGGAGAGACAACGATCCACGGGGAGGTAAAGAAAGGGCTGGTGTATCTGTCGGGAGTATGTAGGTAGGATAGTCGGATTGGGAAATGATTTGAGCAGTGGATGACATAAGACTCGCGAATCCCTTTGCGCGCGTCCCAGGAGATGATATGTCGCGAAAGGACTGGGTATAAGGATGGAGGGTAGAAGTAAATGATATGAAGATTTGTCTATGTAAACATTATGAACACCAGTTCATCGAAAACAGGGCAGAACACTTACTCCTGCTTTTGAATGATGACACCTCTTAAACCAGAAAGACTCACTGCCCTTCCTGGTACCTTTCCTTCGAATTCCGTATAAAAAGCATGATTCTTAACGAACTCTGGTGATATCAACGGCGCATTCGTTGATTTCCCCTTCAATGAAGCGAGAGGCTCTGATGGAAGAAGCAACGTTGCTTTTCCCGTGCTAAGAGCATCCCAAATGGTATCCCATTCCGTCCCGTGTTCTCCTAATAATGCCTCGAGCATGGCCCATCCAACAGATCCTGCGTCCAATCCCAGGGCCTGTGCAGCTGCTTTCAAGTTCATCAGTTGAAGTTTCGTTGTAGCATCGAGATGATTTGCAGAAGAAGAAGACGAAGAGGTTGTGGCAGGTGTAACTATAACAGAAGGTGATGGGTTGCTCGAAGAATGAGATACATGAGGAGTTGGATGTGTCGGTGAGGCGGGCGACGGTTTGTGTTTTGGAGTGCGGGTATATGGGACATATCCCAGAGCACTGGAGGAATAACCATTATCCCAAGTTGTAGAGGGAGAATTGGAGGATGCAGCTGCAGAGCCTGAGCCGGATGAACCAGACAAAGCCGCGCCTGTGCTGGAAGGCGAAAGCAACGGATGGGCAATAACATTCAATGATTCTCGAGATGATTGACGGCTGAGCGAGCGATGCTGTTCTGAGCTCGGGTTTAATAAGTTTGAGCCAGCAGAACGTCCGATGGACGTGGCAGGAAATAGTTTATTGTGCGAGGATTGAGAGTTATCGACCATTCCTTATGATGAGCCACGAATATCATTTCTAAAAGTAGAGAAGGCAAATTCCGAGAGAAGTCGGCGCAGCCGGCTTCCATAGGATAAGATAAGATAAGCACTTACTCACATAGACGCCGGCTGTCCTGTTCTCTCGTAAATTTTGTGAACCTACTCACGTTCCCTTATTCCTACTTACAGCTTCCACCCGCGTGGGCGTAGCCATAGGTAAAATACATGGCCCTGCTCCTAGAGGCTATATACAAGCGGACGAATTATCTCATCGCGCAGATGATATCGACCACCCAGCCTTGAACCCGGGACTACCCAGGACCACTCCCCGGTTTGTTTGTGATCAAGGTTCAAGGTGAGGTGTAAGATTGACCGAATACAACCACTGAAATGCAGGGAGTTGACATACTAAAAGTAGAGAAACATTGATCAGAAGTGACCGATGAACGTGAATAGTCACTAGTCAAGAAAGACGCAAGAAAGTTAAACAAGCATCGAAGTGGTAGAAGTAATATGGTATAACTTTTTTGCCCAATTGCAGAAAATAGCAATGAGGAGGAGGAGAGAGTTAGGACACTTGTCGCATTTCGGGAACATCTACCCCTCGTCGTTCCAGGGCTTCTCTAATAATATCCTCCACAAGTTCCACTTCATGCAAGCAGATACTACTCCGACTGTCCTTGCCAATAACCAAATTGTACAGCGCATCTCTGCTCACGGCATACATCCTTTTCTGCTCAAGCCCCGCTTGTTTCAGATTAGAGTCCACATTCGCCTGTGTTCTGTCAATGAATTCCTGCCGCGCTTCCTCAAGGATTGCAGGGTCTATGTCTGCGAGAAGGAACTCGTCCTCATTTATCTTTTCTTTGATGATCTCTCGGAGTGGGGTATCAGATTGAGAACGAACGAGGTATGTCGGGATATTATAGCGTTCGCAGTTTCGGAGGATAGCTATGTCAGTAGCAGTGAAGCGACTGGAATACAGGACGATTATAGCTTGGAAAATGTAAAGTCCCTGATCATTGAAGTACCGCCAATCCGGTACCTTCAGTGTATTAGCTCCAGGGACATCGAACCAAACAATTTGAGGCCGTGCCTTGTCCGGAAGCCGTTTGACCTCCGAGGTGCACTCTACAAAATCTGTCGGTTCTGCGTCCTTTGCTTTGTTTTTGATCCCTCGAAAAGCGTTTATCAAGGACGACTTTCCGGTGCCAGACAGACCGGCTACCGCCAAGTGGAATTTGGCCGGGTCATATTTGTAGCGCTGCTTCATGGCCTTGAAATTCGTTGGCAGCTCTACTGGGTCAATGCCCAATTTAAGCCTATCCATGGCTTCAACAATGGCTTTACGCTTCTCCTCCTCGACTCCGTTCTGTACTCGTGTCATTTCTACCTTCAGATCCTCGATCTTTTTGTCTGCTTGTTGAGCAATTGCTTGAGCCATCGGCAGCTCTAAGCTTCTGTTCGTCCATACTGTTGTGCATTCTCGTCCTCTCTTCCTCCATCTTTCTGATTTCCTGTTGAGCAGCTTCAATCTGCTCTTTTCCCCGTCTCGATTCTTCCTCCTTCTCTTTTTCCACTTGTTGCAGTCGTTCCGTAATTGCAGCCATCGTAGGATCCTCACCAAATCCGAATCCAAAAAGGTTTGCCAGGAACCTGATAGGTACTGCTAAGGCTTTGCTAAAACTATTTCCCATACCTGCCAAGTAGATGTTAGCCTCAACGGGCAAAATACTGGAGGGATCCTGGACATACAGGAATATTGTAGGAGATGCCCACAAGTTGTGCAGAAGAGATGAAGTTTGTACAATGACTAGTTGTCCACGAGGGTTGGAGTATAAAGAGGTACTTATTATATATCATCGACAATCTGAATAAGACAACTGAGCTTTGGATATTTTAGGATAAGAACCAAATATACATGGCACCTCCATCACAAACGAGGGTTCATAGTTCTTAAATAGGCCAAATGGCACAGCACCATACCTTGGAGATGTCGACATCGAAGAGTAGGCTAAATCTGGGAAGCTTTGCCTTGATTTACTGCGGTCTAGAGGTACCCTAAAACAAGGTGTAAAGAGTTCTAAAAGACGCCAAAACGCAGGATGCAGTAGGCCGCAGCATCAGTGGTGGCAATTTGGAAACGCCGTCGAGAATAGTGGCCTTGGAACGTGCCAACACGGTGATTGCTGCGATTCAGACGTCCTTCTCAAAAGCAGTTCAACAGCAAAGATTGATTCGAGTCTAGGTCGATCTCTTCAAATGTATCAGGATAGATGCTTGATACAAAGATAAGGAAAACAAACGCTCATTCAGCAAGCAAACTCTGTGCTTGGTCGATTGAAGCTTGCGAGTGCTTGCGTCTTTGAACCTCTTTGAACGGAAGGAGAACGAGTATACATTATATGCCGGGGGTCAATGTAAAGGAGTGCGGCCAGGAGAAAGAGAAAGGTGTGAAGCTTTTCGTAAAGGCGGCACTAACACAAAGCTTCCAAATTTGTTATCCGGTCAAGTGGTACAGCCTCGGGCTAGTTTACAGTAAAAGACAATTGGAATCTACCTTCGAAAGGACGCGGTAGTGTCAAAGGATTCTGTGGAGAACTGCGAGGCTGCATACATCTTTTAAGTTATTGAATTGATCTTAATGCATCGGGCTTGTAGATTACCAAATTCAAAGTGTGTTGAAGGTGATGGTTTTCTGATCAGGTGAGTTTCTACGTACTCACAACACTGTCCCCTTCCTCAACTTTGAATCCTTCACCTGGGTGGTCAGCTGCCCACACACCGGAAAGAGAAAAAATTCCGCTCGACGGAATCGTAACAATTCAGCGTAACTGATATATCATGTGACCGCGGATAAACTATATCGGGTATATCGCCGGTCACATGATATTTCAGTTGCACTGAATTTTGGTAATTCCGTCGAGCGGAATTTTTTCTCCTTCAGGTGTGCCACTTCAGTCGCTCATCGATCCAATCTTCGATATCCTCATTGGCCCACACACCTACTGTAAAGTTTAACAGATTGGTAAACTCCCGAAACGGACGTCCGTTATCATGAGCCCTTCTCCACTCCCCTGTTTTGTCGATCTCGTCAATCTTGTCGAGAAATACCTTTCGTAGCGATGACTTTTCAGACGAAGAACCACCCTCAAATGTTCCGTCCCATTCCTCATAGTCTTGCAGCCATCGAGGCATGTATGCACATTCCCACAAGGGCGCAACAGATGCTCCCTCAAAATCTAACAAACCAGTGATATGACCTGTGCTTGGGTCAATCTGTAAAAATGTGAATATGAATAGTCAGCTGGTGGTTGCTGCACTATACGCTCACCATCATGTTCGAAAGTCTGAAATCATCCATACGCAAGGAAAATGGTCGTCCTGGAGTGGTAAGGGGCCGGGATACACAGATATCGCCAGGATAGACAGAGGCTAATTGTACAGCCTTTTCCAGAATACGAATACCATGCTCAAGACGTTCCTCATCATTATCAAGCTCATATTGTAAAATTCGGCGTCGCCTAACTTGATCATGTCGAACAAGATCGAGCTCGACGTCAAGAAAGCTGCGAAGATAACTGGTTGGATCAGGGAAGGGACCTCGGTATTTCCTTATCTCGTCGCCAGTAACGGGCGAGTCGGGAAAGCGTATGATTCCATCGAGAGCTCGATAGAATGGTGTGCTGACAATTGGACCGACATGAAAGTTTTCCTGATCGACTCCAGGTACACGGTACAGAGATCCTCCGGTATCAAAGCGAAGGCGAAAGAGCTGAATTATGTGTTCGGCGACTTCAAGGACTACGGCTTGTTTCTTCTCAAATGGTAAAGTTTCCCAGACCTCATTGGCTGGTACGCCGGGGATCTGTGAAGAATACGAATGAAGGAGTAGAATGAACAAGAGATAGACAGCCCATCACCTTTTCAAGAATCATGTACTCCAATCCAACCGGGTTATCGTCTTCGGTATTCCAGGCATAGACAAGTGGGGTGTGGATCGTGGTATTGCAAGCAATATACTGTAAGGTGGCAATCTACGCAACATTTGTCAAACAAATCAGAGAATACTAGTTTGGAACCTGGACTTACCTCCGATTCAACCTTGTCTCTAGGGAATGCAAGCGCAGCAACGCGAACGACAGAACTTGGAATTTCATTGTCACTGGCTGATATTTCGTACACCTGTGGACTCAAGATTCACTTTACACCGCTAAGATAGCTCAGGATCATAGCTCGCACCTTGTGATACCCTCCTTCTGCAAGCTTGACTAGAACACAGTCATCAATACGAAAAACTGTCCTGACTGCTTCTGCAAGCTTCGAAAGAGAGAAAGCATCGGGCGAGGCGCCCTCATCACTACTATCATAAGAGAAAGTAGAAATGTTATCTGTTTCCTCAAACATGGATAGCAATCAAGGAGCTCAGCGATCATGAAAAAGGCTCAGTTAATCATCATCAATGCATCATCTTTATAAGGACAGTGCAAGAGTGGGCGCACTGTGGGCGCTGCCAACGATAGAAGCGTGGGATTATTCTGTCTTCCTGTCTCTGGTCGAGCTAGGTCGAGCTGCCTTTGATCACGAGCAACTGCGAGAGACTCCAAGTCGAGTCGACGTATTATCTGGTTTAGTACATTCTCCAAAGATGAAAGAAGCTATTACAGGTCATCTTTTCGCGCCCTTCATAACTTGAATTTACTTCCGACCTTTGACTTAATTTCAGATTAAGATCTGAGTGGAAGTATGTATCATGACCTCTTCCGCCTTTTCACCTCCTCCACTTGGTTTCTCATGATCTAAGAGTAAGTGAAGTGAAGATTATATTACATAGCCATCACATCCATAATTGCAAACGCCCGACACTCCTACACAATGCTTCACCTCCGTAGGAGTCTAAGCTTACATCAACTGGCTCATTATCTGTGAGCAAAGCAAATCTACGCATTCTTCGTCAAGAAAATGTAGTTTTTACTGAAGAAGATAGCTGTATAAGTTATCCCCTTCCAATGTTCCATGGAGATGCTGCATCGCATAATATCTGGGTCTCATATGCATAACCATCCCAGTTTCTTCGGGGCAATTGGTGTCCAGAGTAGGCCTTTTGTAATAAAAATAAGATAAGGTAAATTGTAGAGGGAGCAGACGGACTAGACGTCGAGCCCGCCATCATACGCAACGTCGCTATTCAGGTTACGACTGATACTTTCCTTTGTTTCCTTCGATCACTTTCACTTCTTATTGTTCTCTAAATTACTTACATGCTACTTACTTACAATTTGAGGTTTCACATACACGTCGCAGCCTCACGCACGATGATACGTATCAATAGTTCCTATATATTTGCTACAGATGTACGGGACAGGCCCCCAGTTTACAACTTACCGAGCAATACTACTCTTTTGGACATACAACGGACACTCGCACTACATCTGGAGCCCACCCGAGTTGAACACAATTCCGCCGACACGTTCAAAGCCATCCGGCATACCAGTTCCAGTCCGAACACTGCCTGCACGAGACGGTGTTCCATCGACATCCCACCGACAGTTTCTAAACACAGGGAGACGTCAGTTCCAGTTCCCGGCGGAGGTGACACATCACAAAGAAGCAGACGTCAGACAGCCCGTTGCAGACACACCGAACGAAGCGCTTACAAGCGAGTTCACCTCTCTGGTGACCACACCCTCCTCTATATCATCTCTGTCGTCTTTATCACCATCACCACCACCTATCGTACCTACCCACATTCCATCCATGTCGACTCCACCTCCTCGCGCAGCCACGAAAGGTCCGGCATACATGCCAGCCCCAGGTTCGACGCGAGCCCCAGACAAATTCAAGGGAAATAGCTCGCAGTTACGAGACTTTCTTGAGGAGTTTGAAGGACATGCTGTTGCCCAGGAGCTGACCGACGATGAGAAAGTCCGGAGTATCTTGAAGTACGTCGATGGGATGACAAGGAGTTACTGGAAGACCCTGGATGGCTATGAGGAACGAGACTGGGTGAAGATGAAAACGGAATTGTTCGATGCTTACCCAGGTGCCAAGAAAGGTCATCGATATACAGTAAAAGGCCTATTGAAGCTTGCGGAGAGTTATGCGCAGAAACGAATTGAAGAAGAAGCTGACCTCATCAAATACTACCGCCAGTTTTGAATCATGTCGAGGTTGTTGAAGAATGACAAGAAGGTGACAACCGACGAAATTAATCGTTACTTTTGGTACGGTATACACAAGCTAGATTGAAAGGAAATCCTGGGGCGTATTGAGCTCAAAGACTCTACATTTGACAGGACTACAGTACCTGACATGGAGCTAGCCCTCAAGATGGGTCGAGAAGTCTTCAGCGATGATGTCCTGGGCATGGAATCCGATGACCCGATTGCAGAGATGTTTACGAAGCCAAAGAAGAAGAAGAAGAGTAAAGTTGTTGCCTTCGAGTCCTCGAGCGGAAGTGACAGTGATGATGGAAGTGAATCGAGTGCTAGCTCCGAGGATGAGACAGTATATCAGAAGCCAAGGAAGAAGACCGTGAAGCAGGAGGTACGCACGAAGGTGATGGAAAAACTGCAAACAGACAACATCGAGGACCTTGCGAAGCAGCTCCGAGCATTGCATGTCCATGATGTTAGCTACGCTGGTGTCTATGCTAAGCTCGTCGCTATTTCGCCTGTCGTAGCCAGTGCCATCGCAGCACTCCCTCCGATTCCCCAGACAGCCCAGACAGCAGCTATTCCTGCCATCCAGATGACACCTTACCCGAATCCACCCACAAACCCAGCGACGTATCCAAACTCAATCCCAATGAATGGAAATAGCTATCGACGAGGAAGTCAGCCACAGAGACAAGCCTCCGGACCACTTCCGACGGACATCCTCTGCTTCTTTTGCAAGGAGAACCACCTCATCCGTGACTGCAGCCACCTTCCTGAATACCTAAGAACGAATTGTGTAGCTCAAATCGGTCGTTGGTTCTGCTGGCCTGATAACCATCCACAAGCACGTCGTCGAATCCAGGCTGATCCTGCTATAGGTATCAAAGGGACAATCGATCGTGAAGTTTTGACCACGCCGGGTTTTTAGAGCGCCAAGCCGTTACGGGAGCGGTAACGGTGGAGGCAGAATGTGAGGATGAGGTGGAAGTGGGTTCATCGAGGGTCCAAAGGCAGGCAGTGGAGATTATTGATGTGGATGCATTGGAGGATAGTGAGGACAGCGAGGATGACGATGACAGTGAGAATGTAGATGGGGAAGACACGTGGATGGAGTCGTTAGAGTTGGAAAGGCTTGAGGAAAATCTGCCAGGACGACTCACCGTGTCTGGAAACCAGCCAGCTTTCACATACGAATCCAAAGCAGAAGATCCACTTGCTGTGAACAAGATGTTTAAGCGAATCCTTGATGTTGTTGTTCCCGACGTGACGGTGCGAGACCTTGTCTCACTCAGTGGAGACCTACGCAAGGAATGGCTGGACTATGCAAAAGTCCAACGCATTCCAAAAACCAAGGAGACGCCGGATGCCCAAACCAATATTGCAACGAGCGAGCCCCTCAAGATTGAATTTGCGACGCCGTTACGAGAGATTGAAGTCGAATTGTTTGGGGGGAAGAAGGAGCTTGCGTTGTTGGATGAGGGTTCTGAGATTGTGTTGGTAAGGAAGGATGTATGGGAAGAACTAGGTTTTAAAGTCAATCGGGAGCAGGAGATGATGATGCGGACTGCGGATGGAAGCACTGCACCACTGGAGGGATGCGCCGAGTACCTCGAAATTATGGTGGATGGGTTACGGACATGGGCGCATGCGTTTATAGTCCCCTCAGGTCCTTTTCGAGTTCTGCTGGGTCGACCATGGCAAAAGCTGGTCCAGTTAGCGAAGGTTGAGACCGACGAGGCAGTCACTGTCACTATTCACGACCCACTAGGCCACGATGCTCCACGAGTCATTCGCACCAAGCCACGGGTTGGGCCTGATACATCGTTCACAACGGGTTTGGACACGGGGGAACGTGTTTGGAAGAAGCCAAGGTATGGGAATTCAACCGGTCCGGAACCGGCAGGCAGTTCTTCCTCTCTTGCCACGCTCTTCTTCGACTTCACTTACTCACTTCACCCAACCCGCCATGTCCTCGCCTACAAGCATGTCGCGCAAAGGGTTCAACCCATCCCGACCGTTATGCCTGACTACGCCAAAGTGATCCGAAGGTTCCCTGAAAATCCCCTTCTTTCCCTCCCGGATCTCTCTCCCAATCCGACACAATTTACACCTGGTGTTCGCCTAACGGAGGATCGATTGGAAGGACTGGGTGTGTTGACAAACAGCTTTCTCTGGCCTGAGGAACGTCTACTGATGGCAGACGTATTGAAGAAGAACGAGCTGGGGATAGCTTGGGACGAAACAGAGAAAGGACGATTTCGCGAGGACTACTTCCCTCCCCTGAAAATTCCAACAATTGCACATACACCATGGGCTGAGAAGACACTACCAATACCTCCAGGAATACGTGATAAGGTCATCCAACTTGTCCGGGAGAAGGTCGCGTCAGGACTGTATGAACCTTCGAATAGTTCGTATCGTTCGCAGTGGTTTGTGGTAGCGAAGTCAGATGGTGGCTTGCGCATTGTCCACAACCTCAAGAAACTTAACGCAATCACGGTGCGCGACTCAGGACAACCTCCCATCCTCCATCTCTTCCTCGAGCAATGTGGCGGTCGTGGCATCTATTCGGGAATAGACGTTATTGCAGGTTTCGACCACGGGACACTTCACGAGGACTCAAGAGACCCCACAACCTTCGATACCCCCATTGGAACGTTCCGTCTAGCTCGCATCCCCCAAGGGTGGACTGGATCCATCCCAGTCTTCCATGGACACATTGCATTTCTGCTGCAGGATGAGACCGAGATCTCTCCGAATTTCGTGGACGACTTACCGGTTCTGGGACCAAGAACTCGATATGAGAAGCCAGCGGGAGGATACGAGGTGCTGGAGGAAAACCCGGGTATTCGTCGTTTCGTTTGGGAGCATGCCACCGACCTCAACCGCATCCTTCATCGACTCAAACACGCAGGCGTTACCGTTTCTGCAAAGAAACTCAAGGTTGCAGTCCCGGAGCTCAAAATCGTAGGAACGGTCTGTACCTTCGAAGGTCGACTCCCCGACAACAGCAAGATTGTGAAAATCCAGTCATGGCCAGCTTGCGAGTCCGTTACCGAAGTCAGAGGGTTCCTCGGGACTGCGGGAGTGCTTCGGGTTTGGATCCGGGACTTTGCAAGGATCACTCGCTCGCTTGTGAATCTGACGAAGAAGGATGCAACATTCGTTTGGCTACCAGAACACCAACAGGCTATGAGCACCATCAAGGAGGTCGTTTCGAAATGTGATGCCTTGGTCACTATCGACTACCTTTCTCCTCTTCCCGTCATCTTGGCTGTCGACTCCTCATACATTGCCTGTGGTATCATTCTCTCACAAGACAACAAGGATGGTAGACGACGACCCTCTCGTTTCTGGTCTATAGCCTGGAACGAACGTGAAGCTTGCTACTCACAGGCAAAAATCGAACTCTACGGTCTTTTTCGAGCCTTTCATGCGATGAAGGTATACCTCATCGGGGTCCAAAAACTCATTGTCGAAATGGATGCCTCGTATGTCAAAGGCATGATCAACAATCCTGACATGCATCCGAACGCAGCTGTCAACCGTTGGATAGCCGCCATACAACTTTTTGACTTCGACCTCAAACACATACCTGGGAAGGAATTCGTGGGTCCAGATGGGATTTCAAGGCGACGAAGGACAGTCGATGAAGGAGATGAACTAGAGGGAGCTGCTGAGGAATGGGTAGATGAAATTCTGAGTGCTGGTGTATGGATAGCAGGAGCTTGGGACAAGGAGGACAAGTTTGGTGGTATAGTCGAGTATCGAGGCACTGGAACGTCTTTGGCGTTCTGCCTGGCTGCACAAGGGGTAGCATCTGACGATGTAACGATCCCTTATAGTCAAGTAGCCCAACGACGTGACAACGAACTTCGTACGATACAGGACTACCTCACAACCTTCACAACGCCATCCTCACTTTCCACACTACAACTCAAGCAATTCATTCAACGAGCCTCGCGATATTTTGTCAAAGCAAATCGTCTGTGGCGGCGAGAACACTCCGGTCGACATCAGCTTGTCATTCTTCCCCTTCCTGATCGACTTTCACTCCTACAACAAGCTCATGACGATTTAGGGCACAAAGGGTTTTATTCAACACGACGTACACTAGCGGATCGTTTCTGGTGGCCTAGCCTCGATGACGATCTTCATTGGTTCCTGAAGACATGCCATGAATGTCAAGTTCGCTCAACCGAAAAAGTTGTCATCCCACCCTCCATCTCTATCCCAGCCACCCTCTTTCGTAAAGCTCACATTGACGTCATGTATATGCCCATGGTCCAAGGCTTCAAGTTCATCGTTCAAGGTCGCTGTTCGCTCTCTCGCTGGCCGGAATGGAGAATGCTGAAGAAGGAGAATGGGAAGACGTTAGGACAATTCATCTTTGAGGAGATTCTGTGTCGATGGGGAGGACTTGAGGAAATTACGACCGACAACGGCCCTTCGATTGTAGCAGCCTTGGATTGGCTTCGGGAACGGTACCACATCACTCACATCCGCATCGCTGCCTACAACTCTCAAGCAAACGGAGCTGTTGAGGTCTCGCATCGTTACATTCGCGATGGAATTGTCAAGGCCTGTGGTAGTGACATCCGACAGTGGACAAGGGTTACGCCATATGTTTTCTGGGCCGACCGTATCACAGTCCGACGGGATATTGGTTACTCCCCTTACTATGCATCACACGGCGTTGAGCCACTTCTGCCTTTCGACATCACCCAAGCCACATTCCTTTTACCCGAAATCACCTCGAAGCTCTCAGATGCAGACCTTATTGGACTCAGAGCCCAGCAACTCGAACGGCGAGAAGTGGATTTAGCTCAAATCCATGACAAGGTGGTACAGAGTCGTTTTAAATCAGTCGAAGCCTTCCGCCGTTACCACAAGAATGTTATCAGGGACTACAAATTCAAGGCAGGCGACCTCGTCTTAGTTCTCAATAAACGTATCGAAACTGGCATCTCCAAGAAGGCACTCCCTCGTTATTTCGGCCCCATGGTCATCGTCAAACGTACTCGCGGAGGAAACTATCGATTAGCAGAACTTACGGGCGCCATCTCTCGTCTTCGATATGCAGCATTTCGCATTATTCCCTACCATTCGAGGTCAACGAAACGAATTAAGATTACGGAGTTTTTGGACAAAGAGGCATTGGATAGTATGGACAGCGAGGCAGTCGATGATTAGGTTTTCGTTCGACGCCGGTTCGAGCGAGGGCGCTCGAAATTCAAGTGAGGGGGAGATGTAGAGGGAGCAGACGGACTAGACGTCGAGCCCGCCATCATACGCAACGTCGCTATTCAGGTTACGACTGATACTTTCCTTTGTTTCCTTCGATCACTTTCACTTCTTATTGTTCTCTAAATTACTTACATGCTACTTACTTACAATTTGAGGTTTCACATACACGTCGCAGCCTCACGCACGATGATACGTATCAATAGTTCCTATACATTTGCTACAGATGTACGGGACAGGCCCCCAGTTTACAACTTACCGAGCAATACTACTCTTTTGGACATACGACGGACACTCGCACTACAAAATTCTAATGAATTTTCTTCCAATGCATTAATAGGCTTCGTCATTCACAATTTCCCTACAGGCTACAGCTGCAGATCACAAGAGAGCTTGACAACTACTACTGTACCTGCTACTTAAGGATACAGTGTTGACCCAGTGGCGTTCTAGAATTGACAAGACTGCAGTAAGCTCTTCATAATCATTATCCCATGTATCATTTGAATTCGACAGCCCCATCATCTTGGGCACATACTTTACAATCCATTCCTCAATTGTGTGTGATTACTATCTTCTGATACAAGTATGGCGGATATGCAATAGGCAGATGAAAACAAGAAAACAATATGCCGATCAAGAGGAAAATCTTTTGAAAGTGAAACTAAAGCACCGACATGAGTGAACTGATGAGGTGTGCGTCGTAAGGAAATCAAGACGCACTTTATGAAAGCAAGGTCCTTCTCCGCACTGATACCCTCTACCTGTTCTAACTGATCGGGCATGTCGCCGAAGTCGTCAGTTGGGAAGTACGCAGTGTCCGTGCTTGATTGGAGGTGGGGGACAAACGGAGGTTCGATGTGGCGGAGAGCAGACCAATCGGCGCCATAGAAAAAGTGGTGCGATTTGATTTGGTTCACGGTGAGACGGCTGTCGGCCCAAGTCATCATGCTGAAGGGAGAAAATTCTTCAAGTTCACATAATCCAGGAAAGAACGCGGAGTACGACACACCTTCTAATCAAGTCTTCACCCTCTCGGGATATGAAAACTTCCTCTGGGAAGAAGAGGTAGTTTGGCCAATCGATGATCTTCTTGTAGGTATCTCCCGGATTGTCTGAGCAGAACGGTGCATATCCGACTAGACACTCGAAGAAAATAGCGCCTAATGACCACCAATCGCACTCTTTACCATACCCCTTCATCAAGAAGACTTCGGGCGCGATCTAAGTTGAGCGATCAGATGCATTTATAGTGAAGAAGATATTCAAACACTCACGTAGTCCGGAGTACCAACAGTAGAATATGCCTGCAGATGTTTCGATTAGTTGTATTCCTTCATTCTAGATCGAACGCACCAATTTCCGTCTGTTGGCCTTCCACGTAGCGATCTGTTCCCTGCTCATGGTCAAGTTGATTGGATTGACCTGAACACTATTCCGGGCAGGGTTTCGGGTTTTCTCCTCCTCCAAGAAACGTTTATAGAACTCTCCATCCGAGACTTTATGTAAACCTGTGGACAGACCAAAATCAGATAGCTTTAAATGCCCATGTCTGTCGATCAAAACGTTATCGGGTTTGATATCACTGTTAGAAGATGAGTGAGCAAGACGTGAATCCTGAGGAGTGGGTGGATTGATTCACCGATGGATATAGCCCAGATTGTGCACGGCTTCGATGGCCAATATACATTCGGCCATATAGAATCGTGTTACATCCTCCGAAAACACGTCGTATTTCATTAACATCGTCATGAGATCGCCACCAGGAAGGAACTCCATGATCAAGTAAAGATAGAGAGGATCTTGGAAAGAATAGAACAGTTGGACTACCCAGGGCGACGTTGATTCTGCGAGCACATCTCGCTCCGCTCGAACGTGTGCAAGCTATACATATTGATCAAGATACCTGCTGAAATGCTTGAGGTTTCGAACACACACCTGGTCTCGTTTCAACATCTCGGATTTTTGTAGGGTCTTCATCGCGTAAACTTTGCCCGTATCTATCTTCTGAACTAGACGAACCTGCCAGATGATATGTGTGAACGATTTAAGGAACATGGATAATGGATTTTGTACCTCGCCGAAAGCACCTTTTCCTATCACCTTAACAGTCTTAAAGTCTGTAAGCTTTATTTTTGTCCTTCGTAACCTTAGGTGCTGCGACTCCATCTTGGAATGTTTCCTCAATTCACGCTCCTTGGTCTCTGGTTGCAACGTCTGCGATAGCTTAGTCTCGAGCTCAATGCGCCTGTAACTCGAGATCAACAAGGTGCTTCTACACAACTTGACTACCGCTCACCGAGCGTTCCTTTCAATAGCAGAGTCTACCGCCATCTTGTAGTATGAAACCAACTTCAACTTTGCAGCCGTAGCCCTTGCAACAGCTTCGGAAGAGAAGCCAGCGTTGGAACGCTCGAAATACACATAATCGTCTGGCCGTGATTTTTGGGTGGCGTTTTCAGGAATTTGCAAGGGTCCAAGACTATGGGGGCTTGGGACGGAGGTGGCAGGACTGGACGGTCCAGGAGATGGTTGGTGCATGTTGAATAAGAAGGAATGAGATGGAAGAAATTGAAGATGAGTCGACCCGGCGAATAAGAAGACAAGATATCTTGTAAAGAGCTTCCGAAGAGAATTCCTATGTAATAATTACTTCCGTCAATTGGTTGCCACAGGCGTTGCGGGGTTACTAGGGGTTACTAGTAACCGAGCAGTCACGTCACATTTCGGTGACTGTCACTCATCTTTCGCAAACGGCGATGGGAAATCGTTTCGCGAGGTCGTACTACTATTTGGCGTGCTAACGGCGTATCCTCTTGAATTTCCTTTAAATCACTACATCGAGAGACCGGCGCTTCCGTCCTGGGACCACACCTGCACGTGGAGCCGTGTATCGGATATTCTGCGTGTATCCTGCGTGTATATATCCTATCTGGATTCTGATACGTCGTCGATAGCGCCCAAATCACGCTGATAAATTGCTCTCTGATTTCTCTGATTTTAATCCTAGCTCTGCCGATGAATCAATATCTTCCTTTTCCTTTACTTACTTGCCAATAGCTTGACCACTACCCATGTCCTCGTCCGAAGAGCTCTATTCAATTCACCCCTCTGACTCCGAAACCACTCATAGGCGAGTCAAAGACTACCCACCGAGTCAGCCTCGAACCTTTACATCCAATTCACGGCGTCGAGAAATATACTCTGATACGAACCAGCCCAGCTTTTTCATTGCACTTTCCCTCCTTGTCCTCCTAGGATTACGTCCTAAACGACTACAGGCCCAATTGGATTCGGAAGACCCCAAAACCTGGGTTGATTTCCGAGAAGGGTTGATTAGACGCTGGGGGACGTTAGGAATCACCAGTGGACTAGTGTTGTCTGCTGCAACGTCAATGTTGTTTTCAGATAGGGTTCTAGGAGCCTCAATGGTTGCAGCTCTTGCTTCGTTATGTGCGACGATCGTTTCAATCACGTTTGGAACCGCATTATCGTTCATATTCACAGATGCCCCTGTACGGGACTTCAAGGTCTGTTTGTTCTTCACTCGTACATGTTTAGCAACTTGATATGAGTATAATCAGGCTTTGGCAGCCCGTCCCATTCATATGGTATTCCTCCTATCTATTCCCAATATGTTTGCGATGGGCTCGATGGTGGCATTGTATATTTCCATCACCATCTTTGCCTGGACTTTTGATGATGGGTTGGCTTCTATTTTCGCCAAAATCGGTACAGTTTTGGGGGCTGCGGTTATGGGGGGATTGTTTGCTTATGCCATTTGGTTGATGCAAGGGTTGGGGATGCATACAGAATCTAATGGCGGAAATTGGACAGACGGTACAGAGATGTAGCCTGTGTTCAAGGACAATCAATTTGAGGACCAGTCAGAGAGGACCTGGCTTCAAAGTTCAGATAAAGAAACCTGAAATGGAACTCGTCAGGTTCTTGCTACTAAGTACAATGTAAGTACTACTCGAAGTGTTCTTGCAGCTTGTCCATAATGTATCGCCGAAAGATCTGCGAACTGTGATATGTACACAGGATTTGATTGATCATGAATATCCTTGAAGAGTCAAGACTCCAGTAAAATCCAGAGTATTTGAATAGCTATCTCGAGATGTAATCCATGGCTGGGAGATACCCCGGAAAATTATAACGGATATTCGATGTCCCCAGTCATAGTATACCGTCGCGAACCTAGCCGGGTAGATGATGTGACGATTCAACTGAGCAGTTAAAGTGAACGTGCCTTCTGCATAAATCCAGACACTCGACCAATATCTACGATGTTCGCTTCACTTTCCATTGCAATGACCAAATTATCCAACATCTGCACAAGAAGTCTCAACATCAAGGATGATGGTAAGAAACAAAGCAAACGCGACTCACATCTTCAACCTTATCAATTGCCATCCCCGTACACAAGGCGACAATTTTTCGACACATATATTCTTTCTCAGCACTCATCCCACGCAAACTCTTCAGTCGCTCTTCCATAAGTTCTTCCACTCTCACGTGCCACATCTTCATTCTCCGTAGCTTGATTAACGTTTCGACGTCGTTACCCATAGGTATCGGGAGATCTTGATCGGCGTCGGAAGATGGATTTTGTGGTATATCGAATTGCTCACTGCTCCTTGACTTGCCGGCCAAAGATGAGGCAGCCCCTCTATATCGAAATGCCGGCGATGTGGCAGTTGACAGCGTCGACATTGGATTTGTAGACGCATCTAGAGGCATGGCTTCGTCATCATCATCCGCGGAGGCGTCCGCATCGATATCCTCTTCCATCGGCCGACCCGGTCTTTGTGCTTCCTTGGAAATCTCTTTATCCGGCTTATCACTCTTATTGAAGCTCGTTGTACCACTTCTCCCAGTCCAATCCCACGTATCTTCTTCTTCAATTGCCTTTTCGAGATTTTTCACGCGCTGTGCTACCAGGTCAAGTTCCGTACAACGCGCTTGCCAAGATTGTATTTGCTTTCTTTGCTCTGAAAGCTCACGCGTTGCAGCTCGAAGATGTGCTTGTGTAACGTCGAGAGCATCTTGTTTGACTTTGATCTCGGCTTGGAAATCGGTTGCAAGTGATTGGACCATGGCAGTCATATCTTCCGAAAGAAATCACAAGTTTAGTTGGATGCAAGTGATAATATAACAATCATACCAGCTATGACATCCTGGGATTTCTGTATGGGCGCTGGAGCTGCGGGGCGAAGCATCTGTACAATATCTTCTGCCTTATGTCCAACAGACAGTTCCTATAGAAGAAAATTAAACAGACGATGTTTCTCCGGGAATCATATACATTTACCTCACTCTCAACGCCAAAATCCCCCGGTCTCAGCCCCAGTTTATTCGACAACGTCTTGTTCGCACCCACGTCAACCAAAGTCCTCACGAGTGTACGGCTGCCAACACGAGCTGCTATATTGAGCGCAGTATCCCCGTGCTCATCTTGGAGATCGACGATACATCCAAAGTCACCCATCATTTCTTTCGCAATCCAGTAGAAGATCTGGTCAAGATAATATCGTGCCACCATAGCGCGTCCTTTGACTCCTGCCAGCGAAACAATGTGATGTAAGACGCTCTTCCGTGAAGTGTCAACGGTGAGAATTGATTGATGAAGACCAGTTTGCAATATTGTGGGTAGTGATTGAGCGTTGTACGAATGTGTCGAAAGCATTGTACGCATGAGTGGTGTTTCTCCTAAATGATTACCTCGATGAACATCAGCGCCATGGGATAGAAGCGCCTGTACAGTAGACACGCGTGATAGCGACGAAGCAAGGTGCAAAGCATTATGACCCTGTTCGTCCAGTATCGTATCGACATCGATAGTTCTTCCATTGTTGGATGGAGTAGGGGTAGTGCCTCCGTGAATACCGTTTGTAGGGAAGGAAGCAATTTCACGCAACAAATTTAGGACCGCGACTGGATCATCACCTTGGTATATAGAAGCAATGACTGCGGCGCGTCGGGTATCTTTGAGGGGCGCGGAAAGGTCGAGGTTGCGCGGGTAGGTAGGCTTAGTCGCAAAACGAGGTATATGTTCTCGTTCAGAAGTAGTCGTAGGCGTAGCAGGCGGAGCACCCCCGCTTGATGCGCTTGCGGGCCTAGGGTTAGACGGAGTAATGGCGGTTGCTGCTCGAGTAAAGGAAGAAATAGATTCTGGAGGTGCAGATTCCTTGCGAGGCCGCTTAGCAGGTGACGGTCCGTCATCACTGGCCGCAGCGCCATTTGTTTGTGCTCCAGTAGATGGCGGTCGAGTGCCATCACTCATCGGCACGTCAACGGGTGGAGCAGGAGTCGTAGACTCTGGATCAGACCGTGGTCTTTTCAGAGTATTTAGGGGTGGAGGAGTGGCTGACGCGGGAGAAAACGGAGAATGAGATTGACCTGGAGCTGGAGAGACTTGGGTGAATCGGCTTGAACCGTGAGCTGCGGAAGTAGATGGAGTGAAAAGTCCTTGAGCCCGGCCTTGATTTAAGAGACGAAGAGCAGAGCCAGGCATTATAGGAGGAGGAGCAAGAACGCCAGGTAAATAGCTTCCGCTGAGACTGCCATACGAGGATGAGGCGGAAAGGGGGCGGGGTGTGACTCCGGCAAGATTAGGAGCAGTCATCGGTAATGCCGAAAGCGAACTGGTGCTTGGTGTAAAGTCAAATAACGGTGCTAGCAGCGGTAATACGCCATACTGCAAAGCAATATCGCGCCCTCTGTCAATAGGAATCCTTGTATACACACTCTGAGCAGTCGGTCCTTGGGTGAGAAATCACAGGGCTCACCATGTTCCTTGGTATTTACCATAACCACCTTGAACGATTTCGTGTTTGCCAGGCAAGATTTCCTTCTCTAAAATCTTTGTCCTTCTGCCTTTATCAATCCCCGCAACCTTGAGGATCTGGGTCGCGTTTACATATGAATCGCCGCGTCGACGCATGACAGCGATCCCTCTGATCATGCACTCATAAACCTATTTACGTTCAAGAAAAATAATCGGAACAGAGCAAGATGTTACCTGTACAGAGGAGTATACGGCATTGTATATCCTGACTGGAGGTTGGTTGGCGTTGGCCGCTGGACGAGCAGGCTGCATGGTGTACAGAGCACAAGGGCGCGTGTTATTGATGCCGAAAAGAGCGCGTTCTGTGATAAGAAGCGGAGTTTGAAATGACTTCAACACCTGAATTTCTTTTCTCTTTACTTCCAACACGGTGACCTGACGGTGACACGGAATTTTCCTCCAATATGGCGGAGCTAACATATGACACGCTTATGGACGATGGTAACTATCTCGGCTCTGAGAGAGCGAGGATGGAGAACCAGGTCATACTGAACGAGTTGGAGCGTAAAAAAAAGGCGCGTAATATAGCCGTGCCCACAGACGATAATCGTGTCAGGGCACGGCTCAGAGAAATTGGGGAACCTATTACACTGTTTGGTGAACGAGTGCGTCTCATTTTGCTGTCTTCATAACTTATACTGATACTTAAGTAGCCCGCAGATCGACGGGATCGTCTAATATATGTCCTTTCCCAAATCAAACACGCTCGCGGCGACGATGGCATGCAAGTCGATGAATCTTCAGACGAAAGTGAAGACGAAGAAGAGGCTCGTGTATCATCCGCTTGTTTCTGAATCCGGACTGACCAACTCAAACAGGAATCCGAATTCTATACCCCGGGCTCTCTTGAGCTTCTTGAAGCGCGAAGGAAGATTGCCGAATATTCACTCCCCAGGTTAACATTCATCCTACAAATAGGCTTCGAATAGGCAAGGTGCTTACCACTCTTTTTCTGTTTGCTTCCATAACAGAGCTCAAAAACGGGTCGCTCAGCAGCTCATAGATAGTAAAATGGAATTAGGTCGAATAGTCGATATACGGAAAAAGGTTTTTGGGGAAGTTAAAGTAAGTTCTATACTATGCTGACGAGAATCACATCACTAAGCTCCTTTGAAGAAATTCGCTATTCTTGGCTCACAAATTGGCGACGAACGACCTATCTCCCAAGTCAGATTCTCGCCCAACAACGAGATCTTAGTTACGGGTAGTTGGTCAGGAACAGTCAAACTATGGAATGTGCCTGCTTGTACACCAGTACGCTCACTTCGAGGTAAGTCTTCTGTCTCATCTTCATCTTTTTTTCTGAGAACAATTCAAGGGCATAGCGATCGTGTGGGGGGAGTTGCGTGGCATCCACAAGCAACATTAAATCAGAGCCCCGATTCCGTCAACCTTGTGAGTGGTGCTGCAGACTGTAATCTGCATCTGTGGTCTCTGAACAGGTAGGCATCGTCTTCACCTCCCTCGACCCAAACTCATAATCCTATGTAGCGAATCACCTCTGTCCGTTCTTAAAGGTCATCAAGAACGTGTTTGCAGAGTAGCATTTCACCCGTCAGGAGACTACGTCGCCAGTGCGAGTTACGATACTTCGTGGCGTTTATGGGATGTTGCCACCTCCCAAGAGCTTCTTCTACAAGAAGGACATTCTAGGGAGGTCTACTCTATCGAATTTCAAAACGATGGCGCGTTGGTTGCCTCAGGGTACGATCCCTTGTCCGGCTGCTCGGGTTTGGTCAATCTGATTTTTCCGCCAACAGGGGCCTTGATGCTATTGGCCGTGTATGGGATCTCCGTACAGGTCGAACCGCAATGGTCCTAGATGGACATGTACAAGGCATTTATAGCGTTGCATTTTCCCCTAATGGGTTCGGATGGTTTAATTCGCCGTGAATGTTCTTACTCACGCAAACATTTTGTCATTTCTCCATCTTTTTAGATACCAAATTGCCACTGGTGCAGGCGACGACACGATCCGAATTTGGGATATGCGATCATTAAAATCGCTATACACTATTCCGGGCCACACTTCGAACATCTCCGACGTCCGGTTCTTCCAAGCCAACGATTTGTTCTTCAAGAAACCCCAGACTCCCGAACCCACCTCCCCCGACGTCAATGGAGACACAGGAGCAAATGAATCCGCGGTCTCCTCCCGGTCGGACACACCCAAACTCGACAAACCGGAGGCTGGGTCACCGACATTCACCCCCGAAGAAGAATGGTCTTATCGTTCAGGATTGTTCTTTGCCTCTGGAGGCTATGACGGCTATGTGAAATTATGGAGTGCTGATGATTGGCAGCTTCTGCGTACGCTCACGACGGATTCGGGTAAAGTCATGTCGGTGGATATTTCAAGCAATGGGCATATGATTGCTGCTGGGACCTATAATAGGAATTACCAGCTGTATAGTGATTTGGAGTAGTTTCGTCAAGATATGACGGAGATATCCCCAGTCAACGACGAAGGTACAACCAAGGTATGCATGCTCAAGATGGCTTTCAACAGAAATATTTGCTCTCACACTTGTTTTTACTTATTATTTTTGTCGTGCTAATTTACTGTTTCATGTGTACCTGGTTGTCTATCAGTGCAATGGGATTTTCTCAATCTAGCGAAATCTCATAATTCATGATTCGTTATACGTTACAGACTTGGCTCTCATAGATTGTAAATGAACCAAGCACTACGATCCCCTAGTCCAGATTTTTCATGCTCCCGTGTCAAAGTCCTCCTGATTTCCGCTTTCTTCTTGTTCTGGTTCCACAGGTAAAAGAGATTCACACCTCCGAATAAAGCCATCACTGCACTGAAAACTAGTAATGTTATTGTGGCGGAGGTGTATTCAGGTGCAGGACTAAGTGAGCCTAGAAGCCACGTAGCAAGAATGCCGCCAGAATTGGTCATGATGAAGCCAATTGCAATCGCGGTTGCACGGCGTGTCTGCGGAGCTGCGTTGTTTGAACTCCAGGCGGAGAGTGTAGGCGCAGTAGTGTATGTTCCAGGTATTGAGAAGAAGAGAGATCCATATTGAACATGATGCGATTTTGAGCCTAGTCCAATATCAAAATCAGGAAGGTTAAATCGTACCACAGCCTCTAAAACGCACCTAGGAACATGGCAAAACCAATGACACAGAAGATAGAGGAGACGATGACAACGATTCCACGACATCGGTAGCGATCAGAAAGCCAAGATGAAATCATTGCAACGACAAATCCCACTGCGAAGGGTGGTACACTCATCAACTGTGCTCTTGCTGCAGTAAATCCCAGCCCTTGGATAATTGATGGAGAAAAGCTGCGGCAAAATCATAGGTTAATCAAATGATCTCGAGAAAGGTGGGGACCCACTATGCCAATGAATATAGCACAACACCATCGAGGAAAAATGCGATAGCTAGGAACCAAACCTGGGGAAGCTTGGTAGCCTCTACAACTTCTTTCCAGGTAAACCTTTCTTCGTCCTTCTGCGTATTGTCTTCCAATAATTTTGCATTCACGTAGCTCTTTTCTTCGGCATTGAAGAACCACGCCGTATCGACAGATCGCGGAAGGGTGAAATAAGAAGATGCACCGAACAAGACTGTGAACAAGCCTTCGAGGATGAAAATCCAAGCCCAACCTGGGCGATTTCCGATACCATCCATGTTAATGATACCGAACGCCAGTATGCCGGAAAAGGCACCGGAAAGTGAGGCAGCAGAGAAGAACATGGAAACTCTAATTTGACGTAGGTGTCAGTAACAGGCAGGATGAACGAAATCCAGGAATGATCACCGTAAGTTCATTTTGTATCGAGGATAAAAGTACGAGAGGTAGAGCACGAGTCCCGGAAAAACGCCGCCCTCAAGCAAACCGAGAAAAAATCGACACGCGAGAAGACCCGAATATGTCTTGACGACACCTTGGAGTGTAGTCACAACACCCCAGAGGGTCAACATCGTCGGAAGCATTAAATTGGGTCCTACAGCCTGATTGCAACAGTTGAGCTAAACATTCGCATGACATTAGGAATACAGACTCCTCACCTTGAGCATGAGGTTTGAGGGTAGTTCAGCGACAATATATGGTACGTAGGTGACAGTCAACGCAATACTGTACTCCTTGTTACTCATTTTGAGGTCTGTTTGCAAACCTGCAACCCGAGCATTGGCTACGTTTGTCCGATCCTAATGACAAATGTGAATACTGTGTAACAAAACTCTACCAATGAAAGAAATCTTACCAGAAAAGATAAAAGGTAGAACATGGCGACAACGGGCACAACATACATATCGATCTTGCGCCAAACTCTCTTCTCCATGACACGGTCCTCAATAACGCGGTCACCAGAGCTGATAGATTTTGATGAGCTGACATCTTTAGAAGTCTCGCTGTCGTCGAGCATAGCTATTAAGATTGGGAGGGACAACGCTGGGGGAAGAAAGAACTTCACCTGGATGCTGAATCTCTTGTTGATTTATGGGTGAAACGATTCCCAGGGAAAATTTACGACTCGGATGATGAACCTTGCGGTCGGTTTGATTCGTTGTGACAGAAGCATACGTGACAGGAGTGAAAGCTAACGAGAGAAACGGTTCCTTGATCATATTGGATACACAGTCCAAGGATATCCGTAGTCTACAGTGTCACTGGCAGTAAGTAGTAGAAAGATAATTATTCTCACGAGGCCAAGCTGAACTTTGCAAAACGTTTCAGTGAACCTTACAAGGTTACATCCCATCAAAATATTGATTGCTCGTGCTGCTTCGTGCTGAGGGCTTGCGGTAAGACTGCCAGTAGAGCATGTGTAATTTCCCAGTGTGGCAGATCTGATTGATCCCTGATTTCCTGGTCACCAGTGAACCGGCAAGCCTTTTCTCCTTCGCCTCCGTTCTCTCACCTTCTCCGATCATAATTACTTCAAAATTCATTGTACCTCAAATTATAAGCGATAGTATGCATCTCGATGAGAGCCCCTGGTATTATCAATAAAATTGCTGCGAAATCTCTTTGACCAAAGCGATGTTCAAGTTCTCGGCGTCTGTTTCAAGACCTGGGAACTCCTGAGAAGGAAGAAATCCGGAAAAAAGAGAACCGGAAATGGGAGGTGGGTGACTCTGGCCAGAATCACTTCAAATAAATATGTTACTTCCTATCCAATAAATCTCCAGAGCACAAAAAAAGCACCAATATACTAACGAGAGTGGCAGGCACGAAAGTGTCAGAAGTAATGATGATGTTGCCCGAAGTACCTTTTACAGTTCAACATCCAACAGTCAAATAGAGTTACTGAGCCGACACATTTCCTGATTCGATATTATCCTCAGTTCTTTCAACAAACTTTGGGTAGTAATCAGTGGAGATTGAAACGAGCCGATTCCAGGCCACGGACCTTGTTAACAGTAATTTCCAACTCAGGATGATTTTCGTGATAGGAAGAGTCTTGATCATGGGCTGCCTCGACTGTCTTGGCGCTTTCAAGCTCGTATACGTCGCTGGTGCCACTCTCAAGCTGTAGAGAGAATACGCTCGCTGCATGAGACATTGAGGATCTTTGATGAAATTATACAACGTACACTATGTAGATTGTTGGCGAACTTCACAATAGTACTGCTGGAAGTCTAAAATAACCTTATAGTCACCGCCCAATTGTGTATATTCAATGACAATTACCTGTCTTCTGTTATCTTTTTGACTAGCGGAATCAACCACATTGATGAACATACCAGAGGTGGAGGTCTGGTTTCTGTTAACAAGTGCTGAGCGAGCGTTCAAAGTGGACATCAAGCAATTAGTGTAGAGTTTCGCCAAAGCGAGATCCCAAGTGAAGTTGCTGAAATACGCTATTCAGTACTTTTGTGAGGCGGAGGTGAAATTCATCTGAGAGCACTTACATGGCAGTGTGCTAAAGTTGAAGATCGAACATCGAACATCGTTAGCAAATTCTTCGAACAAGGCTGAGAGCGCACACGGACAGGTAAAGCCATGAAGCAAGCAACATCACCTATAGCACATATCGCACTGTTCACGGGAAAGGGGTAAGCTACCGATGCACAGCGATTAAATGATCGTTAGGCGCACGTTATCATCCCCGTTTGAACGGTCACTTTACAAAGAACGGTTAATTAAGTTCACTAAGAATATCGTAGAGATTTACTTCTGATGAGCTTGTCTATCATAGTATTGGTTGCGCCAAAGCCAGTCTTGCGTTTGGACTGCAAGAACCAGAATCCAGCTATATGTTCAAGCACCATTATGTTGTGAGAACATACCAGACTTCGAACCAAGGTGATTGTAATGATAATATCTGCCACACAGGACGGAAGGAACCATAAAAGAGCCGACCAGTGCAGCTCAGGCTTCTTGATAAAGAGTTTGAGAATCGCGACTTTGATTCCAGTTATGAAGCCCCCAGCTGTATAATTGCCTGTATCAGCCAGGTATTTGGATTAAAACTATTTACCTTACTAGCAGATGTTAACGCCAAAACTACAATAAATCCTGGTATTATATACGACTTGGTGATCTTGGAGATCCGCCACGCGAAGAAACATTGGATGGGCATCGATACAAGCACCTGGATAGATACGAGTCAGACATACTTTGCTGGTTCAGGGAAATGGGTTGAACATACAACGACAATGGGCTCTTTCAGTTGGAGGTCAAGGTGAATTCAATCGGAAGCGCGGAAGCAAGAAGAATCTGAGAAAACACACCTGTCATGAAAACTGGTATCGAAGTTAGCAGTGCAGTTTACTTCCTCAATGATCACATACGAGTAGGGAAGTTTGCCACAGCTTTCTCGGTCCCTAGAATGATGAACTTTCAGTTCGGCAGAGAATAAAAAACAGAGCAAATAAATGTACCATATTCTGTAATTAATGGCTGGTACATTATGACCATATCGAACACTGTGTTTGCGGTTTCCACTACGAGTAGGTATGCCACCTAGCACCAGCAATTAGCAATAATTCTCCATCTTCAGGATATCCGCTCACCAAGAATTTAATCCAGAGCGCATCGCTGTACGCATGACCAGAGTGTGAGGAGGTTGCCCTTAGATTCGAACCGGAAAGAGGACTCACGCCTTGTAGTTTTGAAAGTAAAAATGCATCTATGAGAGGGGGGATTACTTTTAACTGGATACTGAACATAGACTTCGATGCACTTGATTGAGCAGGACCTAGTTGAAGGTTATCCAGAATTGTAATTTCGCTGCGCATACACGGGAAGAAAATGACTGACACCAAACAAAATCATGTTGAAGTAGACTCCGATGAGCATTGGACCAAACCTATAAACCGCATGAGCTTGTGCGATCAGTAATGTTTACGAAGATGAGCGCACACTAGCTCTACATGGAAGACAGGAGCTGTGGAGTCTGCCATAGCGAAGAGGATAATGATTTCGTGAACTGAAGTGATGCTAAGGGCACTTCGAGTCCGAGTCCGAGCAAGGCTTTTTGAGGAGTATCTACAGCCGCCCTATGATCGAAACCTAAATAGTTGAAGGATTTCGACGGTCGCATACCTGTTCAAATTCAGGAACATGAATGGGGATTCTAGCTGGAGCGTTGGCAAGCGAGTAAGTCTCTGCAGTTGAATACCATGTACTGGATGAGCCGGCTCATTATAAGCTTGTCACATGTACCTGTAATCATCAGGAATGCCACAGCCCAGACTTCTGTTCATGCGTATGGTCTTCTAATTATTCTGATCCTTTTCATAAGTTCATCTCGTGAGCTTCCGCGATTGTTTAATACTGGAGGTGTTGAGATACTTTTTGCCTTCGCGGTGCCTGGGTTGATCTATTCAGTGTATCGACCTCTTTGTTGTTTGAGCTCGAAAGTTTAACTAGAATCTCAAAGTTGATACAGCAAATATCCTCCGACTCCGAGATGACCTCGAGTGTCAAGAACGAAGCCCGGAAGATGGCACAGGAATGGTCCGAGGTCCAAGCTACCTATTCGGAAAAGTTGTTATTTGGTTCCTCAGGACTTGGTGGGAGAGTGGGAATAAACAACAGTTCACAAGCTCGGAGCACTACCTTGAATCCCTACTTGACGGTGAAACTTGTTTCGTATGGATGTTTCCACAAAGGTTATGAATTAGTCCATAGGCAGTTGGAAAGATGTGGTTCATGCGCTCAGAGGGCGACGTTAAGAGGTATAGCGATGAACGAAGCAATGATATGAAAGCTAGCAGATCATTGTTGCCACAGGCAGATGGAGAACTCAGAATGTCCTAGAGTGTTATAGACTGGCAAAGCAAATGCGAAAGCTTCTTCTCTTGCCAGGTCACCCAGATAGTTTCCGAGAGTGACGAGATAGAGTTTCTGAGTTCCTGAATATTTGATAGAACTTATTCCATTTATTTTAGATCGAAATGGAGACGTTACTGGCTGATCGTCATCAGGCTTTTGGCATACTTGAGATTGTTCATCGCGCATATCGCAATAGTAGATGAGTGGAATGACGGGAGGAAGACATGATATGTGGGAGGAAGCGAGCAAGCCGCAAGAGAAGATTCGCCGGTACGGCAATCAAGCCGGCAGTTTTTGACGAGCTGCCGCGAGCGGCGAACTAAGCTCAGAGCTGATCGATTTTGGATCGATTACCATGAGCTACGTTCACTATTCGGAGTCATATAAATTCCACCTTGAAAGGTACCTAGCACACAAAATATGGTTGCAGTAGACTACCCAAGCCCTGTCAAGTTTTCCTCTCGCCTGAAAGACGGACGCGCATTAGCTGAAGATGTCTGGTCCATCTACAAGTAACTACCACTCACACAACATTTAAAAAATCATTATTCAATGAAAAACTTTACAGCGTCGCCAATCTTCCTGCGGACTGTATCAACCTCGGACAAGGATATATGAATTTTGCCCCGCCGGAATGGGTCAGAAAAGCTGCTGAGGAGGCCTTAGGCGTCGTGGCTGCAAACCATTACTCTCACCCAAAAGGCCGTATACGTCTCCGGCAAGCCATCAAGAAAGTTTATGACCCCCAGCTGCACCGTGATTTGGACGTTGAGAAGGAAATTCTCGTAACGAGCGGCGCTAATGAAGGTGGAAACTTTGTCCAACTCTCCAACATTCGATTGAAATTGATAATATTCTAGGTCAATACTCAGTGTTTACCGCTTTCCTGGAACAAGGGGATGAAGTCATAATGTTTGAGCCTTTTTTCGACCAGTACTTGGCTTCAGTCACGTTCAACGGTGGCGTTCCCATATACGTTCCTCTGCACCCTCCCCCCAACGCCTCTGGGAAGTTCTCAAGTGATGAATGGAAGATAGATCCCAAGGAACTTAGGTGATTACGAGCTGCTTCAGCTGGTTTTCTCTAACACATGGTATTAGAGCCGCTATCACCCCGCGTACGAAAATGATCATCGTCAACACACCGCACAATCCTGTTGGAAAGGTCTTCACCAGGGCAGAATTAGAAATGATTGCCTCCCTTGCTAAGGAACACAATTTGTTGGTCATGGCAGATGAAGTGGTATGTGTTTGTGCGCTTCTATTCTTTGATAAATTCGGTAAACCATCAAATCTAGTACGACACTCTTGTGTTCGATGGAAAAGAACATGTCCGGATTGCAACTCTTCCAGGGATGTGGGACCGCACTGTAACGGTTGGGTCTGCAGGAAGTACGTCTCCAAATGATGCCGCGCTTTTTTCCCTATTTCCTCACTAGCACTTACTTGTAGAAAGCTTCGCTGCGACTGGCTGGCGTGTCGGTTGGCTTATCGGTCCAGAATATATCATCAGGCCGACGCTGGCAGCCTCGACGCGTATCGTCTTCTGCTCCAACTCTCCGTTACAAGAAGCCGCTGCTGCAGGGCTTGAACAAGTGCAAGAACGCAAATTCTTTCAGACTCAGACGGCAGAATATGCCGAACGACGAAAAGTCTTGACGGATTGCTTTGATACACTTGGGCTTCCGTACACCAATCCGGAAGGGAGTTACTTCATTCTTCTGGTGAGTTTTTACAGTTCTTACGCTGTCCTTATCTCAGGCGGTACTCTACAACTATCTAGGATATTTCTAGGGTAAAATTTCCTGATGACTATGCCTTCCCTCAGAGTGTTCTTGGAAGAGGTCGAGACTTCAAGTAAGTCTAGTGTCAGGTTGAATCGTTACAATACACTCAATATCTTATCTTTTTACAGAGCTTGTTGGTTCATCGCTCTCGAAGTTGGTGTTTCATCCATCCCAGTTAGTGAGGTGCGTTCCATTTTTTGCTGCCCTAACTTCACCTGTTGTGCTCAAGTCTCTTTGATGGTTTAGTTCTACTGCATAGAGCACGCCAACATAGGGGAGGTGTATGCCCGCTTCTCGTTTTGCAAAGATGTTGATACCCTCAGGCATGCTTCCGAACGTCTTCAAAACCTCAAGCAATACATTGTTTAGAATATTTGTTGCTTTCAGTGGTACATACATAGACAGTGCTTGTCGTGAGCGATCTTGTACATATATGACTCAGTAATCGCATATTAGCGAAACCACGAGCATCAGGTTCACAAAAAATCCTTGCGAAATCAAATGAGATTGCTAACCAAGAAAATAGTGTAATGTAGATGGTTCTATATATTTATGGCACATCGTTACGAATCGTGAACCGTCGTACCCCCAGTCGCGCCCGGCGTCGTTCGCATATCAATCAATGACTTTCGTTATTTCACCTGTCCATTCACCTCGTTCCGACGCGCTGGGAAGCGGAGACCATCCTCCTGCTTCAGACAAATCACTTCCACCTACATCTGATTCGGGAGCGATGGATGCAGGTGCAGACATAGGTGGGGCAGACATTATTGGTAGAGGAAGATTAGGCCGCGTATGAGATAATAACCCGAACTTTTTGCCAATGATATCCTGGAGTCCTTCTTGAATTCCGACATTATCATGGTTCCCTTCGAGCATCTTCACGAAAATCACTTCCCTGTCCCACGGAGCACCTCCACCGGGACGTCCAGCGGCCCAATATTCTGCACCCCTCACTGGTTCTCCGTTAACCAGACTTTCTCCTCCTCGGTCGACGAATTCTTCCATGACACCAAAGTTCGGTAGACGGGTGGTGGTAACGAGGTTTTCGCGTTGAGTCTTTCGAGCAGCTATTTGTGCGGTGAAGGCGGACCAGTCTTCTTTCGTTGTTGAGACAGGATCGGAGGGGATATCGACATTTGGTAATAAAGGCTCGAGGAAGGCGTTGAATAGGACTTCGGAGTGGGTGTATGGAATGTCCCAGTCATTTTCTGTACGACCGTGATGTGTTAGAAATCGGTAAGTTCAGAATAGACGGGATTTGACAATTACCTGCGTGTGCTATGAGGACTTTGCCCTTGATTTGCTGTGATTGAAGGAGGACATCAATAGAGTACAAAAAGCGACCAGATAGCATAATCAACGCACGGGTACGACACTCAGTGTGTCGAATTTGTGGATCAAGGCCCAGGTGATGAAATCTAGAATCCCCCATTCTGATTGAGAACATACTCTGTCGTGAGGGATAAAAACGGGGACTTACTGAACGCGTAAGGAATCATGGTCAATGGCTTCACCAGCGGTAAAGCGCCCATTACACTATACGTCTTGACCAGCTCCGTGATACTTGAGAACGGACTCAAGAGCACAATTCCTCTATACGCTAATTCCTCCTTCGACAACTGCGCAGCGAGCCTTGCGCCGACACCAGTACCAAGGCTGTGACCCATGATGATGATATCTTCCCCTTTCGCACCAGAGTTGATTAACCATTCATATGCGGCTCTAGCATCCCGAACGAGACCTTCCTCGCTGGGTGACCCAGTACTGTCTGCGAACCCACGATAATCGACAGCGAGGACGTTCGCGTTCAAACGAGACGAAAATGCGGTGTAGTGTTGAATACGGACTTTGAATGCGCGAGTGGCGGCATTACCATGGAAGAACAGGATTGTAGGACGGGCTCGAAGAGCATGTGCGATGTGAGATTTGGGCATTACATTGTGTGAGGGAAGAGCTTGGTAAACAGATTCTGAGAGAATGAACCACGCTCCTAATGTTTCGTTATCGACTGTTTGGATTTTGAAGTTGTACGTTTTATTTACTATGTATACGGAAGCATTTCATCATAAAATGATTCCGACAGCGCAAGGAATGAGTAACTCACATGCAAGTCCATATCTTTCTGGGGCATCAAAGTCTGCAAACCAAGGCAGACGAACGGCATTTAAATATAAAGTACTGTGATATACAGCAAGGTAAACTCGCGATTTGGAGGGAAAAGAATGAAAGACGCAACTGGCTTTGGAAGTATGGAACAGCAATGAGGCCTAATGCTAGAGCATATAAGCCTCCTGCAATCGTGAGGGCCGTTCTGGCTTTCGTCAATATTCCTGACCCAGCAATATCGGTAGACATGATCAAAGTAGAAGTTGAACCAAGGTCCCGGCACGCGCCGCTTTCGGGGACCGGTCACATGGCGACGCGTCTGGGTTATGACCTCATAACGACGGTCACAGACGCGCGCTTTTTTTTGCCTTTGGCTTTTCCCCCACACTGATATACTATTAGTACTAATTACTTCTCTTCGGCTTCTTTGGCTTTTCTCTGAAAATGTCAGAGACTCAGCCTCTTCTTTCGCCGTAAGTTCTGCACTCCATGTTCCTATTTCTATCATTCTTACGAAGAAAATATTTACAAAGACAAGAGGTTGATGCAACACCAGTGTATCCAATTATTCACAGTATTCGTTCCGTGAGTTTGATTTCATATCTAATATCTTTTCATTATCCTGATCAATGTAACAGGATATCATAGTGCGTCTCGATTTCATCTCAAACAGTTATTTTTTGACGGGGCTGGGAGTTAGCATTTCATCGGTGAGTGCTCTGCCCTAACTACTCAAGTAGCGGAATTAATACCTCTTGTAGACACCCCGCTTTCATACGATGCAGTATGTTTTTCCTTTCGTCCTTTAGACATTTCCCAAACATTCTTGCACTAGCTCACTGCTCCCGACCTGACTTACACCCTCATTCGTCCACTGGTGGAGAAATACGGCGCAATGCAGCGAGACGGGAACATGTCCGTTGTCTTTTGCTTCCTACTCAACCGAGTATACTTTTCTCGTGATCAAAACATGGCTACCTCTCCTGTATCTCGAACCCGCGCAGAACTTTGTGAAATCCTGGCAATACGCACATTGCGGGAGTACGGCAACAATCTGTTGGAGCTCGCCGTGGTCTTGACGACGAGTTGGATGGTGTATAGCGGTGCGGACGAGACTGTGATGCAAATGGCTCGCGAGGAGAGGGAAGATCTGGAAGAAAGGGTTGGGAATGCTATCGAAATGGCGATTCTAGGAAGGTCGAAGAGGTTTATAAAAAGTTCTTCTTGTCAGAAGGTCATTGATGGGATTTGGTCGTGCGTACTCACATCATGGTTTCTCTTATCACTCTCGTCGTTCAATGCCGTATTTCCGTTCAGAGGAAAGTGTGTGTATCAAGCCGAAAGCAGTCACTCGATCCTATCAGATGCAAGTGTCATTCGCCATCGAGAGTCTTCTACTATCACTTCATCTTCTAGTAGACCTATAAACGGAACCCAATCCACTTCTATGACCCTCACAAAGCCCCTTTATTGGATCATTATCGGTTGGTCGGGCAGCTCTTGCAGATAACTGGTCCTGGCTGAACGTCCGTTGATAACAGTCTCAAGGTACCTTTCATTCGGTCGGTTTTGGAATACACCAAGTACGTGATTCAAGACGAAAAGAGACCTACAGTCCAAAAAGCTAACTGTTCTCGTTAGCTTCTTGATTCTTTTCGTGCTCTTTATCCTCGCTATCGAATGGAACACCCGAGACGAGTTGAATGCTCCCGAGGTAATCTTCATGGTATATGCTCTTGGATTCTGTCTCGAAAAGGTTGCTGCAATGCAAGAACATGGTATACAAGGTGCGTATACCCATGTCTGGTGATTCTCTGAGCATCATTTCGAATTGTCGGCGTATAGTGTACTTTAAGGGTACTTGGGTAAGCTATCTACCTTTGCGAAGGAGATAGAACTGACCTACCTCTTATAGAATGGCTTCGATCTCGCTTTTGGTAAACTCTTAATTCCATCTAAAATGTCCAGTTAGGTGATCAAACTCGGTTTCAGTAACGACCTTTATGCTTTATGCTATCCTCAGGCTTTATGGAGTATTTCACCATAGTTTGTCGTCCCGTTTTGGTTTCTTTCGGAACAGTCAATCGACAGTCTAAGTATAGGTCTTTGGGCGCGTTCTACCGGTATAGACTGTCTTGCTCTCATCGCTTGCTTGATGTTTCCGAGGTTAGCACTTTCGAGCTAACATTATCATACATTGATGGTGATTGACTTTGTATCAGACTGGCATTTGTCACGCTTCGCAATAATCTAATGGTCCTTTCATTGAGAGCTATGATTACGCAATTCGTTGTGCTCATGCTGATCGCTGCGTTCTGCTTTTGTGGTTTTCTGTATGCTCTTTGGACGTGCGTCAAGCTATATTCAATGAACACAGTTCCTAACTGAATTTACACCTCTTTTCTTGGTTCTCATCATGTAGGTTAAGCCGCAATGAAGCACAGTATGTCATGCCACGCTCTTAGATAATATGATTAGCGGTGTTCTCAATAACTAGACCATCTTCAGATACAGTGCTGGGTACGTCTGCCTTTTCGATACACAACAGCTTATCACTAATCAACACAAAGGACCATTGCTTGGTGGATGCTTGACCTTTGGTTCGGATTAGATGCCAGTGGTTTTGAACGGTCGAGTAAGTTGCTTTTCCTTGATTAATACGGTTCTGTCCAAAACATAATCTATATTTCCAGCTCAATTTCATCAAGTTTTCGGGCCAGTGCTTATGGTCACATACGCTATGCTCAGTAATACTCTCCTGCTGACTGGTATGTGGTTCTCAAAAAGATTATGGCGCTCATTGTTTACAATATCCTGTTCAGTCCTCGTGTCTGTGAGTTCCTTGTCGATTGAATAAGCTATACCGTATCCTCAATTTTTTTTTTTGCTAGATTCTTTCCAACACTTTCGCGACAATAAACGAAGACGCCGCTGCGGAGGTGAGTGTCCTCATCTCCATTCATGGAATTACTGTTGATTTCACGTCCTTAACGCCAGGCCATGTTCAGAAAAGCCGTGTCCACGATTGAAGGCGTAAAAGCAGACTCCTTGTTCTCTTACCAGCCTCCGATAAACCTGGTTGCGTTATGCTTCATGCTTCCGCTAAGTTATATCCTCACCCCTAGGTGGTTCCATAAGGTCTATTTACTGAAAATTTTCTGTATTCAACACTCATCGGTGTCGCTCGTGTAGGTCAACGTATTCATGATCAGAATCATGAACCTTCCTGCGCTCCTGGTTATTGCACTGTATGAACGGCAGGCTAAACATAACGGGACTACAGGATTCTATGAGACCTTGATAGTGGTCACAGAGAGGGCGTATGATTCACTTCCGAGGCAATTAAAAAGACTGTGTGAGTTTAACCTGCTTTTTCCTTGTGTTATAGAATCTGATGGTTGTTACAGCTATTTTTGAAGGATTGGCTGGATCTGATAGTGATATTGATGCAGTAAGAGTTGACAATGTGCAAAAAATAGCAGATGTCCTCATTTTTCCTTAGATCTTCGAAATCGAGGAAGAAGTAGATACTAGTGCGTTGGATACTAGGGATGATGTTGAACTTGGTCCGAGTGACAAACCACCTCTATCACCATCTGTATCAACATCATCAAAACCGAACAGCCCCCCACCTTCTCCAAGCAAACGGCGGACATCCAATTCTTCCAATCGTCGCACATCCAATTCCCTTCAACAACGAAGAACCTCGAACTCCTCCCAAAATAGACTGTTTGCGAATCAAACTCATCTTACTCCTGGTGGTGGTCCTTCTTCATCTTCACAAGATCAATTAGGAGGAAGTCAACCGCATCCTATACCTCCACGAACTCGAGTCAACTCAATTATGAGTCGAGGTATGGAGGCCGCGCAAAGTTTCACCAGTCCCTTAGCACAGATATATCAGCCTTTGGTCGTTGATGACGATCTCCCTCTTGCGAGTGATGAGTCCCTAGACCAGGTTCCCTCGGTACCACAGGGTGGTGCTCCGCTGATTAGCTACGGGCCGACAACACGAAGACGACTGTCGTCTATGCAGGGAGCTCATCGGCGTAATACAAGCGATGTTGGGCTTCTTCGTCAAAGCAATAATAACTTGGGTACACCGAATCGACATCTTCAGCATGTGCAACAACAGCAACAGCGGTCTCAGCAGAATTTTCCTTCGATGCAGGAAGTTATGAGTGGTGCAGATGGCGTTATCTCGGAGAGCCCACCTGGGCAGAGCCCGTCTAGTCGTGGGGGCTTGGATATACCTACGGCCGGACAGATTCAGGAGGAGGAGGGGAGTGCAGGTGGTGCTTCGCAGTGGTCAGAGAGGTTGGCGAAGTTGGAGGAAAGACAGGAAAGGATTGAAAATTTGTTGGAGGGCATTGCGAGGGATTTGAGGGACAGAGGGAAAGTGTAGCTTAGTATGTGTTGGATGGATAGAACATGCATTGAATATACACGTTTATGAGGTATGCTCTTTTTCACCTGCATTGAAGCAGGATTTCCGTTCTATTTCTAATTATAGATCTTTTCCCCCCAAAGTATATGCATTTAGCTTCTCCCAACATCTTTTTTTTCGTGGAATTCATGTCCTCATATTCACCATCATGATTCTGATGAGTACGCTGTTGGAACGCGAGGAAGTTATTCGTTGGGTCATTTCTATGGAAGGCATTGAACAGTTACATCAGAGTCAATGTGTGTTTCTTTGCTTGTATCAGGACTACCGATGAATTGACATGCATTATATTCTACTTGGAAGCTTCAATCTTGACTAAGATAGATAGATAGATTGTGTGATACCACGAACCGCTCCGCAGAAAAACCACTATTGATTACTTAAGATGCGGTCCCATAGGGAAGTTAATATATAATGAGAACGGAGTCAACGCTGTTTCCCTGCAGCCTCAATTTCTTCATCCCAACGCCTCATGTCTTCCCCTACTGTTTCTGAAAACGAGATAGCAGACCAGATTGGTTTTTCAGCGTATTTTGACGTTGTTTACATCCTAGGAGCGAGCCTCTTCTATGGCACGTGGTATATCAATGTGATTGATGATACTAGTACCTATGACTTGTGTTTCTTATATTGGCAGGTCTCTCTTTACCTGTTTTCGCACTTTCGATCAATGTCTTAAGGTGTGTGTTTGAGTTTGCATAAACATACATATGTGCTCCATCTCATAACTTAACAATCATTGTTCTTACTTCAAACCGTAGACAAAGAGCATGCAACTCCAAACCTGTCCGATTCCTTTTAATCCTCACATGTCTCACTCTGTTCTCCGTTACCGGGCAATTCATCACCAATGTCGGGGAGACCCTCACCGGGTTGTCTTGGTCTCAATCTCCTAGTGATAGTATCTCATATCTTGATCGAATGGCTAGCGCATCCGCGAGGGCAGAGCCCTATGGGATCGCTTCCCTGATTTTTCAGGTTATCAATGTAAGTAAACCTTGTTGGAGAATTGATACTCTGAAGTGATGAATCATTGAGTTTGCTGATATTCGAAATCTGGATACCTTTTTGATTGTTTTCTAGTTCTTTGCCGGGGATGTGATTGTCGTGTGGCGCGCCTCTGTTCTTTGGTCCCATTCGAGAGCTGTGCGGTATACGTTGTGTGTACTGTTAGCTGGAAGTGCAGGTCAGTTGACATACTGAGTTTACCACAGACTACTCCTTCATACTACTACCTATGTTGACCTCCTGGTCTCCAATCCCCTCCAAATCCTCCTGCGATCTTCTGGCATACAATAATCATTGACTGGGAATATTATTTGCAATCTCAGCTGCATCAATATACGATGTGACAAATTTCTCCATCATCCTCACAAGCAACAAGGGAGCAAGCGGAAATGGATTCTTGAAGGGCGATGCTTCAAGTATGTTTGTCTCATTAGCTGTGAATCTCGCGGCGACGAGCTGTATTATGAGTAAAGCTTGGTATGTCAGGGAAACTTGATCTTTTCACTTTTCCCATTGAGTTTTCATTGTCCTTGACACATTTTTGATGCTAATCATACTAAACACTTGTAATAACTTGCATGTTAGGCTCTTCCGACAGTCGATCAAGAAAACAATGTCTCGAGATCAAGTGAACAAGAATGTGTCATTCAAAATTTTGCTTTCCCTTGTTGAGTGTGGTTTATTTTACTGTGCAGTTCAGGTGGGGTTTTTATTACTTGATGGATGAAATAGTCCAACGTAGTTTTGACGCTCACTCATGAATGTCTGGGTTACCTAGGCAGCAAATGGAACGTTGACTGTAGACGACAATGCACCTTCAGTACTCGGTCGTGCAATTGTGGCCCAGTTTACATCCTTTTTTGCAGTGAGCTTCTTCCCCTACCTCGCCACTTTTTTCTTTTCAATGTCGATCCGGTACCGTACCTCATCTTTACACATAGGGAACACACTCAGCACTCGTAATCTCAATTATTGCTTCCCAAAAATCCATTTTGGAAATCTCTTCGGCAGTGGTTGGAAGCCATAGAGAGCCTTTAATGCAAGATGTTGAGAAAGGAGTTGGAGCCTTGCCGAAGCGTAGTACAATCTGGTTTGCACCTGGACAATTTGTATCCGGCGAGTCGGAGCAGTCGGCATCTGGGGATTATGGGAATGGGTTCTTCACCACAATGTCAGCATCTAGTAGTGAACTTGAGCAGGAGGATCGAAGCTACAAGGTGGTGACAAACTAGAAAGGGACTCAGAGGACTACCGCTCTGGTTATTTTATTTGTGTAAGATCCTTCCTTGCTGCTATTTATTGGCAACTTGAGTATTCTGTCATTCATGTATCCCTGATCCATACCACCAAAAGACGTGCTGAGAATTGAAAGAAACCAAGGGTGAGAACTTTGCTTGTATCATTCCAGTCAAGTCAGTACCGATATCCACAGTGCTAGCATGGCTCTCACAGATAAGGAATGGGAAATTGCCATTGAGGAAAAGATTTCCCAACTCAAGAACACTGATAACAATGGTACAGTAGCAGCACACACTGGTGGTACCCAGACCAAGTTCATAACCATAACACACCCATTGGATCCTTTATTCCCTTCGACTATTGATCATACTCTATTGAAACCGGATGCTACTTCAGCACAGATTGATGTTTTGTGCTATGAGGCGATAAGCTATGGGTTCAAGGTAAGGCTTTATTTTGCATCTGCGTGTGTACACAGTGTATGTGGGCAAAGTCTAGTCATGCTGCATGAACGGAGTCCACATTAAACAAGTTGCTGAACGATTACGCGGATCCAAATCTATTCCATGTGCAGTGATTGGGTTTCCCCTCGGGGAAAATACTACGGCTGTAAAAATGTTGTGAGTTCAACACTATGATAATAACACCTCACACTCAATATCGATCTTACCTACTTACTACAAAGCGAAGCCCAAGACACCATCTTCAATGGCGCGCGCGAAATCGATATGGTAATAAATATTGGCGCACTCAAATACCAATCTTACACCACTGTTTTTGATGATATTTGTGCTGTTGCTGAAGCATGCCACGTCTACCAGCCTCAGCTCCATCAACACGATCTACAATCCTCCAAGTTGTCCCTCACCCAACCAGGTGAAGAAGCTATGAGAAAAGTTAACCTAAAAGTCATCCTGGAAACTATATTTCTCTCCGACTCCGAAAAAAATTGCTGGAGCATTCATCGCTGCTGAAGCTGGTGCAGATTTTGTCAAGACGTGTACTGGGTTTGGCAGGGGAGGAGCGACAATGGAGGATGTGGGGCTTTTGTATTGGGCTGTGGAATATACTTCTGGGAGGAATGATGGGAAGGGTGATAAAGTTGAAGTGAAAAGATGGGAGTATCAACATCAACATTGGCAGTGGTTGAGGTGTTGAAGAACTCAACCTTGGCATCCCATGTGTTGTTTCTACTCTTGTTCAACCTGTTGCACCTCCACCTAATAGCAGCTATATTTAATTAGCTACTTCCTCTGTGAAAAAACTGAGATATTACTTGTTTGAATTGATGACGACATCATACTAGACTGTCCTGATTGACTCATGTCAATTTGACAACAATCCCCAAGCTAAATAAATAAATAATTGAATCAGGTATTGTGGGAAGGATGAAAGAACCATGAATCAAATAAATATACATATTTCAAAGCGCAAGAAAAATTTCAATATTTTGTTGAAACAAATGGTAAACATTCAAGTTCAGAAGCCTTCCTTATGCTCTGGAGGCTGCACAATCACCAGCTTGAATATATATGACATGATCATATTCAGTCAGCCTTTCAGGCTCACCAGACCTGTCATGTTGCCCACCAATAGCTTCTATTTCTACTCTCTCTTCTTCTTCTTCCTCATTGAAAGATTCTCCATCTAATGGAGCTCCAATATTCCCCAACATCTGGTTGGAAGCAAAGTTCAATGATGATACATGGGTCTGTTGCCCTTGTGATATTGTAGAGTTTCCAGGTTCAGAATATGTGTGCAAGTTGAGCATCAGGCGGCTGATGAGAAGGTTGGGCAATCTGGGAAATGAATTAGAAAGAATATGACCACCAATGAAAGATTGATTCACATATCAAAGAATGGTGCAACAAAGTTTTCAAAATTCTGTTGTAAATGGAGAGTGTATTTTGCAATAATCCAGAACATTTTTGGATACAATGACGTACATTGGTATTTCCAGACTTCAATGATACCTTGAGGGATTCCATAAATATAATGCACTCAAAAACTTTTAGAAAATTTTGAAAACTGACCACACTGAAGATAGCAAGAATAATAGCCACTACAAGCATGAGTCTTAAAATACTCAATATCAGTTATATTTCTCGGTTCAAATAATGGAATAGAACATACAGGAAATACAAAGTCCCTATTAGAAATCTTGAGCATCATTCTCAGAACAATATATACAAGAATTACCATCACGGATGATTATTTGTGTAATACTAGACTGATTGAGCCTTTGCATTTCCAGTGAATGTTGCACAGTCTTTATAGCAGTTAGAATGAAGATGAAAATGTCATATCCCAATGCCAACAGTGGAATAGCCAGTTCAACTAGAAAAATTAACAATTAGAATATCGTTGCATGTCCATGGTTATTTCACACTTCTAGAAGATGTGAAATCAAATATTTGTAAAAGATCTAAGAAACTGGTGCTTACTGACTGTATTGATCTAAATTATTAATGCCAAGCCCACACCTTGAGAGGTTTTGAAATGGTGATCCAATTGTGGAAACACCAACTTCTAGTACTGTGCTCTATGCACAAAATGGGTCACTGGACAATGAAATACAAGCAGCCAATCCCTGCTGACTCAGTAATAATGACACTTACCACTACATCAAGTGCAAATCTTGAAATGATGAATGCAGAAGCTATTCCCAAAATCACTTTATTTCTACTATATATTGCATAAACCCTCAGGGCAAAAAGAACTTATACAGGTGAGTGGAGGTCATTGAGGTAAGATTGACGACACACCATTGGCTGCAACTATGGACAAAATTGCAAAAATTGAAAATATCGTATTTAATGCTTGGCACCTTTTGTTATATTAGTACCGGAACAACATGTATTAGAAAAGTCATAACTTACTGTTTATCTGTTCCATTTCCAGGAAAAGCAGATATTGCTTGAATTATAAGATTCAAGAGCAACATGTATCTGTTCACCAGGAACAGTACTGAAATTCCAGTTAATTTTCTTTTCCATATTGAGCTAAATTCTCTGGGCCATGTCTCAATATGGTCTGCAACACATAGTGCTAAAAGAAATATAATCAAGGGTGTAGTTGAAACACAAGATAAATTGCTCACTAATAACAGCAGCCTCAGCATAATTGCTCAACAACCTTGTTCCAAAGAATCAAAGTCGAATAATGTGAAGAAAAAACTATGAGTACAGACTATCAATAGGTATCATGCAATTTATTTACCAAGATTCAATTTGGAAAAGAATATCATCCATCGTGGCAATATTTGGAAAATCCAGGAAGTTAATCCAAAGTGATAGATAATGCAGAGAGTTGAAACAGTGTCTGTGTGATATTGGTAAATGTGGTAAAAGAGTTATTGTGTTGTTCAGTCTCCAAATGCCCTGCTTTTATAAGTGTGGATTACAACAGTTCAGGTCGGTCAAGTTGAAACTGCAGTTGTGTGAGTACTTCCAGAATTGCAATGGCAACTCAGTTCCCAAGTCCAGGAATTCTAAATCTCAAATGAGATATAACCCAACAGGAGTTGCTGTAAAATGCTGTTGTGAGTTGAGACTCCTTCTCAGCTCCAGGGGCGGGATTAATTCCTCTGGCAGTCCCCTCCTACATTAGTATAAGCACGACCACACTGCCTGGGAGGGGGTGGTGGAGCTTTTAGAGGATGTCCTCCCAAGTGAGAACTCGAGCATATATATACATGATCTCTTCAGCGTATACATAGGTTGTCCCCATCCATTCCATCCATGGAATGTCTTTCCGGAATCCCAAGTCGAAGTTGAAAAGTCAAAAATTAAAGATTGAAAAGGCTTTCCTTACACTTAGTCTTGATTGTTTTTCCCGGGATATGACGTTTATTCCGGATCTCTCGATGTTTATCCAAATCTCTCGCTGGGTTCGTCATTGAAGTCTGGATCATCCCATGGGCAGGATTCATGGAATGGATACAGAAGGATGTTTAGAGGATGTTCAGAGAATGTATCGGAGGAGGAGGAAGAAGAGCTGTTGTATTGTCCCTAGAATAATCAAACCCTACAATCACCTCCTCGACCTCCACTTACTCGTCTCCCTCCTCAACCTCCTCCCTGCCCTCTCCCTCTCAACCTCCCTCCGCTCGACCTCCTCGGGACTCAACACCTCCCAACGCGTCGCATACTCCTCCGCCTCCGCCCAATCCCTCCACGCGCTCCGTAGGGGCTTCGGGTACCGCCCGTCTCGTTCTCGCGCTGGGCGTCCGAGAGATCCTAAACCCAGCCCTGTTCGGTCTTTGACTGTTCCTTCCGAGTCACCAACGCTACCACCTATACCCGAGTTCGAGTTGTTGGAGTTCAACGGAGGGTGGGCACCGAGAACACCCCAATCAACGACGTCGCGTCTGTGACGACACAGTTCCTCGTGTACCGCATGTGCGATGAGAGGGATGGCTTCCCCGGATAGGCCGAGGTCGGCACAGAGTTGGAGAGAGAAGGCTTCGGGGGTGAGAGGGGAGAGGAGGTCCCATTCGATGTGGTCTGTTAGGTGGTGGGTGGAGATTTGGACGTCGAGGGAGAGGATGACGCGGCATTCGGTGTTTTGGGTGAGTGAGTTTTGGTGTTGGTCGAGGTCTTCTTCTTCGTCGTCGTCGTCGTGGTCTTCAACAAGCACAGACAAGGAATCCATCCACCCAACCCACGCCTCCCCTCTCGCATCCTCCACCTGTGCCCTAATCTGCCTCGCCACGATCTCCCCATACGGATCCACCCCGATATCCAAGTCCCTACAAAATTGCGCGGCGAATACCTCTGGTGTTATCCCCGACGACGATGGCTCGTGGAGGTTCCACAAAAATACATCCCGGATGCGTAATCCGAGCTCTGGGACGTCGAATTCGAGCCGGACAGGGATGAGGATTGGATTTGGGTTTGGGTTCCGGAGAGAGGGAAGGGGCAAGGGAGAAAGGTAGTTTGGACCGTAATCTAAACTGAACATCGGACCGCCCTGCGCCGTCGCAGCGTTCGATAAAAATCCCCTTGACTTGATGAACCTCGACGGAGGAACTTGACCCAGATAACTCTGATCTAAATCCGAGCTATCCACCCTCGCTTGTTGTTGTTGTTTACTCGGTCTCCCGACTCTCCTCCCACTCCCACCGACGAAGTCCCCATCGGTTACATCGTCATCGAGTGCACCAGCGTCGGGGATATGATCTCCGTCTTTTTTGGCATCGTCACCGTCACCATCGTCGTCGTCCACCTCGTCGTCCACCTCAGCGTAGTTGATCACTGTCCCTCGAGATCGACGGGATGCGCGCGTGGGACGCGTTGTTGTTCCCAGGGTGGATGAAGACGATGTGGACGCGAGAGGAAAGGAAGTTGAATTTGCTGCTGGTGCGGCGCCGGTCGTTGTGGAACCTGGAAATAGAGTCGGTTGAACGATGAGCGTAGCGCCTGTTCGGAGTCGGGAAGAATAGGATGTGAAATACGCTTGAGCGGAGGAGGATATCGGGGTTCCTACTACGGGTGCGACTGGAGCTACCGCGGGTGGTTGGGGTTGGGGGATTTGGTAGTGTTGATATCGTGTTTGATTTTGAGTTTGAGTTTGTTGCATTTGCGTCTGCGTTTGCGGTTGTTGCTGCCCCTGCGGATACTGCGGCACATACGACGGCGGTGCCAACATCAACATCGGTGGTGGTTGTGGCGTAGACGAGCTCGATCCTCGCGTTGCACGCGTTGTTGCTCCTGCTGTTGGTCTACCACTCAATGGCAGCTGCATACAATCCATCTAATAAGCTACTTCTGAGAGGAAAAGACTCGGATACTCACCTGAGATATAACATGCCGAAACTGGTCATCCGACATTGTGCTGAACTGGCCAGTTTTACTCATCGCGATTCGACGGTCGACGACGACGGTGAAGGTACGTTGAAGAGCGAAAACAAACGCGTTAGTCACACGTTATCGTGTCACATTATTTGTTACTGATCACACGCTCGTTTCGATGCTCTCCCGCCCTCAGTTCCACTTTACATTATGATTGGATGTGACTAGCACAGGGAGAACGCTCAACTCGAATACACCCTGGATACGCGTTCTAAAACGGAACGACGACGACGACTCTTCATTTCAACAGCAATAACCCGTTTATCTCTCCTTAACCACGCCTCTCCCTTTACTCAAACCTCCAACATCCAACCTCCACTTCCCCAACACCATCTTCCCTTAGCATATCCAACACCCGCTCTCGCACCATGTATCAAAGAACAACCCAAGCCAGTCCAGTCCAGACTCCAAACCACCCCGTCATCTCTATCTCCCGACTCCTCATCGATATCAGGCATTACATCTATCCCAAGCCTTCGCCACCACCGCTTCGTGTTCAACGTCAACGCCAACGAGCTACATAATAGTCACGACCCGAAGCATAACTGTGAAGATGGATATAAAGGGATGGATGGATCTAGGGAAGATGGAGAGCCGCAATAACGTCGAGGAGCTCAGATCGTAATAAGAGCGGGACGATGTCGGTGGCTTCGATACCCATAGAAGGCGCGGAGGACAGTAGTTGCAAGGAGGACAGGAAGATTGTTATATATACACACGTGCCTATACGATATTTCGCTTGACGAGTGCGAAGATGGATGGATGGATCCATCCATTGAGAGAAGGTAAACGAGCCGCAAATGCGACGACAGTGGGGAGATCATGTAACCACGTCAAGAGCCGCAATAATATCGCGGAGCTCAGAGCGCAATGAGAGCGGGGACGATGTCGGCGGTTTCGATGGCTATAGAAGGCGCGGAGGGAAAGGGTGATTACGGTAGTAGGACGGTAGCGCTGTAGCTTCGAGGAGAACAGGAGAATCGGTGAATAGGTGATACCATCCATCTCTAAACCCTTACCTACGTAGAGAAAGAGAGTTCGAGGCAACGAAATCAGGAGAAAGCGAAGGTACCATTGCATCTCCGTGTTCGTCGTATTTCCCTTCTCCCTTCCGCGTCATCCTAGACCACACATCCCAAACGACTTATATCGCGATCGCGATCGCAATAGCCAATCGTAGCCTTTCCCATCCCCAGCACCAGTCTTCATCATGTTCAATCATTCACCTCGACACCTATATTCCCCATTCTGCAATCTCCGTACCCTGCCACACTTATATCCTACAACGCCCATAGCCTGCAATACCCATAGCCTGCGATCCCTATATCCTACAACACCTACCTCGGTACTTCAGCGAGCTTGGTCTCTTAGCTTTCGAACCGCCGCTAGGGTAAGGAGGGAGGAATTGAGAGACAGAGGCGCTGTGGGCCGTTGGAGAACCCAGCTGGGTTGATGAAAATTGTGTAACATGTTTTCGATGAGTAGAACGTGGAACATAGAACGTATTTCCAGCCAGCGCCAGTGATGAGTAAGTACTCCAATAGCCTCAACACCGGCACCAAATGACGCTCTCGAATGCCTCGATGTCAACGGCGTCTTCCTTCAACATGGCTACCTCTCTTGTATCTCAAACCCGCGCGGAACTTTGTGAAATCCTGGCAATTCGCACTTTGTGGGAATACGGAAACAATCTGTTGGAGCTCGCCGTGGTCTTGACGACGAATTGGATGGTGTATAGCGGTGCAGACGAGACTGTGATGCAAATGGCTCGCGAGGAGAGGGAAGATTTGGAAGAAAGGGTTGGGAATGCTATCGAAATGGCGATTCTAGGAAGGTCGAAGAGGTTTATAAAAAGTTCTTCTTGTCAGAAGGTCATTGATGGGATTTGGTCGTGCGTACTCACATCATGGTTTCTCTCATCACTCGTCGTTCAATGCCGTATTTTTGCTTAGGGGAAAGTGTGTGTATCAAGCCGAAAGCAGTCACTCGATCCTATCAGATGCAAGTATCATTCGCCATCGAGAGTCTTCTACTATCACTTCATCTTCTAGTAGACCTATAAACGGAACCCAATCCACTTCTATGACCCTCACAAAGCCCCTTTATTGGATCATTATCGGTTGGTCAGGCGGCTCTTGCAGATAACTGGTCCTTACCAGCCTCCGATAAACTTGGTTGCGTTGTGTTTCCTGCTTCCGCTCAGTTATATCCTCACACCTAGGTGGTTCCATAAGGTCCGTTTACTGAAAATATTCTGTATTCAACACTCGTCGGTGTCGCTCGTGTAGGTCAACGTATTCATGATCAGAATCATGAACCTTCCTGCGCTCCTGATTATTGCACTGTATGAACGGCAGGCTAAACATAACGGGACTACAGGATTCTATGGGACCTTGATAGTGGTCACAGAGAGGGCGTATGATTCACTTCCGAGGCAATTAAAAAGACTGTGTGAGTTTAACCTGCTTTTTCCTTGTGTTATAGAATCTGATGGTTGTTACAGCTATTTTTGAAGGATTGGCTGGATCTGATAGTGATATTGATGCAGTAAGAGTTGACAATGTGCAAAAAATAGCAGATTTCCTCATTTTTCCTTAGATCTTCGAAATCGAGGAAGAACTAGATACTAGTGCGTTGGATACTAGGGATGATGTTGAACTTGGTCCGAGTGACAAACTACCTCTATCACCATCTGTTGTAGGATAACGAAGCCACGGCGCCGAATGTCTCGTCGTAGTCCATACCATAAACCTGTGTATATCCTTTCGCCACATATCTCGCCTTTCTCTTCAACAGTTCCCCTTGTGATCCCCACTTGGACGTGAATATCCACATTGCATCCATGAGGTTTGCCCCCCGAGGTAGTGGCACCAGCTCCCACACCTCTTTCTCCATTAACGCGTCGTATTCGGCTTGAGCTGGTGGACCCCAGAGGTCCCAGCGGAGCTTTGCCTCTTTGAAGTTCCTTGGTGTCCATCTCTCATCATGGGTCGATGCGAAAGCCCATGGTTCGTGGGCGACGAGCGCAAAGGCGGTATCGGGTTGATTCCATCCCATTTCCTTCCGGACAAGTTGGTCTACATTCATTGAGCCGCCAGTTCGCTCGCGTAAGACACGTGTTGATGCGGGAGCTGGAGGTTTAGTAGTGGGTATGGAGTCAGGAGGAGGAGATTGAGGAAGGGATTCTGGTTCAGAAGGTATAGGTGTAAGGGGAGATAACGGCGGAGAGAGAGAGGGAGGAGTTGATGTTGAGGGCGCTAAATCTAATTTGAGTGGCGCCCCGGATTTAATGACCTCGGCATCACCGTTTGATGGTTTAATGTCCTCGGCATCACCGTTGGAACCGAAAGAGATCTCGTCATCAGACCGAGTTCTCTTAGCTATTCCTTCCTCGAATTTGACATCCCTTGACTCAATAATAGTCTTCCACTCTGGCACCCAAATTCTGTAGCCCCGGCGGCCCATATATCCAAGCAAACGACCTTTAATCGCCTGACGCGCAAGTTTGCCATCTTTTCTGGTTTCTGGTAATGTTGCCCAGGCTTCACATCCGAAAGGCCGTAAGTGGGATACGTCCTGGCGTTTCTTGGTCCAACGTTCCATAGGGACAACATCAGGTGAACGAGCAGTAGGGACGAAGCTGTCGACGTATATGAAGGTACTTGCTGCTTCTGCCCAGAATGACGGTGATAATCCAGAATCTTCGAGTAGAGTTCTCGTACCCTCGATCACTGTCCTGTTTGCGCGTTCCGCCATACCATTAGCCGCCGAAGAGTAGGGGGTTATCTTCTCGATGATGATACCGTGCTCTTTGCAGTAGGACTGCATTAGATTGTTGTCAAATTCACCCCCACCGTCTATCCGAATGATTCGAAGGCGTTCCCCAGTCTGGTTCTCTGCCATAATGCGAAACTCATGGAAGTGTTTGAGTGTTGTCTCTGCCCGTTTGTTGGAGATGAAATATGGGACTCGGATGGAGGATGCGCCATCAGAGCAGAGCATCATATAGTTGGCCCCGCCTCGACTCTGAGTTCTGGAAGGTCCCCATAAGTCAATATGCACCCGTTCGAGTACTTTGGTCTCATGCATGAGTTTCTCGTCAAATGGGCGTCTCGTCGCTTTGCCATATAGACAAGGTTCGCACATTCCTCGTGTCTCTTTCGATGTTACTTGCAATCCGTCCACTAACTTTCGATGTGCCATTCTCAGGATTCTTGCGACTCTGACATGACCGAAGCGACGGTGCCAAGTATGTATATCGGTTGGTTTTTCGTGGGACCTGGCTGAGCTTGCATAGATTTTCCGGTCAACTCGGTACATTTTTGAGTTTCCGACTTGTGTCCCAACCATGACCACTTTACCAGAGGAAGTCCTTACAGTGAGTTTCCGCTCCCCCCATTCACCATTATATCCCTCTCTATCGAGTGTTGATACTGAGATTAGGTTGTGTGCAAATTCCGGGGTGTGTTTCACTCCTTTGAGTTTCACATTGCACTCCAGGCCGTCTACTAGGGTTGGGATATTCACATCACCAATTCCTGGTATCTGGAACTTGCCAGAATCACCCGCTATCGCGCTGTTTCCACTTTGTCCACTGACGGTCTCGTAATGGATGAAATCCGACCTTTTTACCCAGCAATGCTCTGACACCGCCGAATCGAGAAACGTCTCAGGCTCGGTTGGTTCAGGTGGAGAGTAGAGTGGCATATTACCATTGCAAACGGTGCACTCGATAGGATTCGATACAAGGGAATAAATAGGTACGTTATCGCTAGCACTAACACTCTCCCTTTTCTGACTCTCGCAATTTAGAACGGTAGTTCTTTCGGGTCTATTGGAGTCATTAGGGGATAGTGTTGTGAAGGTCGGATGGATGGACGTCCCCGGCTTAGCGGAAACATTGACATGGTTGGTGTGAATGTAGAGGTCAACAGGATCTGGATCGGTAAGGATCGCCGCGCTAGAGGCAGTAGTGGTTGAGCTGGATGCGGCGGTGCGATTTTCGTACTTGTCCTTCCAGCTCTTTGGGGCATTACCTTCTCCACCTCCACCTTTTGCCCAACAGTTCTCGATGGAGTGACCAAGCTTCCTAGGACAGGAAGGGTTGGTGCAGACTGGTCGATTTTGGCGCTGTACAGCGCTCGCGATGACAGGGTGTGCTGTGATGTGCTGGGCAACCAGCGCTGCTACTTTCTTCTGGATGCACTGGTCCTCATCATCAACTGGTTCCACCTTGTTGATGTAGAGGTGCTTGAGATAGGTGAAGGCCTCAGAGCTTGTGCGGCCAGGAATGTTCAATACGTTCTCCTTCCATTCTTTCGGCATGGATTTAATGACAATGAGGCGATACTGGAAGTCATCCACAGCACCACCCAAGTTACGGAGCCTCTTGAGAAGATTGTTCATCTTCTTTTCGTGGTCTTCCATGGTAGTCGTCATGGGGTCATACTTCTGTTCGCGGAGGGCAGTGTCGGCGAGAAGAATCAGCTCTTTATCACGACTCTCGTATTTGTTGATTAGGAATGCATAGGTGACATGCGCAAGGTTGTCTCGGTCGATACCGACCCCGATGGGATCAGTGCAATTGAGATAAATCATTGCGGCTACCAAGCGCTCGCGCTGGTTCCATTCTTCTGGGGATGGATGTAGACTGCTGGGGAATGAGGGAGTGATGGACGTATAGACATAGGTTGCTGGACTTGGTTTAGGGATGGTGCCATGGAGATAACCTTTGAGGCCCCTAAACTCAACGTTCAGCTCGACCCTATCTTTGAACGCCTTCCAAGTATCCTGTCCGGACAGCTGAGACGATTCCGGGAATGTAGGAAGGGTTGCTGTTTGGTTTCCGGTTGATGAAGACATAGTACGATTCTGGTTTTATCTATTTAGCTCGTTGGGACCAGTCTCATAATCTGTAGGATAACGAATACCTCAGTTGTAGTAGAGAACAACCTCAGTTGTAGTAGAGAACAACTGATATATTCAATAAATGAGGATCAGTATGGATAATTAACTTAAATATGAGTGTGACTTACCCTCAGTTGTAGTAGAGAACAACTGAGGGAAAGCTGCGAAATAGGAGCGTCTGAATAAGTACTCGATCGTAGAGTATGTAAGCAGTAACGAGTAGAAGAAAAAGTACGCATAGATAAATAAGTGGTGCGCATAGATAAATAAGTCAGAAAGGCTGGATGAGGACGGAGCGTACGGATTCTTCTCTAACATCTGTATCAACATCATCAAAACCGAACAGCCCCCCACCTTCTCCAAACAAACGGCGGACATCCAATTCTTCCAATCTTTGCACATCCAATTCCCTTCAACGACGAAGAACCTCGAACTCCTCCCAAAATAGACCGTTTGCGAATCAAACTCATCTTTCTCCTGGTGGTGGTCCTTCTTCATCTTCACAAGATCAATTAGGAGGAAGTCAACCGCATCCTTTACCTCCGCGAACTCGAGTCAACTCAATTATGAGTCGAGGTATGGAGGCCGCGCAAAGTTTCACCAGTCCCTTAGCACAGATATATCAGCCTTTGGTCGTTGATGATGATCTCCCTCTTGCGAGTGATGAGTCCCTAGGTCTAGACCAGGTTCCCTCGGTACCACAGGGTGGTGCTCCGCTGATTAGCTACGGGCCAACAACACGAAGACGGCTGTCGTCTATGCAGGGAGTTCATCGGCGTAATACAAGCAATGTTGGGCTTCTTCGTCAAAGCAATAATATTAGCAATAATAACTTGGGTACACCGAATCGACATCTTCAGCATGTGCAACAACAGCAACCGCGGTCTCAGCAGAACTTTCCTTCGATGCAGGAAGTCATGAGTGGTGCAGATGGTGTTATTTCGGAGAGCCCGTCTAGTCGTGGGGGCTTGGATATACCTACGGCCGGACAGATTCAGGAGGAGGAGGGGAGTGCAGGTGGTGCTTCGCAGTGGTCGGAGAGGTTGGCGAAGTTGGAGGAAAGACAGGAAAGGATTGAAAATTTGTTGGAGGGCATTGCAAAGGATTTGAGAGACAGAGGAAAAGTGTAGCTTAGTTTGTGTTGGAAGGATAGAACATGCATTGAATATACACGTTTATGAGGTATGCTCTTTTTCACCTGCATTGAAGCAGGATTTCCGTTCTATCTCTAATTATAGATCTTTTCCCCCAAAGTACATGCATTGAGCTTCTCCCAACATCTTTTTTTTTCGTGGAATTCATCTCCTCATATTCACCATCATGATTCTGATGAGTACGCTGTTGGAACGCGAGGAAGTTATTCGTTGGGTCATTTCTATGGAAGGCATTGAACAGTTACATCAGAGTCAATGTGTGTTTCTTTGCTTGTATCAGGACTACCATTGAATTGACATGCATTATATTCTACTCGGAAGCTTCAATCTTGACTAAGATAGATAGATAGATTGTGTGATACCACGAACCGCTCCGCAGAAAAATCACTATTGATTACTCGAGATGCAGTCCCATAGGGAAGTTAATATATAATGAGAACAGAGTCAACGCTGTTTCAAGTTCCCTGCAGCCTCACCTTCTTCATCCCAACGCCTCATGTCTTCCCCTACTGTTTCTCAAAACGAGATAGCAGACCAGATTGGTTTCTCAGCGTATTTCGACGTTGTCTACATCCTAGGGGCGAGCCTCTTCTATGGTACGTGGTATATCAATGGAATTGATGATACTACCTATGACTGTTGTTTCTTATATTGGCAGGTCTCTCTTTACCTGTTTTCGCACTTTCGATAAATGTTTTAAGGTGCGTGTTTGAGTTTGCATAAAGATACATATGTGCTCCATCTCATAACTCAACAATCATCGTTGCTTACTTCAAACTGTAGACAAAGAGCACCCAACTCCAAACCTGTCCGATTCCTTTTAATCCTCACATGTCTCACTCTGTTCTCTGTTAACGAGCTTGCCTCGTTTTTGTGTGAAAGAGAAAGGAAGGAATCTAATGTGCACTCCAACCAACCAATCTAATACACAATATGCGAGTTCACTGCTATTAAATTTATTTGGCAAAGGTTCCGCAAAGCTTTGAGAGCTAAGTAAGAAGCTTCGATCAATCAATTTGAATTGTTCTAAGGATTCGGTATATTCCTTTGATTAAGGTAGATTCAGCACGACTTGTGCTTTGATTGTATTGATATGGGTATATCAAGAATTGGGGGTTTGAATCAAAGTAAATTAAAACCGAAACACACAGACCCCTACAGAGGGCTAGAACTATGTGCTGGCACAACCACACAGCATGATTTGCCCTTAAGACCAACAACTGATCCTAAGTTCGAAAAATACCCAACAACTGGATATACTTCTTGCAGTCACAAGGAGCAGAACACAACATTCCTATACTCACAAGTGCCGGGCCCAAATGGCTGCTAGCGAAGAGGCTTCAGTCTGGCGGGAGTGTGTCTTTCCTTTTTACGGATTAGCACTGCAATGTCGTCCCAAAATCACTTGTATTCCAGATACATCAGATAGAGTTGCACAGTACAATTAATTTGATACAATAAATGTTCAGAACCGCAAGGAAACTTCTACAATCGGTCAGATACCATTTAATTTGATTCTTCATGTCCTTATTTGGTCCATAATGGTTCCAAGATCCTAGTTTACCTCCAAACATAGGTAGGTACTTCGATATTCATTTAATTTGATTGTTTTTGGAGAATGACTCAAATGGTGTTCAGCTGTCATTGCTGTTCAACACTTACTTCGATTGTTCGTCACCTCGTCCGGAGGCAAATCAGCTCTCCTCAATTCTAATCCTATCAATCTGATTCATCTTGATTAAACTAATTGCTTCTCTCTTTCAATAGACACCCATTGTGCCTATACTCTATCAAGGGAGTTAGTTATGCATAGTATTCATTTAATTGCTGTCATAAAGTACGCAGCCCCTATCATTTTCCTTTTCTCACTGTCTCGACGCCTTTACTTGTATGATACATCATCCCATCACTGTCAAACCCCCATTGATTACTGATCCACCTGACCCATCTTCTCTTTCTACCGGCTTCCGCCACCTTCCTTGCTCCTGAACTGTACAGTATTACATTGTTGTTTCTCGCAGACCGGATTATGTATATATAGCCAACCCTCCACAGCCTGGTCCCTTATCTTGACCTCTCTGTCATTATCTGGGACCAGGTATGTGCTTACTTACTACTACCTATGACTACGATACTCAATATATCTCTGTCATTATCTGGGACCAGTCTGCCTCTGCTCCGCTTAGTCGCTCCGCCTCACTGACCTGCTTAGTTGCTCCGCCTCGCTGCTGTTAAGATCATGCAACCCGTGTAACCGTGCCAGAGGTCACAGAGTGTCTAAGTGCGGAATACGAATGGGACAGTAGTGAAGTTATTAACAACACCGCCGTTACGCCGTATGTCCCCGGAGGTCAAGAGTATAGAAGAGAGGAGCTGAGTAGCAGCCAAGTCGGAGCGGCGATAACGCCGGTGACGAGGAGCGAACCAGAGAACGTATAAGTCCTAAGGTAGAGTAGAGAGAACTTCAAGGCAGTAAGCCTGAAGACTTAGAGGAGCACAGAGTGAAAGAGGGAATCTAAGTCGATCTAAGTTGATAATTAAACTAAGGAACTACAGTAGCGTACAGGCAGTATTTATATCTACGGAGCGGCGCATCGGTGCGGAGCGCCAGACTAACTACTAGGAGCTATACGAGTAGTACCTGCAGGGTAGAGTAAAAGACAATAAGGAGAGACTAGAACGAAAGAGTAAAAGACAATAATGAGAAACTAGGACGAAAGGATATGTGTAGCGAGAAAGAACAATAGGAAGAGATTACAATAAAAGCAGATCTTCGGAATACCGAGCGGCGGAATGGAGGCCCGCGGCATGGACTTGACAGTATTCCCCTCTTAGGCTTGAGCCCTCGAAAGCCATTAATACCGGGAGTTGATTGGTCAACAAGGAAAAATTTTAAAGGCCGTCAGCATCGGGAATTTGGCCCGTCAGTCAGCAGGAAAATTTTCAAAAGCCGTTGGTACCGGGGATTATCGTTAGTCATCCAAGAAAATTTTCGGTACACCGTAAACCGAGTACAACTCGAAGAAAATTTCTTGCTGGTCCGTGCGTAGTTTTGACCCTATAAAAAAGGGCCAGGTTTTGCCGCTATGGCCAAGTTCCCAAAACTCCAAGTACACATGTCCTCTAGTCGCACCACCACCCGAACCACCACTACCGTCGGCTCGATTTCGGTCACCGGCGCCCATCCAACTTCGCCCCCGGCCCCAACTCGCCCTTCAACGCCGGATCCTTCTGACGAGGAACGGGAGCTCGAGCTCCAATTGCAACTCACCAGGGAGAAGAACCGGAAGAGGAAGGAGGAAAAAAGGAAGGCGGAGGAAGAAGCTAGACAGAAAGCAGAGGAGGAGAGGCAGAGGCAAGAGGTCGCCGAGCGGGCCGCTAATGCCAGAAGATTGGAGGAAGAGGCAGCGGAGAAGAGAAGGAGGATTGCGGCAGCCGCGGCAGCGCGAAACCGCCGGGGCCCTTCCCCAGGGGAAGCATCTACTTCCGCTCGTCGAGTGGAAGTAGAAGTTCCTCGGGTGGTTAGGAAAGCCAAGGGCAAACAGAGGATGGAGGTGAGTGATTTCTGCCATATCCTCACCGACTTACTAACTCTAAGTTTTTTAGGCTAGCGGCGGAGATCCGGACGATGGCGGAGATGATGACGATGAAGACGACGATGAGCGAGTTCCCTGCGAACGATGCAGGAACAAGAAGATCCCTTGCCGGATGCAGGCTGGCAAGAGGAGTTCAATTATTTGTAAACCCTGTCACGACGCTAAGGTCAGATGCTCGTACTCCGGGCGGCCTTCGACGGTGAAGCGAGAGGGGGGAGGACAACCGATCGGCGAGCGCCTGGCGATCTTGGAGAGCCAGATGGCTCAGCTGCTGGCAGACAACCGGCAGCTTCGAGAGGGCCAGTTGAAGGACAACACCTACAACCGCCATATCAACCGCAAGTTGGACTGGTTGATGACGGACGCCGCGAGAAGGAGGAAAACGCCACCGGAGATGCCGGAACCAGGACCTTCGCGGCTGCCGAAGAAGAGGAGAAGGGTCGTGGATAGTGAGGAGGAAGAAGAGGATAGGAGGATGGGAGAAGAAGAGGATGGAGAAGGAGAGGAGGAGGTAGAGGAAGAGGGAGAACCGGCGCCGAAGAAGGCCCGGTCGGAGAAAGGGAAGGAGAGAGCGGAGTAGAGTAACATCGGACATCGAACATCGGCCTTCGGCCATCTTCTTGTACTCTTCTTGTTGCCCTGCCTTCGTTATATAATTTTGTTTTTTGGACTTTGTATATATGAAAAAAATGTTAACTCGATTTTGAAATCGGAAAGCGAATGGGCCGCGAAGCGGCGTAAGAAGTAATTAGTACGAAGTGTAATTAGTCTAAGTGTGAAAGAAATATAAGTGAAATAGTAGATAGAAGGAGAATGTAAGCAATTAAGAGAAAGAGATAAACACTCAATTTGCTATCATCGTGTTTACCCTCTAAACGCACAAAGTAAACTTCGGCGGAGCGCGGCGGAAAACGGGGGAAAGGAATAAAATGATTTTGTGTGATCAAGGTCCAGGTTTCAGAGGGTATCGAGCGTGGAATGCGGGTACCAGTTCATCAGCATGTAATTCATCAGCAGCAACCCAAGAGAATTCATCGTCGGTACCTTCATAACCGGCCCACCGAATATAGTAACGTAGAGGACAACGTTTATACCTTCTGTCCAGCTTGGAGTCCAGAATTTCGGCAACGTTGTACTCCTCTTCACCGTCAACTTCGATTGGAGGTGGAGGAGATTGAGTACGATTCGGGAAAGGATTCGGCGTAACCGGCTCCAGCTGTGAGACGTGGAAAACCGGATGAATGCGGCGAAGATAGTCCGGGAGCTTGAGCTCGTAAGATAAAGTACCAGGTCGACTGATGACCTTGAAAGGACCAAGATATTTTTCTGAGAATTTTTCAGTAGGACGAGTAGAGCGAATGTGCTTAGCAAGAACAAATA